AGAGGGGCAGATGCAGCACATATGTAGGCGACGAGTGGGCCGACGTGAACAATCCCCCAAACGTGGCTTACTTGACGGATGAATTGACGCAACTCGCACAAAGACACCAAGGCAAAGCAGCCGTTTCCGCGAAAAGTGTAACCGTTAGCTCTTACGCGTGTTGGTCGGATGCACGCTGCACGCTGGATTGCCGTAGACTTTACCAGACGCGGCACCTTCACAACGTCACGCGTGCACACCATTGGCCTCTGAACCCACCATGATCGCCAGGGCCCAGCTCGATAGAGCTTGCCGTGTCGGTATTTTGTACCATTGGAGTTTGGGTGCGGCGACGTCACATGGAACACTGCTTGGACTGAATCACGATGCACTTTTTTTGTCTTGCAACTACGAAAGCATGCTTCCCCGCTTACCACGATAAACGGTTTGCTTGAGCGTGATAGGCTGCTTCCATGCGCTAACTCTAGACTCTATCAAACCCTGAAGGTCAGCCATGCTCCCCACTACCACCTACTCTGATTAGCGAGATACTACTGCAGGGCTTCAAGGTTCTCACCATCGATCCAGAATACAGGAAGCAAGACACGACGTCGAGCCTGAAAACATCTTACAGAGCCCCGCCTGTTGAGTAATTCGCTTAACCACTGCAGTAAAATATCACGCCAAAAAACACACAGGACCGGGAGCGCATCCCACCTCCAATCACAGAGATTCCGAAAATGGCTGGCACCGGCAAGACCTTTGTGGTGGAACATCTGGACCCTGAGCTCGAGGAATGGTCATCTCTCGAGTACTCCAGTATCGCGGCGGAGTCACATGCATCCGGCGCACAGTTCCTGCTGTCTTCAGTACCAGCTTCGTTGAAGCTGCCAGCCAACCTACAGGGCGCCAAAGGACTCAATGTCGAGATAAGAGGCATTGAAGAAATCTATGCCGATAAGAAAGACAAGGTGTGTCTACTGGATCCTGCCGCAGCCAAGGACTTGAGCCCAGAAGATGGCGAGACTTTTGACATTTTCTTGTTCGGCGGTATACTTGGTAAGCATCCGCCCTCATCCAGAGAAGAAATACAATGAAAAGAGCTGACTCTTGAGTAGGAGACGACCCACCACGAGGTGTGTAATGCTGTCACCATTTTCCAAACGTGTACAGTCGACTAATTTTCTCTCAGACCGTACGTCAGAGCTGCGCAAGAAAGGATATCAAGGACGCCGCCTGGGACCTGTACAGATGACGACCGACACAGCAGTACGTGTCACGAGGATTTGCGTGCAAGACAAGGGTATGCCGTATAATTCGACGCTGATGCAAGTTGCTGACGAGGCGCAGTACCCGTCGACAATATCCCGTACATCGACCACCCTGATCTAAAGATCAACAAGAACGAGAGCACGCAGATGCCGTTCCGCTACGTCAAGGACGATAACGGGGAACCTATCATGCCCAAGGTAAGCGTGCCCGACATCGTCATGCCTCAATACGCGATATTAATCGGATGCACAGGGAATGCGTGAGCTGATCGTCAAAGACTCAGCCAAGAGCCTGAACGATCTCTTCTGAACACGGGCTGCTTTGCATCTCAGGCGCGCATCTTCGCGTACCAACAGCACGGAAGATGAGCATGCGCCACTGTGGCACACAGTCATCAACGATCATTGACATGTACCGCTTGCGGGAATTCCAAAAAAGCATATTGAAGATTGGAAAGGGGTCCGCGGTGTAGTACTAGGCAGGACTCTAGCTCTCTGTCGGGGCATCGACCAGACGGACCGAATCGGATGCTGTGGTGCTCTAGAACGTCTTTCACGTTGGCGCGGAATGACGGCATAACGAGTTGGTGCTAGAGGATAGTAGTCTACGTAGTCCAAAGAGTTCTTGTCAGCCCGGCGAACCTTGGGATATGAGATTGACAACTGCATGCGAACATCGGCGGCGAGGGACGCGTGTACATCTTATTTGGGGTTCGCATTCGGAAGATTTGCGGCCTGAGGACGGAGCTGACACATGTGTGAAGCATGAGTGAACGCTGCATCGTGTCAGATGCTGGGGCGCGATGCGCGTTCTCGAGACGCGGAGATGGCAGTAGCCGAAATGGGCGCTGGGGCGTGTGATTGGCCGTGGGACGAAGCTTGGACGGTACCCCAAAGATGTACCTCAACAGGCATCTCGCTATAATATTGATATCAGTTAGCTTTCCTCGCTCGTTCGCGACTGTTGAAGAGATAAGTTCATTCGTTGAAATTGCCAGTCTCCTTGTGGATCGCTCGCGTGTCTTGTGTCTCACGATCTACATTGACAGGCCCCTGTTCTGGATCCCAACTCGGACTTGTCAGCCGCCGCCGCAGTAGCCACCTAAGCTGTACTCTGGAGTCCGCTCTTCTCACATCTCAGCGCCTATACCCTACACTGTGCCAGGCTGCGCATTCGCCTATCACTACTCTGCCTCCACTCGCTGTTTCCTATTTCCCTTCACTTCCCATGATATAGCGACTGCGCACCGCAACCTCCGCGGCCTCAACTCCGAAACGCGGCCTAACTATGGCCTCCTCACATTTTCCGCTGCGATGGCGGACGGCGCTCCTGGGTGGCCTCCTGGCGACGGTATCATGGCTACCGAGCATAATGGCACAGGAGAAGACGCAGGCCGACTACTTCATACACGACCTGCCCGGTGCGCCGAAGCCGTTGCTTAAGATGCATGCAGGGTAAGCAGACTGGGAGAGGCATGCGCGCGTACAGGGCAATACTAACCCGATCGTACAGACACATCGAAGTTGATGCAGAGAACAACGGCAACCTCTTCTTCTGGCACTACGAGAACCGCCACATCGCGGACAAGCAGCGCACTGTACTATGGCTGAACGGCGGGCCAGGCTGCTCCTCGATGGACGGCGCCATGATGGAAGTCGGTCCATACAGAGTGCGTGAAGGCGGCAATCTCGAATACAACAACGGTTCATGGGACGAGTTCGCAAACCTGCTCTTCGTGGACCAGCCCGTCGGCACTGGCTTCAGCTATGTCAACACCAACAGCTACCTCACGGAACTGGACCAAATGGCCGACCACATGATTATCTTCTTGGAGAAGTGGTTTGCGCTATTCCCCGAATACGAGCATGACGATGTGAGTGGCTTGACTAAGTGGACCCGCGGGATACTGACATATGGTAGTTTTACATCGCCGGTGAATCGTACGCTGGACAGCACATTCCCTACATCGCTCGCGCTATCCTCAAACGAAACAAGGAAAACCTCTCCAAGACACCATGGGCGCTCAAGGGTCTCATGATCGGAAACGGATGGATATCGCCCGTCGATCAGTATCTCGCCTACATACCCTTTGCCTACCAGAACGGTCTCATGCGGGCTGATACCGACTCAGCAAGGCGCGTTGAAGAGCAACAGAGAATATGTGTTAAGAAGCTCGAAGAAGGTGGCATGAACACTGTCGACACCAGCGAGTGTGAGCAAATCATGGTCAGGATTCTGGAAGAAACCAAGAATAAGAAAGCCGATACGATGAACCAGTGTCTCAACATGTACGACATCCGTCTCCGTGACGACTCATCTTGTGGAATGAACTGGCCCCCGGATCTTGCGCAGGTCACTCCTTACCTCCGCCGCCCAGATGTCATTCAGGCTCTCCACATCAACCCCGACAAGAAGACCGGCTGGCAGGAGTGCAACGGGGCTGTTTCTGGTCATTTCCGTGCCAGGAAGAGCGAGCCTGCCGTCAAGTTTCTACCCGAACTCATCGAGCAGGTTCCAACTCTCCTTTTCTCTGGTGACAAGGACTTCATTTGCAACCACGTTGGCACAGAGGCCATGATTGGCAACATGAAGTGGAACGGCGGAAAGGGTTTCGAAGCATCCCCTGGTGTGCAGAACGCAAAGCAAGACTGGATGTTCGAAGGCGAAGCTGCTGGAACATGGCAGGAGGCCCGTAACCTCACATATGTTGTCTTCTACAACTCCAGCCACATGGTTCCTTTCGACTACCCCAGGCGTACTCGGGACATGCTCGACCGCTTCATGGGCGTGAACATTGAGGCTATCGGTGGTGCTCCTGCCGACAGCCTCATCGATGGCGAGAAGGGTCCGTTGACCAGCGTTGGCGACCACCCCAACTCGACGCAAGCCGAAGAAGACAAGACCAAGGAGCTCAAGGCCGCAGAGTGGAAGGCCTACGCTCGCTCCGGGCAGGTCGCACTCGTCGTTGTCATCATCGTCGCCTGCCTCTGCGGCTTCTTGTGGTGGCGCAGCAGGCGCACAACCAGCGAATACAAAGGCACCGACAATGACGAAGGACGCGAGTCTCTTCTCACCGGTATGGGCCTCGACAACTTTCGGAGGAAAGAACGCAGGCAGGATCTTGAAGCTGCCGACTTTGACGAGAGGGAGCTTGACGATCTCGATGATGTGCCAAAGAAGCCGGGCAATGGCTATGCGAGCGTGGGCACGGAGAAGGGGCGAGAGTCGCACAATGACTCTACGTTCTCTTTGGGCGTTGATAGTGACGATGAGGAGGCTAGCTCGAGCGATCGGGGCAGGAGAAAGGAAGCATCGTGATAGATTGGGATGTTTGTAACGGCGCTTCACAAATATATTAGGTCGGGATATTATAGCATTGCAGGCGCATTAAGGTGCCAAGTTACATCACTTTGTCTTGCCAACATATACTTTTTATACGGTGGCTGTCTAATCGTGACGCGCAAGCTTAGGCATTGCCCCATCCCACGTGGACCTGCATATACTGAGTATACTGAGTATACTGAGGCCTCCCTTTACTTGAGTATGTGGAGACTTCAGGCGGCTGAAGTCTGGTTGAGGTTTGCTAGTGCTGCACTCGAGTGTGGGTCTGGTCGATGCTGCCTTGAGAGCACGTGAGTGCGGGACTAGCGCGACCGCGTTCCTGCCGTCCCAAGGCGCGTCATCTTCAGCCACGACGCCTCGACTTCAGCAAAGCGGCGACCCATGCGCACCACATCGTAACAACAACAATGCCTGCGTACGTACAGAATTTCTACGCGTTCCTCACGCACCGTTTCCCGACATCAACAAAGTCCGCTAACAACGATGCAGGCCAGGCGACCAATACAACGGCGGCAACGTCAAGAACCCCTTCGAAGAACGCGTCGTAAACGGCTTCACAGCAAAAGAAATCGCGACATTACAGAGCCGACTGAACAAACAACTCGGCCCGGAATACATATCGCAACGACCGGGTAATGGCGGCGGTAAGGTGGCGTACCTGGAGGGGAACAAGGCGATAGCACTTGCGAATGAAGTGTTTGGTTTCAATGGCTGGTCAAGCTCGCTGGGACAGGTGCAGATCGACTACGTATGTTTTGGTCTATCTGAGAGGCAGATGCATACTGACAAAGACAGGTCGACGAGCATCAAAACGGCAAGGTCAGCTTGGGTCTCTCAATAGTAGTGAGGATCACGCTGAAGGATGGCACATATCACGAGGTAATGAGGTCGCTCTCTACATCTTACCCTTGCTAATATCGCGGTAGGACATCGGCTACGGCTCGATAGAGAACGGCAAAGGCAAAGCAGCATCATTCGAAAAGGCCAAGAAAGAGGCGGCAACAGATGGTTTGAAGCGCTCATTACGCACGTTCGGCAACGTCCTCGGCAACTGCTTATACGACAAAGAGTATCTCAAGAAGGTCCAGGTTATGAAGGTCAAACCGATCAAGTTCCAGGAGGACAACCTCTACCGACATAATGATTTCAAACCGCCACCCCAACCTGAGGAGCAATCTGTGGTCAAGCAGGAGCCGCACAAGACACCGGTCCGACCTAATCAAGTCCTTCGCACGCGTACAGATCACTTGAACAACGAGTCGTTCGGCGCTGACTTTGACGACGACGCGGACGAGAACTTGTTCGATGGAGTTGATGTCTCAGAGGGCCACGGTGACGAGTTCTCATTGTCAGAGACATTGTCCGCTCCCGAGACGGCAGCACCGCGCGGTATCCAGCCAGCGAAACCAAATGGTGTATCGTCTGGTCGCACCTCACCCGTCCGCAACACGGGACCCCCTCGCCAGCCCAACGGTAGACCTCCACAAGCCGGACGTGACCAACCTGGCGTGCAACAACAGCAACCAAACCAGGCACCCGGTAGACCTGCCCCTCACATGCAAAACGGAAGACAGCCACAAACTCCTGTTCAACAGCAGCCTCGACCGGTACAGAATGGCGGTCGCATGGCCCCACCAGCAATAGACAACGGTGCTGCCTCGAGACCCGTAGGACAGCAGCCCCAGAACCAACAAGCTGCTCCTAACAACCAACCTCTCCGACCAACCCCACCTCAAGCACAACAACCACCGAACCAAGCACGACCAGTACCACAAGCCCAAGAAACGACCGCACCCGCTCAAAACGCACCTCCACCCAACCACCGACCACCCGTAGGTTTCGTAACCTCCCGCGCCGCCGAGCTCCTTCAAGCCTCAGACTCCGCCTCCCTGACCAACCTCCCATCCTTCAACCCCAATGCCGACTCGCCCATACCGAAAGACAAACGCACTCCTGGCGTCGACCACGCACGAAGCATCCCCATCAAACGTGACGCTGTCGGCGCACCGCCCGCCCCTCAACCACCACCCCAACGACCCGGCGTCACATCAAACGGCTCCTTCAACCGCCCTAACGTTGTAAACCCACACATGCAACCTGATCGCCGCATCGGCATGCCAGGCGCGCCCAACTACGCCATGAGTCCTAGTGCGAATCGTGGCCAGTACAAGCCGCCTACATTCAACGGTGCGGGGCCTGGTAATGGCAATTCTGCTGCTGCTGGTCCCGGGGGTGTCAAGAGAGAAAGAGCCGCGTTGCAGGATGTTAGCAACGTGGGAGTTAATGGGAATGGGGGTGTGGGGAGTGAAGGGCCGGATCCTAAGAAGCAGAGGGTTGATGCGCCGGCTGGTGTTGAGAATAACGGTGTTGCTAGTACGTGAGGTACCGGTGTGCTTTCCACGAGCTGCTTTCGTACTGCTGTGTTAGTGGGTAGGGCGTTATTCTGGTGGTAAGGCGAGGGTGTTTTGGCGTTATGAAAAGGGTGACGAGCCGGTACTGTTTTAGCGGGGATATGTCTTTCGGGGTTATCGTTGTCTTTTTCGGGGTGGGTAGTGTAAATGAGCGTTTCTGTCGCGAAAAGAGTAGAGGCAATCGATACATTGATACCGACCACCACAGAGACATGATTGTGTTCAAGGTTGCTGCTTCTCGGGCTTCATTGGGAATACACTGGTATAGATATGCTTTGACTCTGCGCAGAGGGAGCATCTAAGAGAAGGATTTGAGAGTCATTGACTTCATTACGCTCGGTGGTACTATCGCACACTTCTCCATACTCAGCTGCCAGGTATCTGGGACGGTGTTTCGCGATGCCCTTGCATGATACACGCTTTCCCTGCATTCCATCGTCCTTCAGACTCGGTGGCAGAGCACTCATATCCCCTCTCTCCAACGCCTATTGGTATCGAGCCTTTTCGCTCAACCAGCAGCTTCACGGTAAAAGCTAATCGAGTTATTCCCGCCCGCCAACGCAAACATCTCGCTCTTGCCAGGCGCTTTCGGCAACCACTTTGCGCTCCAAAGCGGTTTGTCGCCGTGGGAATGCGTGGCTACACAGGACCGCGTTTCTATGCGCCAGACTTTTGCTTTGGAGTCGTGGGATCTGTGGGTTGTTGTGTCAGCAAAGTGTCCAGATCTACACGCTGCCAAATCGATGTAGATGGCATGATGTTATGTTGGTATGATGTTGGAAAATTGGGAATGACTTACCCACTCAACAAATACTCGCCCGTATCACTCCAATCCAAACTCAACACCCACCCGCCGTGTCCAGTGAAGTTTGCGACTTGCTCCCCGGATGTGACGTCGTAGAGAGCGATGATGCGTGCGTCGCCGCCTGCTGCTAGTAGTTTCGAGGCAGGGGAGAAGGATACGGCGCGCACGGGGTGGACGAGGCCGGAGAGGGAGTGTGCGAGGCGTCCGGTTTCGTTGTTGAAGACGTAAATGGAGCCGTTTTCGTGGCCGGAGGCTGTGTATGTGCCGTTGCGGGACTGTGAGTGGGTAAGTTAGTAGGGGATGTGAAATGGGAAGGGAGAAGGGGAGGGAACGTACCAAGTCTACAGATAGACCGAAGCTGCCTTTTGTTTCGTACTCGCGTATCCGAGGCATACCCTCATCTTTGTTGAGGCTCCAGACATTGATCTTGCCGTTGATGCTCGTACTAGCTAGATACTGGCCATCTGCACTCAGCGCAATGGCCCATATCTCACCAGGCTTGTTCTGGTCTGCTAAAGCTGTCAGCTCCTTCCTCTTTCAACGACACTACTTCCTGCGATCCCAAAGAAAGCATGGAGGCGTACCCACCAACAATCTCCCCGTCCTCACTCCACACTCCCTCCTCATCCTGGCTCCATATTTTGACCTTGCCCTCGAAGCCTGCGCTCGCGGCTCGTCGTGCTTTCTCTTCCCGTGCGGTTACTAGGTGGTGTATGCCTAGCGGATGCGCCTTGTCGAGTGTTTGTATTACGGGAAATTCGGCTTGTGTGGTGTCATAGACGTTGATGCTGCTTGAGCCCGAGGCTGAGAGGAGTTGGGTGCTGGTTGGTGCCACGGCGAAGATGTCGCTTGCTTTGGGATGCGCCGAGTCGACCGTGTGGAGGGTGAGGTATTGTTTCGACTGGGGGTTGTTAGAATGGTATTGGGGGTACTACAGAAGGCGCATACCATGGTGACTTATCTGCAGCTCCCAGGATCTGTTTCCTGGGCTTGATTATCGTGACATGCGCGGAGCTTGAAACTGCGAGCTAGATTCCAGCTCGATGTCGTCAGTACGGGCAACACGAAAACGCGACCATCCCACTTGAGCCCCACCAAACACCGACGAGGACCCCTAGCTTGACCGCCAATCACACCCCGCCGCGCCCGACAGCTCCCAATCCACAACTAGGCATGCCATTGACTCTCTCGTGGATCTCCAGGAACCTGTTGAAAGAGTCACGAAGCGGCAGCCTAAAGCTATCCTCCCATCTACGCCTGACTCACCCTTCGCGGCCATCCCTACACACTAACCCCACGTTCACAACACTTCCCATCCGCACCTTCACCACCCACCCCTCCACCATGGCGCCCACCGACCCCGTCCTCGCCTCCAAAGACGCCCTCTCCGCCAACCAACCCATCGTCATCTCCGGGCCCTCTGGCGCGGGTAAATCCACCATCCTAAAGCGCCTCTTCGACGAGTTTCCCGGTAAATTCGGCTTCAGCATATCGCACACCACGCGCGGGCCCAGAGGAGAGGAGCAAGATGGCAAGGAATACTACTTTGTAACTAAAGAAGAGTTCCTCGACCTCGTGGAGAAGAAGGGATTCGTGGAGCATGCGCAGTTTGGTGGGAACCACTATGGTACAAGTGTCAAGGCTGTGAACGACATTGCCGAGAAGGGCCAGATTTGTATCTTGGATATTGAGATGGAGGTAAGTTGTTGTTTGCTGGCTAGCATGAAGCGCATCTTTGCTGACGGAGTTTACTGTAGGGCGTTAAGCAAGTCGCAAACCACCCCACCTTCCCTCGCCCACGATTCTTGTTCTTGCAGCCGCCTTCTATGGAGATTCTGGAGAAGCGGTTGAGGAGTCGCGCGACGGACAAGGAGGAGGCTATCTTGAAGAGACTCAACCAGGCCAAGGTTGAGATGGAGTTTGCGCATAGTGGACAGGCGCCGCATGACAAGATTGTGATCAACGACGATTTGGACAAGGCGTACAAGGAGGTCAAGGAGTTTGTTGTTGGCAGCGAGGCATGAAGACCAGCGAGAAGACGAAAAGCTTCCCAGATGATACCACAGGAACAAGTCAAGAATGAGAAGAGATGCAAAAAGTGACATAATAAAGTTTCTTTCAATTGATGACTATCTAGGCCATAAGGTTCATCAGATACCGTCGTAGAAAATTCAGCAAAGGCCGTGATACCACTTTGGGATTACACAGCCTCAGAGCTTGACTCTATTTCCATTTGTCTCATCATATGAACCGTGTATGGCTGGATGAATCTGGCTTGTTCGACCAAGCGCGTAGTAGCCCATCAACTCCAACAGTTGTCAGAGAGTGTCTACCCTCAGATCCGAAAAGTGTGTGGGTGAGTGAACGTTCCTCGCCTCAAGAATAAGCCCCATTGAGTTACCATCCATGACACCTTGTTTGACCAAAGTGCAGGAAGGCAATCGCATAACCATAAACTGGACGAGAAGACCCTCCATACCTGGCGCTTCCCTGTGTCTCCCTCCTCCTCCCAGTATTGCAGCGAACCTCGGCACGTGAGCAAGGTAGCCAACGGACTCATATCATCATCCAGGTGTCAGCCCCTCCACCCACCACCTCGGAGAGCCAACCAAAAGGGAGTGCGAACGGGTAAAGAGATGCGGAAAGAGTCGTAGTCGGCAGTGGAAGCCGCGGCTTCTATGGCGGTTCGTTGCTGAAAGTGCGATCGCGAAAGATCGTTGTCCGGGGACTTTCTCCCAAAGCGCGAGACGAGACACCCTTGCGGGCGCTCTGTGCGTAAGCTTCGTTGCGATTCTTCGAGCGAGGAACGTTGGAAGAAGAAAGAGGTGGGTGACGGAAACTTTTTAACATGGGGCGGAGGCCGGGGGCCGAGCTAGGCGCGCTAGGCTGAAGCGGCCTGGCGCCTGCAAGGGTGCCTGGAGAGCTTTGGTGCGCCTGTTTCTTTGCTGAGCGCGTCGTCGGTGAAGAACATAAAGTCATCTGGTCTTCAGCGCGCGTAGCAACCCTATTCACTGCTGCCGGTCTCGAAACACCTCCACGTGACTGGAAACTTCCATACGAGCGCGTACGAATTACTTTCTCGTCTAAGCTTGGGATCAACACCGCAACCTCGCGCAAAGCTTCGCAACAACCAACACCCGCACTTCGAACGCGCCCAGATACGGGGACGTAATCACAAGAGATGGCTCTATTCGGTCAGCCCGCAGCGGCCGCATCTGCTAGCTCCACCACCGGCGACACCAGCAAAGACGTCGAAGTCCCGGCCGGCCAACTGCCCAGCGACAGCATATCTGACCTCCAATTCTCGCCGACGAACGACTTCCTCGCCGTGGGCAGCTGGGACAAGAAGGTCTACATCTACGAGGTCAACGGCAATGGCGCGCAGGGAAAGTGGATATTCGAATGCCAGGGTCATGTTCTGGGTCTCGGATGGTCAAAGGTACGTTTAGCAGGATGTTTGGCAGTCATGTCCGAATACTAACATAATCAGGATGGCACTCGTATAGCAGCCGGCGACTCAACAGGCATGCTCAATATCGTCGACTTCCGCACTGCCCCCGCCAGCGGCACCGTCCCTGCACAACAAGCCAAGGCCCATGAGAACGGCATCAAGTGCGTCCGCTGGTTCCAGACCGGCGGCAAGGACTATGTCGCGACTGGTTCCTGGGACAAGACCGTCAAGTTCTGGGACCTCCAGGGTGCCGAGCCCGTCGGTACTCTGACGTGCCAGGAGCGCGTCTACAGCATGGACATCAAGGATCAATTGCTCGTCATCGCAACCGCCGAGCGCCACATCCACATGGTCAACCTCTCGAACCCCACAACCATCTACAAGACCATCACCAGTCCTCTCAAGTGGCAGACAAGGGCTGTGAGCTGTTTCACAGATGCTACTGGCTTCGCCGTTGGGTCCATCGAAGGACGATGCGCTATTCAATACGTCGAAGACAAGGACACCAGGTAAGCATTCCCAAGTCTACATATCTCATCACACCATCTAACTCATACCTAGCCTCAACTTCTCCTTCAAGTGCCACCGTCAGCAAGACCCCGCCAACCGCGACATCGCAAAGGTCCACTCCGTAAACGCCATCTCCTTCCACCCACAGCACGGCACCTTTTCCACTGCGGGTTCCGACGGTACCTTCCACTTCTGGGATAAGGACGCCAAGCACCGTCTCAAGGGCTACCCCGAGGTTGGCGGCAGCATCGTCGCGACGGGCTTCAGCAAGGACGGAAACATTTTCGCCTACGCCGTCAGCTACGACTGGAGCAAGGGCTACGGTGGCAACACGCAAAACTACCCCATCAAGATCAAACTTCACCCTATTCTGGGAGACGAGTGCAAGCCCAGGCCTGGAAGTAAGAAGAGGTAATCCCTGAGTAACTCGAGGATTTCCTTTTTCTTTTCTTGTTTGACTTGTTGGCACTTTTGCTGACAACGCGTGCCTGAAGAAGTGGAGACGAGAGCGGAGACAAGAGAGGCGGCGAAAGCGGCAGGCATCGAAGCTTTGTTGGCTGCGAGTCTGCCGCCCGGAAGGCCGAGTCGTCGATTACGAGGTCTATAAGAACGGTGCGTGCATACCTGGTCTTTACAGATCGACATCGCTCGGCGCACGCTACGTACTCTCTCTGTGCTTGATCAAACGATGTCACGGTGTTTGATGTTTTTCTTGGTTTCCTGCATTAGCGTTCAAGGGACTGGCGTATAGAGAGATATAGTATCATGGGCTGTGGAGGCTCCAGAGTAGGATAGGCAGGAAAATGTAATCTTGTTACTGTGTAGTCTTTGCGTTGACAGTGAGTGTAGGGGAATATTAGCACTTCATACTATGTAGTGTCCTCGTCTAGCGTGCAGTGTAGTGATCACGCGGATAAAACGTCAACTTTGCGAGCAGGAACGATGGTCATCCAGACTCAAACACGCGTGATTGATCATACCAACCGCTTGACAGCAAACCCGGTCTTTTCAAGTAGATATAGCCTCCACGATCTTCTCTACATCCTGTTCTCCAACCACTCAACTACCTACTCACCCACTCAACCCTCCCCATTTTCTCCCATTCTCCACATTCCCACCGCCATGCTAACGATCACCCAGTCAAGCAGCTCACGGTTCGACCAGTCCATCCCACCAACCATCCGTTCGCGATCACGCTGCTCCGCCAACACTCGCCCCACGCATCCCTCGTCCATCACTGTTTCCGCGTTCCAAGTTATCACGCCTCTCTGCTCTTCCCAGCCCGTTTACCGGTATGCAGATGCACTCTTTCATCACCACAATGTCTTTTCCAGTACCGGCTTTAAACTGAACAATGAATACCCCATCTCAGGTCAGGGGGATCTAGCGGGTCCTCTGACCCCTGCTTCCGCGCGGAGGACTCCACCGTCTGTTCCTTATCTTTGTCTGTTGTTTGCTGCTTCGGCAAGTCACGCAGTTGAGATGAGGGATGACAACGCACTCGTATGCACAAGGAAACGCTGACCTAGCCCTCAGAGACGGGAATTTGTTGGAGGGTATTCGTGTGTGCGGGTGTGTCACCTGTATCCTTTCCATGTGCTTTGCACTATTTCCTTTAGGGCATGCGAGGGACGGGATGTTGGGAGGAGGTAAGTGTTGTTTCCTTGTCTTCCTGTGGGGATGAGTGGGTGAGTAGGTGGTTGTGTGGGATGGAAGATTGATGTGTTTGACCTGGGCTGGAAGCGGTAGAAAGGCTCGGATTGAGGTGAGTTTTGACGCTTTAGGACGTAAGAACCTTTGACAATGAACAGGACTGTATCATCGATATTCGTGGATGGAAAGAGCTGAGATAGGTCAGTGGAAGAGGAAATGTGGTTTGCGGGGCTGTGGAGACGATATCCAGGGCTGGTGATGGTAGGGCGCATGATGCGAATAAGAATAGGAGCATGAGATTCCTTAATCGAGCTTCCTTGCTCCCTTGAAAAGGCAAAATGCTCAATGTGAAATGATCGAACTGTACTTACGCCCTTCACGTTCCAAATGTGGATGCCGTGACTCCATCGTAACCACGGTACGCAACTTCCACACCCAACATCAGCAATGCACACCAGCCATATAAGACTCGTCCATACGGCGCTCTCATTTCTTCAAATCATTTACGATCTCCCCTCCACATCACACTCCGCTTCCCAGAAACCAACCAATAACTCCCAACATGCACCTCCGCAAAATCCCCTACTCCCTCGTCGCAACCGACATCGCCGCCATAGCCGCCAACACCGACTCCTCTAACCCATCCTCACGCTCCCAACGCTTCAGCACCGCTCACCACCACCTCTCAGAAATAACCCCCGTCGTCCCATCCAACCCACACTTCACGCACGAAACACCCCCATGGACAGCCTACGGCTACACACTCTGGCACCCGCTCATCGCATCCTCCCAAAACCTGCCCGAATACCACGAGATCCTCCTCCCGAGCTTCCTTTACGAAGACCTACTACGTTGCCACAGCGCCTGGGTATCCACATCCCGCATCCACACCTCGCTCCTCAACGACGTCGTCGAAACACTCCTCTGCACTAAATCCGGCAAGAAACTCGCTGGCCTCCTCGATGGAAAGCGGCAATGGTTCATCCGTCTCGATCAGATGTCGCCGAAAGACTCGCCCATGGGAGGAAAGCTTCCTAGCTCTACCTGCGAAGACGTCATTACAAAGATCTGTTCTAGTATGCGCGCGTACGGCTGTCTAATGCGGGAGTTCGAAGACGCGAGGAAGGAAGGGAGGGAGATGGAGATTAAACTCGTGTTGAATCCGTGGGATGAGGGTATGGATGCCGGAAAGGAGTTCCGCGTGTTCGTTCCGCCACCAGCCGCGAAGACGGGGAGGGAGGCTGTTGCAGCGGAATTCTCGATTAGCGCAATCAGCCAGTATAGGTGGCCGATGGGGTTTGAGGCGCCGTGGGGGTTTGATCTGAAGCAGACAGTGGAGTTGGTTGATGTGGGGGCGAAGAAGGTTTTAGGGGAGATTGTGGCGTATACTGAGAAAAAGCTGAGTAAGGACGTTATGAGGTTGCTATTGAGGTACGGGTTCAGTTATGATGTTGCGCTGCAACAGGATGGTAGTGTGCAGTTGGTGGAGATTAACCCTTTTGGCGCGCTGTCCGGGTGTGGAGCTTGCTTGTTCAATTGGGTTTTGGATGGGAGGGTGCTGTATGGATTGGAAGAGCCGGAGTTCACTGTGACGGTGGAGGAAGAGTAACACGTCGTTGAGTATGTGTCTCTGTGCATTTTGCACTATGTACTTGATCTTTGCGACCTGCCGATCCTGTGGTAGGGCCCCACTGCCAGAGAGATCTCTGGCCTATCTTCATCCGCTCGGAAGCGGCTTGTTGCTGTAGAGCTATAGCGTATGGTTACTTCTTCGACCTGTCCTCAGAAGGCACGTCAACCCGCCCGTTCATTTTCCTCATTTCTCGCTCTCGCATGTCTCCGCGCCTCATCGCTCTTGAGAAGCTCTCCAAGCGCCTTGAAGTTGACCGGCTTCGTCATGAAGTGATCAATCCCCGAACTCCATGCTTCCAGCTTCGCACTTGAAGACGCTAAGCCAGTAAGTGCGACAATGGAACACCGTGGCAGATTGTTACTCTGCTCGTATTCGCGGATCGCACGAGTTGCGCTCATGCCGTCCATGACCGGCATGGACATATCCATCAGTATAACGTCGAATTTGCGCGCTTCTTCCTGGTACTTGTCCAGAGCTTCTTGTCCGTTCGCCGCTTGTTCGAACTGAAGGCCGTGCTTTTTCATGAACGCGACGAGGAGACGTCGGTTCAATACGTTGTCGTCGACAATAAGGGTGTGCGATATCAAAGGTTCCTCTTCTTGGGGAGGCGATGTGAGCGAGTGTTGCACACTTGTAGATCCAGCGGTAGAAGGAGCGACTGGTTCTGGTGACGTCAAGCTGAGAGACTCCATGGTATTCTGCATCGACTTCGTTGGTGTGAAGGGATACGACTGTTGTTGGGGCTGCGGTGGCGGGCTAGACATTCCAGCAGGTTGGAGGTTTTCAGCTGGATGTTCGTACCGATCTAGGCATCGGTTGAGAACCCATGCGAGCTTGTAAGGTCCGCATGGTTGCGTGATGATCTCGACTACCGACTCCCTGTTGGTAACGCGGACATCGGAGCGCAATGTCGCTGCTTCGAGAGCGTCCATCCCCACAAAGATGGTCACTGGGGCGCGTTGGCCGTTGGGCCTCCGTTTCCGGATAGTAGCGAGGTAGTCAAAGGATAACTCCGGGCAGATGACCATGTCCGCATCATGCCCTTCCCATTCATTGGTCTTCACAACTTCCATCTTAAGATGTGTCTCCAGGGTATATACAAGTGCGTTGGTGAAGCGTAGCAGGCCTTCGTCCGTTTTCGAGAGATGGATGTCTCCAGTCGGTGACTCTATCTTCTTGCGAAGGATACATATCCTTCGACCCTGTAATCTCGGCAGGTAAGATATGAATTGCGCTCGCTCAGTCGTCATCGCGCCAGGTAGTTCCGGTTTGTTAAGAGCAAGTTTGACAATGAGCTTAGTACCGATTTCGGGGTCACTGCTGACTTCAACCTTGCCACCGTTCGTGTCGATGATTTGACGCACGATACTCATACCCAACCCTGTACCTGGTGCATGCGGGTTCTCCTGGGAGAAGGGCTGGAAGAGGCGGTTGGCCAAAAAACTAGAACTCATACCTGAGCCAGTGTCTGTAATGGTGAGTGTGATTGCTGTCGGGGCATCGGCATTTTCTGCTAGGTTGTTTGAACGCAGAGAAACATGGATATACCCTGTTTGGGTATACTTGACAGCGTTGCCAAATAGGTTCATCACTATTCTTCTCCAAGATCCAATTGGGAAGGAGAAAACCAGATCGTCATCGTAAGCAATATCGAGGATGATGAAGCGTGCCGCACGCTGCGGAAGTGAGAGAGCATGTTCGTCCGTAGGCGAGATAGGTGCTTCCATGAGCTTCGAGGTGGCTGGGATGTATGATGATCCAGAAAAGACTGCTTCCACGACTTCTTCCGTTGCGACCCCGAGATCAAATGCGGAAACCCTTTTTCGCCGACTCTTCAATGGTTTCGAGGATAGTCGAATAGTGTTTTCATTCTTCAGTCTCTTCGACGAAATGCTCTTCTTCTCCTCGCTGATCTTGGCATAGTCCATGAGATGATTGATGGTGTCGAGAAGAGTCGTGCCGCAGGCGTGTAAAGAGTTCATCATACTTGTCTGAAATGAGTCGAGCGGCGTATCCTTGATGAACTCTAGTGTACCTAGTATGCCGTGGAGGGGCGAACGCAGCTCGTGTGAAATCGATGAGACGAAAGTCGATTTGGCCTATGACACCCGTTTAGCTCTTGCAACCGCAGCACCTTACTTATTTTACCCACCTCGTTTAGAGCTGCGGCGTCCAGCCTTGACAGCTCCCTCATGATTGAGTGACTGAATATCTTGAAGTATGCCATATCCACGGAAGCGGATAGTAACCGGTAGGGGTCGTTGCTCCAGCACAGACAGCCGGCGAACCATCTGGCTCTTTCGAAATCCCAAAAGGGAATGAAAGCAACACTACGTGCTTTGGGAAACATTGCCTGTATGGCGGTTGATCCACGCTGTGGCCTGTCTTTGGTCTTGCGCCTCGATGGCGTAGTAGGGGAGAGATGTTCAGCAACGTTGGGACTCGAAACGGACTCCTCCGTCGAGGATAAAGAATGGCCGTCCGCGTTGAAAGTGAATATCTTGCCATGTGGATATTCATGAAACAAGCGCGAAAGATCAGGCTCAAGCAATGTTCCATAATCAGAGTCCACGTCGGTCGGAGTTGCCACTCCAAGTAGTTGACACATCTTGGAACTTGATGAAGACGTGCCGCGGACGTATCTGTCGGTACCATTGGAGCTGGCCTCATCGCTTGAAGACCTAGATCGGTACGATTCGGAGTGGGCCTCGGTATCGCTCCTTGAGGCGCTGTTGTTGCGACGCTGTCCCCCGCTTGCCGCAACGCTCGCATCCAGGATGAGCACTCCGTCCAGATCGCTTGAGCCCATCATTACATTTGCAGCACGCGAGAACATGGACTTCGAGTCAGTGGGCAAGATAGAGTCTTCTAAATTCAGAAAATCAAGTCAGTGCGTATCCCGTATGAATCTTGAATGGACAGTCCTTACGAAGTGTGCCAATTGACCGATGTCGATTGGATCTGGCACGGCTCGTCTTCGAGATTGCCAACGGTGATTGACCAGGCGTAGTCTGCCTGGTTTCGGCTTTTGCAAGCGTATCCCTCGATCCGTCCATGTCCGTTTTGGACGCCGCGGATGAGTAATCTGACGGTGTCTGAACGACTGCTGTCGAATCGTGCCGCAGGTCTCCCTCGAACGGAGACAGAACAGATGCGCCTTCCGCAAAAGAGACAAGACCTCGAGTGAATCTTTCCCCTCGCCTGTACTCATCTCTGATCGTATATGTGTTCAGGTAGCTCATGACGGTAGAACCCAGGTCCTTGAACAAAACAAGTTCTTCTTTGGAAAGACCGGCTCGAACCTTGTTGTCGAAGATGCAGAGCGATCCAACTATTGCGCCGTTAGGAGACATCAACGCGACGCTGGCGTAGAAGCGCATATCAGAATTTCCTTGGACATCATCCCGAAAGCATGTCCCTTGATTCTTCGTGAGGTCGTTGATGATGAAGACTGGGTTCTCACTTCGGTCCAATTCCAGAACTTTTTCACATATGCCCCAGCTCCGCGGTATGCTCACGTTCCCAAGCCAACAGCTATTTGGGGCGTCTCCTGGTGCCTCTGGCCGCAGCGGTAAGTCACAGGTCGCCTCCGCAAGTATGTGTTGTCGTTCATCGTCGAGGAGCGATATCATGGACCGCTGGGCTCCCATCCGGATAGCTGTAAGCTGACACAAGGCTGTCAGGGTCGAATCTGGAGATAAGCGGGGTACATGGTTTTCCAGATTGTCGACGTGAGGAACATTGCGAAACGCTGCGCCGTAGAGGAGCAGCACATCGCGCTCTCTCCTCATCCCATATCGGTCTGTCCTAGTCCCCCTGCTGCTGTTTGAATGTTGACTCATGATGCGCAGTACTGGCGATAAACCCACAGAAGGCCAGCGGCATCCACAAGCTCCCTCAGACCGTAGGTACCTAGGTGTGCTTCGCCATTAGGCCTAGGAGGGAGGAATCGCCACTGTTTGCATCTACTGAACATCAAGACATCGGTGGGGGATGAGGTGAAAGTTTGCGCATTGCCACACCAGGCCAGCCGACTCAACATAGGCGGCAACTGGCATTAGGTCTCGCAGGTCGGCAAGTCAATTAGCGTGGTTTTGCTACCTGGGCGGTGCCAAGCTAATACGCCTTGTGACTGGTTGAGTGCGATGTTCCACAATCCGATGGCATCTAGAATCGTACTAGAGCACCTCGAAGTGCGTGAAGGCATTTTTGGATCTCGGTCTTTCAAGGCGCTAGGCATGGAGTACAAAACTGGTCTAGTGCTTCACTTAGTTTCTCTCGGCCAGATATGCGGCGAACTGACATTGGACTCACTGATCTAAGCAATGTAACCGAATTGGTGTGAAGACACGTGCTGATACGTTGTATCATTCGACGGTGTGATGTCTTGAAGCCGCAGGCTGCAGGTGTGCATGACTACAAGCGTTGCGAAGCGAGAAGTTGAATTTATTTTGACGTCATGACGTCAGCATCCGGAAGACACTCCGCGGAGCAGCCAGGCACCGAAAACAACTCCATGTTTCGTGCCAACACTGATGCTACGCCTCGAAACTGTAAAGCTATTGTCCGGTATGTTTTCAGCTATGCGTTTAGTGACCGAAAGCATTGGATGTAGGATATGGTAGCAGCTGTTGTGCGAGAGGTGCTAAGTACGCTACCTAGGTAAATAAAGTCCGAGATTAATCCACCTCACGCGAGACCTCATCATTTCTCAAGCCTTGATCTCGCGCATACTCCTCATCATCATGACCGTGTACGTCGGTCACGTACTTCTCAAACTCGTTGATCACTCTGGCTGCCTTGTCCAAGTGTCCATAGCGCAAAACCTCCTTCTTGAACCGAGCCAGTTGGCGAGCCGTGTTGATAGTGTTTCTGATCTGCCGTCCATTCAGTTTATGTTGCGAAAGGATTTTGAGCTTCCGTCCGATCTCTTCAGCGTTCATGTCTTCTCCAGCCTCCGAGAGGGAGTCAACAAAGTTGTTCCAGACTTCCCAACGGCCCTTGCTATCAAGAGGCGGGTAATGAAGCGCAAGCTGAATACGAGATTTGAAAGCCTCGTCGAAGGTGCCGATGCGGTTCGTCGTCAAGATCAATATTCCATCGTAGTATTCCAAAACGCGCAGGAACACGGAGACTAGCGCGTTGCGCTGGAGATCCATCTTGTTCCTCTCTTCAAGAAACACGTCAGCTTCGTCCAGAAGAACGACGCAGTCCCAGGTGCTTCCAACAGATAAGGCGTTCTCAAGATATTTCTCAACGCTTTCAGCATCGGTGCCGATATCACCGCATGTTACCCTATACAATGGACGTTGCACGAGTTCGGCGATACTCTCAGCTGTAAGAGTTTTACCGGTCCCTGGTCCTCCATGTAGCAGCATAATGAGCCCTTCACCTTTTCCGTCCATGAAGTCAGTCTTGATGTCGCGGCTCTTTTCGACATGGACCGTAACCAGAGCTTCCACCAAATCCTTCTTGTCTTGATCCAAAACTAAGCGCTGTTGAAAGACTTCATTGTTCCATTGGATGTCTTGTATATGTTCCACAAGTAATACATCTGAGACGATGCTTAGCATTTCCAAGATCTGGTAGTTTTGTGTACATACTCCATTGTTTGTTGTGAAAGCCATAGCCTTTAATCGTCGCGGGTAACATGAGTATGAATGCTTCGCTTGGAGGTTCATCGTTTTCCAACTCGTCATTGCTCAGTTCGCTTTCGGTTATCGGTTCATCGGCACGGCGATGCATCAACTTGTAAGCTTCAGCATCGACCATGTATCGCAGATTAGCCTGGCAGTGTGAGCACAACCCGTTCGCACCCGGATTGATATCTTACAAGCTGCGATCCAGGTCCTAGCAATGGCACATCGTAACTCACGTACTTCCGTCGTCGGCAACTCCAGAAGGTATTACCGCGCATGCGCAACATAGCTTGAACCCCGTCTTCTGCGTGGCGAATAGGATACACGGAAAGTTCTTTAATGTCCACTCGGTTCGATCTAGATGGCCATTTGATGGGCATTGTAGTGTGCTTTCGGAAAAAGTTGCCATCGTACTCCCAAGTCCAGCAATCTATTTCCAATGTGTTTGCATTGCGTTGACGGCAAGAGCTCACAACAAACGCACGGTATTCGTCACCGCGCATCGTGACTACTGTATCGTTTGGTCGGAATAGCATCAGCCAACTTCTTTGACTGACCCATCCTGTAGATGACAGCTGTTCTAGCTTCTCGTAATCCAGGGCCAAACGCTCAGTGATATAATCGGATAGTATCTTGAGGTCCTTCTGGTGTTGTGTCTCTAGCGCTTGTGCCAAGGGGCCGATGAAGACATGTTTGGATTGATCAAATTTCCGATAAGGGTGATCAAGATCCTTGTTGAAATCCCAGTCCTCGAGCGTGTCCGCATTCTGGTCTCGCAGCGTATGCAGAGCTTCTTCAAGGTTTTCTGATAACTGCAGCCGCTCTGAAGTCGCGTTCGCTATCGGTCCATCTTGTTGAAGAACTCGAAAGTATGGCTTCATGTCGATACTTATATCGTCAGGCATCGAGGGCATGGGGATAGGTTTGAATGCTTTTAAAATGTCATTGTGGTATGCTTCGCAGTCGTAGTTAACGAACACCACAATACTGAACCCGAGACATTCGTCCAAGTAGCTATGCACATCTCGCAGGCGAGTTTGACCATGCAGGGCTCTAGCCTGATGGTCGGATTTGACCATAGCTGGAACGTCGAGATAGTATGATGTTGAGGAATGGCTTCCATGATGTCTTCGTGTACGTGAGCAGGTTACGCAATGTATGGTAACTCGTTGCGTGACAGATTTCCCCGCTGATAGACGTGGACGCTTGGCGTCAGCCTCGAGCGGTTGTTGCGAAGAACTAGCGTCATTGCTTGCTGGAGCTTCGCCAGTGCTCCTTGGGCGTTTTGCCCTCGCTGAGGGCCCTATGTGATATGGCTCCGGATCGAACATAGGACCTAGTAAAAGCTGATTTTGGTGATGCTAGAAAGAAGAGCGCAGTCCAGATCAACTTATACACCCAACCGTCACCGGTCAGAGGGGCCTTATACGAGGGCTAATCCCATCTAGGGAAAGCTCCATCGCGCCACATGCAGCATGCAAGCCCTGTTCCGTATCGAAGACTCTTTAAGCTACATTCGTTCCACCAAGCATTTGTTGCAGTCTTGCATCACGATTTGGTAGAAAACTCCATGAATGTCTAAGACTATAATAAGAACGCTATTTGACGCTACAAATCGATTGAGTAACGCTACTGTACGGCGCAGGGGGGAGGGGTGGCGTCTTGTAACATGGATATTGTTGTGTTGTCCTCAAAACAGTGTTGTAGCAACGTCAAAAGAGTGTTTGTGCAGTGTTCGCGTGCGGGCACAGTGTCTACACTTAGATAAACATAGTATATCATAGCAATCTTTCTGAAAGTAAAACCCCCTTCCGCGCGTTATGGTGCACATGCAAGATTCGTTCCTATTCAAAATTGAACAAGGCGTCGTCAAATGTCGACTGCTCGGGGTTCTCATATTCGTCCATGTTGAAAAGATCTTCGAGGTCGTCCGTGGCCATGGTGCCCATGTCGTCGCGTGGATATGAATCGACTAGGACTGACACCCTCGCAGCGTCAGACTTGTCGACCTCCTCAACTTCAGCGGCTCGGCTATTATACTGCCCCAAAGCTGTGAGATGCAATTTACGGCGCTTGAAAGTGTCTGTAGTGCGGTCTTCTGAGATCGTGTACTTCAGCTCTCCACGAAAACGTCCATGCCCAGAGCGAGCCGTCCGCTCATTCATGATTCCTCGAGACCGATCATGAAGCTCGTTAATAGGATGTATTCGGGCGTTTTCTGAGGAAATATGGGCAGATATCTTTTGCTGACGTTTGAGTTCGCGCTTAGTCTGTCTAGGCGTGAGCGGGGGGACGCGCGAGCTCGGGGGCCGCATCAATGGCTCGCCGCCCAGGACGTTCATATTTTGAGGTGAAATCCGAGGCGGCATTCTTGGGGGCGCTAGAGTTGGGTTAACTTTGGAGTTGGGAACTGTCTCTGAGTCCGTTATACGTGAGCCTATGCTCTCTTGTCCTTCCCCGCTCGCAGTGTTCATGGCTCGTTGATTGGCTTGATCTTGGGAAGCCAATGCCGGTGGGCCGAGAGAGGATGTATACTCCCTCCGGGATCTCCATTCAGAGTCTGATTCATCTGACGAGTTCTGGAACAGCAGATTTTCGTCGTCTTCACGTCTCCTCGTCTCACGTACTGACTCTTCGGCTCCGTGTTCACTCATTGCTTGTCTCGCTATTTCAACCCTACGACGAAATGAAAGTAGCTGCTGACTAGGCGAAGTGACTGCTCCAGCACGCCAAGATAAGGGGGCTTGTAACGCAGGCCGTGTGTTTGCCAAAAGCCCTCCCCGCGGCGGGATCGTCATCTGTGCCAAAGCGCTTGATACGCTTGATGGCCGTCGTTCAATCGTAGACTGTTCCCCCTTTCCCGGCGGTCTCGGCTGTAGCGATCGCGAAGCCATTCTCCGCCTCTGGTGATACGCTCCACGCATTGAGTTTCGGTTTTCCAGTGAGCACCGCAACCATTTAGGTAATGGTTCGAACAGAAGAACGTGGGTAGCTCTCGCTGTGGGTTGGCCTTGATCACAGAATCCTGGGTCCTCGCTCGAGAAGTGCGGCTGAGCGGCTGTGTGGGTGTCAACGCTAGTCCTTCACGGTCGAGTGACCGATGGCGTGTGGGCGCGACTCGTGAAGATAACGGAGGGCGGGTACAAAAGTAATAGGGAGCTGTATCATCCGATCATATGATATGGAGGCGGCGTATTCAATGGGAGTGTCGCCGTTCAAAGGGATGTATCGGTGTGCATGTGTCGACGTGTGCATGGCCTGCCGCGTCTCCTTGGCACAGCCGCAGCCTTCCTGCACAGCCCACTTTTCAGGAGCTGCATAAGAGAAGGCTAGCAATGGTTCACAAGGATAGAATCGCAACTGTTCAGCAGCGGCTCCTCCTCGGCTGTAGTAGTATTGTGAGTTCGACATGTCCGCGATAGTAGTACGCCATCCGCATTCGTCCTGGTATACACCAACGCCGGGCCAGGAGTAGGTATAATCGACCAATCACAAGGTGCGCAAAGAAGGCTGAAAGTCGTAGGAACCGAAACATCGCAGCGGAAGCATATCGGGCTGCCATCGAACACCTCAAGAATGAGCTGGGCATTTCCCTCGACGATTCAGTCCCTCACAAGTTCCAAGCGTCCATAAAGGATGTCTTCAGCGTGGTGGAGAATGCCAAGAAAGATTACGAAGACAAGAGCAAGCAGGACAGGCATGCAGAGATGAGGCAGTCGCTCGAGAGGCTGTCTGCGCGCATCATGTACTATGGCAAAGTCATCGACACCTTGGCGCAGCATCATCCCGAGTACGTGGCTCTGGTATGGGGTGCCATGAAGTTCGTTCTGACCGTAGGTTATACCTTGTCCAAGCTTGCCCTACCGCTTGTGGTGTACTGACACATAGCTCCAAAGGGAGTGATCAACCGAGCGACCCTCTTCGAAAAGCTATCGCAAGCCCTCATCGCTATCGGCGACGTACTGCCACGCATGGATCTGAGTGCGGAGCTGTACCAAACTCAGTACATGGAAGCTGCACTTTCACGGCTGTTCACATACATCATTCTTTTCCTCCGGCTTTGCGTGCGTTGGTACAAGAAGAGCCCTCTGGGTCGAATATGTTCTGCCATCAAGACGCCTTTCGAGCTTGGCTACCAAGAGCTGGTGAACCATATCCAGGAGTGTTCGAAAGCGGTGGACGACCTTGCCAGCGCTGGCGCTCGAGCCGAAATCCGCGACGTCCATACCCTAGCAATGCTGCAACATGCGCAGATTCGAGAGCTTGATGCGAAGCTGGCGGGCGTGATGGAAGGGCAGAAGAGGTTTGCAGCCCATGTTACCCAACTTCTACAGGTCGCAACTTCGCACAAAAGCATTTCGGAGCGGATAGGTATCGACGTCTGTAGCATAAGCAAGACAGTGTATCGTCTCGAGTTCAGCGGAGTGATGCAGTTCTTCGAACCCAAGGTATTGCCTGAAACGGCCCTGCTCAAAGTGCGATCACTCGTGCGTCGGGACACGACGCCAAGCTTGCCTAGCCCTAACGAACAAAAAGTGCGCAGGACCATCCTGAATTGGGCTTTTGGGAAGGGGTCGTCGCTTCTCGTTGTTCAAGTCGGTGTTCGTGCGCAAAAGCAGGCGAAAGAATTGGCAACGACTGTGATCCAGAAAATGAGATCCGGAAGTCAGCGCGTTTTCTGGAACTTACCCTCGGGCCGCACGTCTTCAGACGCGCAAACCATCGAGGGGCTGTTCAGAGGCATCATCTTCCAGGTACTTCAACACTCGGGTGATCTGTTCAACAGTTGTGCCGAGCAGTTGAACCTCTCAAGAATTCACGCCACTCATACGGAGCGCGAATGGGTCGACCTTGTCTGCCTCCTCTTTTCCAAGTTACCGACAGCATTCGTGATCATCGAGACCGAGGCGCTTCAGAAGGCCTACCAACACGATCCTGATTGGAGCAATCGACTTCGCGAGTATCTTGATCTTATCAATGACCGATGCTCAATCGCAGGGTGTGAGCTAAAAACCCTGCTCGTCCTTTATGGAAACTCGCATCGAGGTAGTGCAGCTGCTTCAAGCTCGAAGAACGTTCGTGTCGCGACATTGCAGCCGCCAAATCCAGTACCTCCGCATCTGCGGCATGTGGCGCGTCGATCCGGTTTAGTAGCTAAGGGATGGAAGATGCAAAGGCCAAAAGGACGAATATAGCCGCATGTCATAGCCACTCAGTCAGAATGAAGAAATTGCGGTGTATTTGACGGCATGGAGGAAGGGACAGACCCTTTAGGGCTGTCTGCAATCGAGAGGTGCACGTGACTTATCGATACGCACCTACCATCGCGCGAGCGCGACTGCCCATCATTTCGCGCCCGCATCATCACCTTCCCTCCCAACTTCATCCACCCAAAACCCATCACATCTCCATATCCACCCCACACACCCACGCGATCTATCTTCATACCATCACCACTGAACTACCTCACCACACGATGATGCTCACAACATCCTTCTTCTCACACCAAATGCCGCACTACTCAGCATACACGCCACCGCGATCATCACCACTATCCGAGCGCTCCGCAAATGCAGCCCCACGAACCTTCGACTTCACTATGTCGTCACCTCTTAAGGAGAAGTCGGCGATGCCACAACGCGCGTTCAAGGCCAATCCTGTGATGCAAACGCGCGACGCCACTACGAAGCGAAGGAGGGACATGTTCTTCAAGCGCGTACAGAACAACCGGGATGACAAGAAGTGGGAGTCGCGAGGGGAACAGGTACGCGATTCAATCGTACACAGACGCGATCAACCATGCTAATTGATGACGCAGATCCAACAACTAGACTTCGTATCTGAGCGGAAGCGCTGGGAAGCCGAAAAAGCGCGTCAAGCGCCCCAAGAGAATGACGACATCGATGAAGAGACCATGGACGACGCGCCGCTACCTGTACTTCCAACTTACGCGCCTCAATCAGATCCCGAGATGACCGAAGCCGACTACGTCGCCGCACAAGAAGAGTACGAGCTACAACAATTGATCGCGGTAATGGAGCAAGAATCGGATGCTCGGTCACAGCACTACGGTAGTGATGACGACGACTATGATTCGATATTCATGGAGTGCGCGACGGCGGGGCACGATCAGTATCAGCAGCAGCAGCAACGCGCGCAAGACGCGTTCGAAGGAGACGTGATGGACATGGATATGATGGATTGCTGAAAAATGACTTGAAATCGGAGACTATCGAGATTAACCAGATACCGCCCCAAAGAAGGCGACTTGGTAGTGACATCATAGGGACTCTACACATGTTGTAAGAAGGAATTTGGCATCTCAGTATAACAGATTGCTTGGGGGAAGGCATCATATGTACATTGGGTATCTGGGAAGAATGAAGCAGACGAGTTATCGCACAAGGAGATCACTGAGTCGGGCAGCCCTGATCCATATCCTGAAGCGCCTCCTGCGCAGCATTCATATCACCTACGAGATCGGGGGGTGGAGAGCCAGCGGCTTGCATCTACATTAATATTAGCGCTTATCGCATCACACATGAGAAAGCAATCACATACCTTCTGCATCCTCTCCACAATATACTCCCTATCCCGCGCATTGTCGTCACTGTACCCTTTCCTTTCGAACCTGCCTACGATCTCCCTAACCAACATCTGCTGCTCCTCGTACCTCTTCAGATCATCCTTCTCACACTTTTCCTTGTTCTTGTCCATCCACGCTGGGAACTTATCGTCTAGCTCCTTCATCGGCTCGTACAGGATGTCCTTGTTGGTGAGCTGCTCCATCATGCCCATGAGCACTTTACTGAAGTCCTCGTCGCCTCCCTCACCAGCACCACCGAAGCCGCCTGATTCCATAGATGCGAGCATCTGTGCGAGGATATCGTCTTGGGAGGAAGATGCGGCGGCGGAGGTTGCGGTATCGGAGGATGACTGCATGCGCTCCATGGTCTTCTTGATAGTTTCCTGGAACGTCTTCTCTGCCTTTGCAGCAGTCGCCTTCTCAGACTGACCCGGCACCGCTTTCTCCTTCGCCTCGCCCGCACCCTCACCTACATGCGCATGCCCATGTTCATGCCTATGCGCAGGATCTTCCAACGGGTTCGCGCCACCCATTTCCGCACTCATCTCCTTCATAATCTCGTCGAACTGCTTCTGGAAGTCGCCCTGACCGAGGAGCTGCTCCATCTCCTTCTGCAGCTGTGCCTGGAACGCATCTTGGTCTTCCATCATGAGTTCAGCGGGGGAGATGTCTGAGGCTGGCCTGCCTGGCCCGGAAGACGACGGCGCATCGCTGGACTTGGGGTAGGCTGCTTCTATTGAGGAGGCGGTAGGGGCTTTGGCGTCGAGCTTCGTGTTTGCGAACTCGTCGAGGACATCGTCGAGGTCGGAGAGGTCGTCTTCTTCGGGGTCGGAGGCTACTTCGGCGGGGGGAGGGGCAGTTGTGGTGGTGGTGGGTTTAGCGAGCTGCTGCTCTTCCTTCTTTACGGCTGTATCCGCCATCTTGGTGTGCTCTCACTGTGAGATATAGGTAAGGCTGTATAAGGGTCCAAGAATTAGAGAGAGGAACAGGTAAAGAAGATCGTAGCTACCTAGACCAGACACATGCCATGTCAGCCTCGGCCCGCGCATACGATGTAGGCATTGGATCACATAAGCGGGGCAGGCACCAGAGCCAAGACCTAGCGCGGGGCAGATCGCGCATCGCACCTTCCACCTTCGCGCGACGGGATCTAGCCCCGAATCCCAACGCTGCGGCGCCCGATAATTGTTGTCAGGTCACGTGCAACCGTAACTCGACTTCACCTGGTCCTCTTACCGTCTGCAATCCTCACCTTTACCACAATCGTAGCACGTTAACAAGCGCGACGCCATACGCTCAAGCTCGCGATATATAAGACGCCGTCTTTGCAGTTTTCTCTCTATCTTTACCGCACGCTCTGCCGGTATCTCAGTACGGAAATCCACGAGACAAGCTAGAGGCGCAACGGCCAGCCTTACATCTACACCGACACTATGTCTCTTTGCGTCAACAGGCTCTCGGAAGAGAGGTACGCGCCCTCCGTTTTCCACATATATGTTCCTCGCTAACGCGGCAGCCAGAAAGTCATGGCGACGAGACCACCCCTTCGGCTTCTTCGCAAAGCCCATGCGCGGCTCCAACGGCATGATGGACCTGAAGCGGTGGGAATGCGGCATACCAGGAAAAGAAAAGACGATATGGGAAGGCGGTCTTTTCAAGCTCGAAGTCGCATTCCCAGATGAGTACCCAACAAAGCCACCGAAGTGTACGTCCCCACACATCTCTCAGCCCATGTCCATCCCTCCTCCGCCAAACCTCAACCCATCTGCCTAACAGCAGCTAATCAGCTCACAGGCAAATTCGTTCCACCCCTCTTCCACCCAAACGTCTACCCCTCCGGCACCGTCTGCCTCAGCATCCTCAACGAAGAAGAAGGCTGGAAGCCCGCCATCAACATCAAAGAGATCCTGCTGGGCATCCAATCCCTCCTCGACGAACCCAACCCAGAGAGCCCAGCACAAGCCGACGCGTTCAACCTGTTCAAAAAGGACAAGGCGGCGTACGAGCGCAAGGTCAAGCAGATCGTCAAGGAGAACCCGGCGCCGTAGTACGTTGTCAGTGCGCCAAAGGAAGGGCTACATATTGTCGGGGATGAGATGGGGGGAGAGGTGGTGTACCGTGGGGTGAGGATCCCTTTTGGTTATATGTGACTAACGGTTCGCGAGGGCCGTTATCTGGGTTGGGTACGGGATGGTGTGGTCAGGCCTTGATGAGCTGTTATGCAGTGGTCAAGCTGTCTTCCACTCAGTCGCGGCGGACACTGCTCAGACGAGGTGGATGTGCTCTTGCATTTTTCTTTCTTTCTTTGCCTTGACTTTTTGGTTGAGGCGCGCTTAGTATGGAAACGTCTTTTTGATGAGATACGGATCCCGGCGTTTGGGGTAGGTTCCCAAGCATTGTATGGGTGCTTAGATGGTGGGAGAAAAGCCGCATGTGGCTATGATACCTGACTTCTTCTTTAGCCTCCTGGCATATTGCGCATGGAGTAACATACACGATTGATTCATCTTTGTCGTATTCCAAATTGATATTCATGTGATCGGCTGCACGAAGCCATGATGGCTGTAGATGTACTCAGTATGATGCGTGATCCCGCCAAAGTAACAAACACACGAGACGAAGGACTGCACGCAACGAAGCAAAGAAACATATATTAAACCCATCCGGTCCCTCAGAAAACCCGGTTGATAAGAAGTCCAGCAGCCCTCTCGCCGCATCCTCACGACATGTGTCCAACAATCATCCTAATAGTACAAGCCTCGGATCTTACAGATAGTCACCGCGACTCCCAATCCAATTTTGTGTCCTTTGTTTCCTTGTTCACCTTTGCCTCGAGAATCCCAATATAGCAATACAGAAACGACGACCTAAGTCTCTGGGTGGTATAACGCGTGCCGGTGTCGTCGTGTCATACCCTTAGTATGGGCGGTATGCCGATCCGCCTCTTCCGCCACGGTATCCACCACGGTAACCGCCTCCTCGTGGAGCGCCGCCGCCGTAGCCGCCACCGTAGCCACCACGGCCGCCGTATGGTGAGCCGCGTCCGCCGTATCCGCCTCGAGGACCGCCTCGGCCGCCGCGTCCGCCTCGTGTCATACCGGGGAGGTTCGTTCGCTTGGGGACGACCTGGAAATATGTAAGTTTGCGTTCGCGCATTCCGTGGAATGTGTTGTGTATCCCATACCTTTAAATTCCGGCTGCGGAACTGGCTGTTGTCAAGGACCAAGGCCTCATTGACCAGATGTGGTTCTGTGAATTCCACATACGCATACCTGCATACGCTCATTAGCGTTCCGATCTTTCTGCCAAACTCTTGCCAGGTAGCGAAAGATACTTTCGCCCAACTGTTAACCCAACAACATGTACGCGACTGTGCGCGCGCATACTTGTTGATGTATGAAAACAAAAAAACTTGGAAATGCGCAAATCTTTCAAGGAAAGCCTCCTCTTAGTACTGACCCTTTGGGATGACCTGTGAACTTATCGAGCAGGATCGTCACACGGTTAATGCTTCCGATACTCTGGAAGTGTGCCTGGATCTCTTCGGGGGAAGCGCCGTAGTCGACGTTGCCGACAAAGACACTGCGCGCGTCGACGTCTTCTTTGCTCTCGCGCATCTCGTGGCGTTCTAGGTCCGTCTCGCTCTGCATCTGGCGTAGCTTCTGGGCTTCTTCCTCCATTTCTTGTACGCGTCGCCTCATTGCTGAGATCTCTTCCTGCATTGCACTGTCAGCCTGCTCTTCTATATCGGAACTTGTATGCGCGACACCCGCCGGCTATCCTCGACGAGTCTAACGCGCGCGTTGTGGTGGATGGTATCGTACCTCTTCGTTGGGGTCTTCGGCGGTATCGAGGCGCTCATCCTCCTCGCGCTTCTGTTCGATAACCTCGGCGTCGGACATGATGATTTGGGTGTAGTTGAAAGTCTAGGAGCCACGTCAGTAAATGAGAGCATTTAACGGGCCGTCCATGACTTACCGGGCTAACGTGAATGTTCCGGGGGCGTGAATGGTAATTAGATCGCGACCGTTTGGCGGTTGAATTTCCTTTTTGCTGTGATAAGATCAATCACAGATTGCGACGACGTGTAAATGACTGGTGGAGGGTGTGTAGGCTGAAAGGCAGCTGACGGAGGTGAAGGTAATGTTGCTCATACGAAATGACGAATGGCGCTGGGGAAGCTCGTAGCGCGACGCTAACAAGGCAGCGGAGCCTCACTTATGTAAGCACGGGCCAGCTGCAAAGCTGCGTCAGACTCACGACCAACACCTTTGTTTCACTCAGTCATGTCATTGTCAACGCCTTCCACCGGGGTTTTTGAAACTGATTGCATTTCTCTTAAGTCATTCACGCTTTTCTTAGCCATGCTGTCCTTGTTTTGCCGAAGCGGCCATCCATTCTTGTACTGCCTGCACCAAGCATTGACACATTTTCCTTCCGTTCTCCAAACGTGAGACCTTTCACTCTCCGTCTTTGTCCTCAGGTGACACACACTCAGCGGTCTTGTAGTCCTCGCGTTTGAGCTTACGATCGGCCTCCGGTAGCTTGCTGAGATGATGCATCTTTCGAAGAACAAGAACCAAGAATTCTTGTGGCAGGTGATCAGCACCTTCCTCCCCGTTGACAATGATATCCTCCACGCCTTCATTGTAACAGAACGCATCTACAGCCAAGCGGATTAGAGGATCATCCTTGGGCAAGTCCCCTTGGAAGATCAAGTCGACATTCGACGCACTGAGATAGCCATCTGACAGCCAATCGAACAGGCTATCCATCAATGCGTTCTTCAAGGTTCCGATCGATAGATTTTCCGCTAGTAGGTAAACGTTCAGCCTGTTTTCCTCACTGTCCATGTCGATCAGGGAAGGAAGGCTCCTTTCATACATCCAGTCAACGAGAATGTCGAAATCCATGGTATCGAAATCTCCGAGCTCGGGAAAGTATAAGATTTCCGATCCGTCGGCAAGGCGGCTTCGAAAGTATCCTGAGTGGTATGTCAACAGCCGTTTGTGTATGGTATAGCGTTTTTGCTTCTCGCGTAGTTTGAAGACGATGACGACGGTCTCTGATGCGGCAACGGCACTGTACGGCATGAGCATCATCTCGAATGTTTCATATATATGTGATCAGTCATATACCTTGTGCGAGGTGCTTCGTTCTTCTTCATAGCATCGCTCTTGAAGTGGTGTGTCTTTGTTTATTGTTGGTATAGCTGGATGCAGATGTCGCCCTTGGTCAGCAAGGATCAAGTTGGATGAATAGCGGAAGGCAGGGTGTAGGTGAGAAGAAGTACGAAGAAGATCCGCAACAATCGCTGCCACTTATAGCAAGATGGCCGGCAGATCGCATAAGGTGAGAGATATCTGGCTCTCTCACTTCAAACATCTCCTAACAGTGCATTCTCTTACTCTTCAACATCACCTCCCTCGTCAACGATTCTAATGCACAATCGAGGATCACAGCTGTGTTTACTATTTTAAACCTTCGGAATCAACCTTCGCTATTAATTAATCCTCAAAACCTCACTATAATCCTCCCTCTTAAAACTCTCCAGCTCCGGCGGCGTCTCCCCCAATTCATTCATCCTTAACATCAATCTCACAAGAAAATCCTGTGGTAAATCCAACGCATCCACCTTTTCACAATCAATCATATGGAAAACCGCCTTGCGAGTAACCCATATATCCACCACAAACCGTAGCAATGGATCCGACTCAGGCAAATTACCGAAAAGTTCAACGATCATGCGGCAGCGTGGTACCACTATCTTCGGGCGAAGGAAAAATTCGAAGTAAATGTCCATAAGCGCGGACTTGAGGCCGGGGACGAGGAGCCGATCTGCTAGAATGTAGGTTCGACTTGAGACGGAAGAACCTTTGTCGGCTTTGGGAGAACCGAGTCGTAGCGAGGTGTTTAGGGTACTGCGGTATATCCAGTCGACAAAGGCATCGAATGCGTCGGTATCGATGTCGGTAATGGGAATAACGCCCTCTTCGGCTTCTCTGAATGCGCCGGCTAGTGCGCCACGGAAATAGCCGGAGTGGTGCTTAAGGAGTTCGGTATGTAGGATGTACTCTTTGCCTTCAGCACCGACCTTGACAATAACAGTAGGTGAAGTTACTGCGATGCTATCTAATAGTTAGTGTTGTGTCGTGCTATACGGCATTAAACTCACCTGGGGAGAGGCACCGCGTCGAAATATGAAGGCTCCTTAGCGGCCATCTCTGGGTAGTGTGTTGTGATGGTCTGCGTCTGTCGATGAAGAGGAGTAGAGAGGGCAAAACCTTTGACTTTCGCTTGAGTCAAGTGAAATGTACTATGCTCAGTTATGTCGCGACAATGAAAGGGAGGACTAGTTCTCTTTACTTCGGCAGTGTCAGGGACGACCCTAGAGGCTACAATGCGTTCACCGCTCGAGAATGTGGCCTATGTAGGTTAACGTAATCGCCACGCATCTAATCACAACTTCCATGAGGACGTTCGGAGTCAAGTATGGAGTCCAGTGAACCGACCCTCCGTCAACAAACTGGAGAGGTCACCGAAGACCACAGACATGACATTTCCCAAAGTGGCTTTCGTCGGGTTACGAACGAATGTGCTGTTCAGCACTCGCCTCACACCACCAAGGTCTTTCCAGGAGACAAGAATCCCATGTGCCAAGTAAAGCAGACACCGTGCTTTTCTTTTGTCATTCCTATGTGTCTCACTAGAAACGACGTTGGACGAATTGAACACGAAAAGCGGCTCGAAACCGCAACCCATAAATCGGTATCGCCTGTGAATATTTTCCCGTCCCAAGACCACATCAAATAGAGATATAGACGTCCATCTCATCTCCATGACATTTTCATAACATCGTGGCATCCTACTCCAGCAGGATACCTTGACGTATTCTCTCATACCAAAATTCATCATCCTTCCCGTCCGCATGGCCCAGAACACATAGCCTAGGCACTGCCCGGCGGCCCGCCCATATTCAGAAGAATATCTAACATGTCCATGCCACCGATATCCGGTCCCATAGCCGTCTGATTGATCTCCGCACCCCACTGATCCAGCAAAGGATCAAGTGGCAGCGCAAGCCAATCCTGATCTTGGCCGGCGCCCCAGCTCGCACCACTATTTGCCCACTGACTCCAGTTGGTATTGTTATTGCCGTTGGAGTTGTTGTTGTTTGTATTGTTGTTCTGGTATTTCTGATAGTTGCCAGGCGGAGGCATGATGCTGATGGAATTGCTGTTGGGGTCGTAGGGTTCGGCTGAAATACCCCAAAGAGGTGTCGCGCGACCGCTGGCACCGAGGCCCATACTAGGGGAGCCGGGCACGCTGGTACCAGTACCAGAAAAACCTGTTTGCTGTGATCCCATGTATGCCGGTGCAAGGTGGTTGGTGTTGTTGAGTGGAGCGGGCGGAGGCATCAACGGTGGCTGGTTCGGGCTCTTGCTTCCAGCGCGGGATATGCCACTCGAGCCGTTGGCAGCAAGGCGCACGAAGCGCGAACGGATGCGGTGGGTCAGGGTTTCGACGAGATCAGCGAAGCGGTTACCGACGTGCACATCGTCGACTATGCTCGTTCGTAGGGCATCGACCGAGTCGCTGAGCAGGCTAAGGCTGACAGCCACGTCTTCTTCGGTTGCGCCCAACGCAAATGTCTTGAGCAGAATTATGGCCACACTGACGATGCGGAAGAACGTGCGCACTGGCGCATGCCGTAGATAGCCACCAGGATGCAGACCCTCCACCACGACTTTCAGTACGTTGCGTGACGCATCGATGACTTCGTTGATGTAGTGGCGATCGTTCGCGTACCACTTGACGAGTGTACTAAAGGGAATAGCGCCGCCGTCATCGTTACCAGTGCCATTGCCGTTGCTGTTTGGAGTGCGTCCGTTCATGCCGTTGGGCTGAGCATGTGTCTGTAGCGGAGTGTTGTGCGTGCAGCGTTCTACCACCGCCTGAAGAGCGAGGGAGTTGAGATATACACGCGTGTACTCAAACTCGATGATGAGGACGTGGCGGAGTTGTGCCGGTACTAGAGGTTGTTAGACAGAGTGTGTGAGAGCAATGCATTGATAATCCTACCTTGAGGGGCTCGGTCGAAGCATTTCCTCCACTCCACCAATGGCCCTTGGAAGAACTTAAGCATCTCCTCGTAGCCTCCCGACTTGAGCAACTCCCTGGTCTTGCGTCGATTGGAGAACAACTTCAGGTTACCCATCTCCATGACCTTGGCAATGCGAGCCCAGAAGTCGAGCACAAGATCTTGAACAGCGTGGCGTTCCTGGGTAGCGATGGATTCGAGCGGAAGGCGCTGGCCATCTGAGCGCATTCCAAACTGAGCTGGAGGGGCCTTGATGCGACTGATGCGCTCCTTATATAGCTCAAGTGGTGAGGGTCCGCCAACTAGGTTCTCATCTCGCTCAAGCTTGGGAAGCATGGAGGTAAGGCCCAGTCTGCCACTGGTCTGGGTGACGTATATTATGAGCAAGTCGCGAAGATGGTTCTTCCTCCGGTAGTAGGCCTTCACTGTCGCATGTGAGAGGTGCTGATTTGCCTCTTCGAACTCGGTCTCGTTCGTCTCGTCGAAGACGCCAATCTCGAACGCGAGCGTCATGGCGTTGCCCAGCAGCATCCAGCACATACGGTCACTGCGCCAGCACGGCTCCAGCCAACTATCGATGCGCTTGTCGCCCACACCCTTGTACATATCAGCCTTCGGTCCTGCCTCGTAGGGATCGTCGGGGAGAACGAGCTCGTCGTCGTCATCGCCAGGAGGGAAGTGCAGCGCGCGAGGATGCCATTCGGTAAGGAGCATCAGACTCTCGACAGTGCCAAGTGTACGAAGGCCCTTCCGCGACAGAGGGTTCACGTCGGATCCAGGCTGCTGGCCTGCGCCACAGAAGCCGCCGCCGAACTGCTCTTGTCCGAAGATCATGCGATCTATCATGCCCTGCAGGTACTTCCATAGTTTCTCGTGGATGAGGTATGACCGAGATGTTGCGCCAACACCACTCGAGCCGCTGGGTTGGGAATACCTCGCCGAGATGGTCAATAGGGTGATGACCAGCATAGGCTCCTCCTTAAGCAGCTTTGCGTGAAAGGCATGATCGCGGTAGTCGGGCACGACGATTGGTGTGAGCGGCGACAGGAAGGCGTAGAAGTAGTCGATGTATGCGATTGCTTCCTTTGCCGTGAGCCATCCTGCGCGCACAAAGCGAAACTTTGACCAGGCTCTCACGGCGTCGGCGAAGGCAGCTTCGTTCGGCGGGTCGGGCAGCATGGGTTGCTGTATAGCCGGATCGACCGAGGGCTCGACGGTGGCGCGCGAGTTGGCGCGCGCATGGGATGTGTTGGGCCGGGGGCTTGCGAAGTTGGTCTGCGAGCCTGGTGTGCTGCCGAGGGTCGGTCGCTGCATGCTCGAGCTGCTTCCGGTGCGGTGGTGGTTGTTCATGCCAGCCGCCTCGAACAGGAGGTTCAGCGCATCGTGGCCGCTGTAGACCTCGCCCGCCTGCAGTGTCGCGACCGTCTCGTTGTTCACCTTCTGGTCCTCTTCCTCATTGGGCGTCCGCTGGTGGCCGCCCGAGGTGTTCGGCCGTCGCAACGGTTCGTATCGTCCGATGGAGCCGCCTGGGGTTAGAGGCTGCGATATGTACGCCGGGTTGTTCGTCGTGGTGATCAGAGGCTCGGGCAGGCCATCTGAGCGCTGGCGCTTCCTGCCATTGCGCACCTCGTAGTCGTCGACCTCGTCATAGTCGTCCTCGCCGTCGGCCTTGCGCTTCCGGCGTGTCGCAGAGAAGAAGCATTCCTTACTCTCCCTCCTGCATCGCACGCAGGGCGGGTCGTGTGGGTTATCTACAGGGCCAAGATCTGAGGTATATCAGCAATTGCGCGATAAGCACACTACAGAGTCAACGTACCGCATCGCACCTTCCTGCGTCTGCACGGGATGCAGGCCTGGTAGGTGCGCGTGTGCTGGGCATTCTGCGTGCGCGGCGGTGGAGAAGCATTGGAGCCCGCCGTCGACATAGTGGTGGTGGATTACGGTCGGCTTGCACCGGCTGAGAGCTGGCGGACTTTGGCTCTGATAAGGGCTGGAATACCGCCGAGGCTCCTCAATCCAGCGAGACGGTACCTGCATGCAATATGCAACGTGTGTGCGCAACGGTAACGCCTACAGGAAGGTCTTCGTGTATGACTCCGCGCAATTCTGCTATTTGTTATCGTCGACTTGAGCTTACGGTACTGAGGCGTCGAAGGACTCGGGAGCGGGTCACGAGCGCGGGGGCTTTGGCTATTACGGAATGGCGTGTCCGCTCCTCCAATCTTGAACCACAACACCACGTAACAGTCGCAAACTCCCTCGGGTACCTTACGATCCATTGCCGGGTCACGCGTTGAGTGTGGCCGTGCAATCCGCTGCTTACGTCAGGGCGACCGATGCTTCCTGGCTGTACCTGCTGCTCGCGGCATGTGATCTGCTCGTGCACTCTGCGCGTGGCACAGCACCCAATCCGGCCAATGGGCAGTGAGCGGAGACCACAAACGTCATACCTGTCGTCTTTGTCCGTGTCTCGATCTGGCACGGTTGGTGGCTGGGATATAAATTGTTGCAACTCACGCGTCACGAACAGCCCCAGAACGCGTCTCGATGACATGCCATAGCTTCTACTAGCGCACGATTGCATAAGCATGTATCCAGGTCGGAAGCATGGCGGCAGGCCTTTGACAGAAAGCAGGAATATATCCCAACTGGAGATATGGACATATGCAACGCCAGCACGCTTAGCACCTGTTAAGCCGGAAGACGAGTACCTTCAACATATCCTCCAACACCCTTTGGCCACGCAATGTATATCCAGGCAGCCATCTTGGGCAATGTCAACAAAACGCCAATGTTGCATCCTTCCAATGTGCCATCGCTGGCTTCACCCTGGGTTCCCTAGCACCAGAACCCACAGGTCATGTCCGAAAGCTACAACGCCGTTAGTCATCGTACCATCAAGGAATCCCAGGATGACTTACCCTCGGGTGATCGTTCTGGTGGTTCTCATCACAGCTAGTCTCGGCGCGCGTCCACGGGTTCCAAGAGCACATGCCCATGGCATCCGGGGTGTTGGTAGTCAGAGTGCTCCAGTAGCCACCCTTCGGCTCAAACGCAAAGTACATCTGCCTGTCGTCCGGATTGTAGTATACAATCAAGCCACCCATGCCCGACAGCCTCACAGCACTCTTGTCGATACGACCAGCCCCCTCGGGGTACGTGACCACGGATTTACGATTGTTGTCTTCGACGCTGTAAAGCATGCCAAGCATCTGGTTGTGCCAGCCTTCTGCGGGCGTGTGAAGACACTGCTGGAAGAGTTGCAGCTTGAAGGAGCAGAATCCTGGGGCGTAGTCTGCAGAGGATGAGTTGATAGCGGCTGGACTGGGTGGTATCGAAAGCATCTCGGGGAGCGCCTCGGAGCGCGCGCGCTTCACGGTGAAGTCTGACTCGGGCTTTGCGCAGTCAAATTCGCAGGTCAGGGCTTGAGACTTCAGTGATAGTCAGTAGGAGTAAACAGAAGAGTATCTTGGGAACTAACTCGGTGATTGCGGTTACTATCGTTGCAATCCAGCGGCAGGTTGTCCCACGGCTTAGTGGTGCAATTGAATTCGCTGTCTCCATTCTGGTTGGGCCATTCAGCGTCGCCGTAGATGACTATCTCGTGTCAGTACTTTTGGAATCCCAGGGGCTCGCGATAGTACACACATCCGATACTGTCCCTCTCATATCCAATCTTTAGTTTCTTTCCAGCAACCACGCCGGTGAGCGTCTGTCCATCGGTCAAGTCAATGAAGTCGGTTTGCTCCATAAACTGGTTGCCAGCGCCATCATAAACGGGTGAGAGATCGACGTAAGTGTTGTCGTGGTTGTCCCAGCAATCCTGAGTGATGACGGCGTCGAAGGAACAGCGACCGGGTGTGAAATCGGGGCTGACACCTTGAGCGACTACAGAGGTAGTCAACAAGAGAAGCGCGCAGGCGACAAGGGTAGACCTGATGAACATATTGGTAACAAGGGTGCTTCCAAGCCGGCGGGATGATTGAGGAAGGTATCAAGGGTAGGAATAGGCTGGGGCGGAAGGTGAGTGTTGTAACAAGTGATATGACGTGATCGCTGGTCGCAAACGCTCAGACGTTGGGCATTTCAAGTAATGAATGTGTTGTGGTAATTCTGAGAATGAAGGGGTGGTTCGAGGGTTAAGAGTTCCACTGCACTTTCCTGGGACAGGGTCACGACTGGGCTTTCAGGATCCACGTTCGAACCAAAATTCATACCCGTCCGAGCCGCAATTCTTTGTTTCTGGTGCGAGTTCTCCTGACAGATCCGGCGATCGCGCGTTTGTCATTACGCCAATAAGCCACCTGTCGATGGAATGCTGCCCAAGATGTGAGAGACATCTGCAACTTGTGGTACATACTCCAATACTTGGCGCTACGTACGTGTAAAAAGTCCAACAATTGAAGCGACGCTCACCATTGTCTGATGCGTAGATAGGTATAAACTTGTGCATAATGTCACGCCGGATCAGGCTGCCAAGGCTGATGCGATGCTACCCTACTTTGTTCGCGATTGGCAGTTGCAGACAGTACATTCCAAAATTCAACCTTGGAAAGCCCTAAACATCTCCACATGTAACTACGAAACACATAGCTATGTTTATTGGAGCTCGTGTAGTCTCTTACTACGAGACCCGAAACAAATGCGAACGTGCAATCGCCCATGAACGGCGAACATCTCTGGCTTGCAATGACTTGTTGTCAATTCTTCAGCCTCTATCTAAGTACCCAGTCGTTATACGTGATCAAAAGATGTAGTGTATTCTCATGTACGCAGTATGCGCGTTTCATCCTGCATGCAGCAGCCAATATTTGAGACTGCATAGTCGAGGTTACACAGCAGCGCAGGCAATCACTCACATAAGAGGTCAAAGCGCGACGGCTTGCCCCGTTTGCTTATCAACAGATTGCAAGCCTGCCTACTTAAATGATAGCAATCATATTCTATAAAGTCTTTTAAACCCCGGAACGTAACTAATTCCATCCTCGTACCTTGGTAGTTCATTCGACATGTTTCCCGATACACCTTCATCCCACGCGGACGAAACGACGTCGCCGCTCTACGAAAAGCGATCGATCCCGGGAAAGGGAAACGGCCTTGTCGCATGTGCCGATATACCGGAGGGGACTCGTATTCTGTGTGAGAATCCGTTGTTCACTCTAGTCTCCACAGCGGATATGGTCGATAATGCTGTGTTGGCGAAAGTGAAATCTCTTTCCAAGGACCAACAACGCCAGTACCTCGGTCTTCACAACAACCATTCCAATAGCAACATATTCTCTGGTATCTTCAAGACAAATGCTTTACCATGTGGACCGGGCTCGCCGATCGGTGGCGTGTATCCAACCATCTGCCTGATCAATCACTCTTGCGACTCCAACTCCCACCATAGCTGGAACGACACGATAAGCAGCGAGACCATACACGCCCTTCGAGACATCAAAGCGGGAGAAGAGATCACAATCTGTTATAAAGATCCTGAGACCTATCAGGCGCGACGCGCTAAGCTTAGAGGCTTGTTCGGGTTTGATTGCGACTGCAGTCTTTGCTCACTGCCAATTGAGGAAAGACAAAAGAGTGATGCTCGCCGCACCCGCATCGCGCAACTCGATGAAGACATCGGTGACCCGAGCCGCGTCATGAACAGCCCAGGTACCTTCACCTGGACACCCCTACTCGTGTTTATAACCACTGACGCACTGTAGTACGTACCGCAACTAAAGCTAGCCATACCCTTTGAACTGGCTCGATAATATCTAGGAAGACATTTGCTAACTCCTGTCCGTCTCATTTAGGTCAAGGTCTTAGCAGACTGCCGAGAAATGGTACGTGTCCTGAACGAGGAGTTCAAATGCGTCACGATCCTGGATGCAAGACTGTACTACGATGCGTTCCAGGTCGCCATTACCCATGGCGATCAAGCTCGTGCTAGCGTCTTTGCGGGAAGAGCATACGACGCTCGGCTCATTTGCGACGGGGACGATAGCCCGGAGACACGCAAGATGAAGGACTTCCAGAGGAACCCGAATACACACCGCAACTTTGGAGTCTCCAAGCGATGGAGGAATAACAAGACCGCGGTTCCCAGAAATCTGGACGAGACGGAGTTTGAGGATTGGCTCTGGCGGTCGTGATCAGGCTGATCCGCAAACTTGAGGGTGTGAGATATCCTTGGACAGAAGCCCACAAGGTTGATTGTATTGGGTGAGAGCAAACAGTGGTTTTGAGCGGTGATAGAGCGGCTTGACAGCGTGATGAGATTCTGGTTTGCGCTTAGCTGGTGTGAATAGCTCACTCACTCACTCACAATGCATTTCTTTTAGGCCCCTACCCTTCTCTTGCCCTCACTTGCAACACAGTGTGCGCAGTAGCTGCTCGTCAGGTAAGAGCTTGCAGATCACAAAAGTTTACCACATCATCGGCGCTTGCAAAAGATTATACTTGACTTCTGCAGTCAGCTTGACTACCGCCGCATCCCGTACGATGAGTTCCTCACTCTACGATGTTCGAAAGATCCCCGGAAAAGGCAGAGGCCTGGTCACCCGCTCCGACGTTCCTGAAGGCACCCGTATCCTCTCCGAGAAACCGCTGCTCATGATACCTAACAACATGTCCAACGAGCAACTGGAGGCTCGACTCGCACGAGATCTAAAGGCCCTGGACAAGACTCAGCAGCGACAGTTCTTTTCACTTCACAACAGCTACACTGGCAAGTACGTCCTCGGTGGTATCTTCAAAACAAACTCGATGGCTTGCGGCAGCGACTTGTCTGCCATTGCAATCTTTCCCACCATCAGCTTCATCAATCACAGCTGCCTTCCAAATAGCCATTACAATTGGAATGACTCCATGGGGGTGCAGACGATCCATGTCACTCGCGATCTCAGCGCTGGAGAAGAGATAAGTATCTGCTACACCGACTCTGGAAGTGCCAGTGTTCGCCAAGCTTACCTGAAGAAGCATTTCGGGTTCCACTGTTCGTGTGCAATCTGCTCGCTGTCAGCTACTCATCGGAATGCCAGCGACGCGCGTCGTGAGGAAATCTCTCGTCTCCAGGACGCATTTGAGTCAACAGATCATGCCAGCTCCAAGCCTGAAGAGGCATTCTTCGACCTTCGGAAGATAGTCGACCTCTTGAACAAGGTACGTGATTTGGCTTAGTGAGACTGTAAGTCTATACTGATGGCTTCCAGGAGTTCAAAGGCGCTGCCAAAGTCCCCGAGGCGGATATCTACTGTTATGCGGTACAGCTCAGTCTCTTCCATAGTGATGAGGCGCGAGTAAGTGTATTCGCTGAGAAGGCGTACAAGGCTTTGCTCGTCTGTGTGGGCGAAGACGGTGAGAATACACAAGAGATGAAGGCCCTGATAGACAACCCTGCCTCTCACGGAGACTTTGGATCGCTGTCGGATAGATGGAGGTCTAACAGGTGTGATGCTCCAAGAGACAGGGGCTTCGACAAGAGATACTTCGAGGATTGGCTTTGGCATTCCGTGGAGAGGGTGGAGACGGAGGATCTTAGCGATCATGATTGCCCCGACTTTGGACGAGGATAGGAACTCGTAGCCATTCTAGAGCTGTGTAAACTGTCTCTCTGACTGTCTGTAGCTGCATCATTGCGGGGAGTAGATTCGGGTGCCTATGCAAATAAAAAATGACAGCGAGTTTGGTACGTGCGACGGCGTTTCCAGACGTTTCCAAGGTTCACAATGACGAGCGGGTGTGGTGCCGATTATATTTCAATTGAAGAGGATGACAAAGTTGTCCAGCTCTGGAGGCTGAAGAGTCGAGGACGCGAGAGGTGCGCAGCCTTTCGGCCCGATTTCGGCATAGATCAGCGCGTGAGCTGCACTCCAAGGTGCGCGGCGATGCTTCTGCATCCGCATCCCGCCCCCACCTCTGCACACTAGAGAAGCTCCATGCATGGAGCACCGAAGACCACGCGATGCTCTCTCATGCGATCGTTGTCGCGCGAAGAAGCTAAAGTGTTCGAAAGACGCGCCAATATGCACTTCCTGCGCCCATAGCGGCTCGCACTGCCATTACAGTGGCAAAGTCGCTAGATCACCCTTGACACGGGCATACCTCACGGGTGTAGAGAAGCGATTGCATAGCCTGGAATCACTGGTCACGCAGCTGCTACCCGGAGTTGATATTGAAGACTTGTTGTCATCTCCAAATGTGGCTGGTTCTGCACGGTCGGTTCTCATTCAGTCTCAAACGCCAGAAGTAGCTCCAAGCCCCCAGGGGAGCACCCACTCAAGCACACATGAGCCTGCATTACCTGAAGCTGTGCCCAACAATGTCGATGGATTCAATTGGCAGGAAGAAGACGTCAATGTGGATGGGCTGACGGATGGCATGGCCGCCCTATCAGTCGAGCCTACTGGTGTAGGTTACTTGGGTTAGTCGCTTCATTCAAAGAGCAAAACGCGTGACTGAAACTATCTAGGCTCGACTTCTGGGGTAGTTTTCCTTCGATGCTTGCTTGATTGGGCCGGATTTTTGCACCAGTCTGTTCCTCGACCCCAACAGAGTGTGGCGACCCCATCCGCTTCCTTTCGAAACGTATTGGCATCATCGCATATCTCGCATGCAGCTCTCACAACACAGCTGTCATCGAGCTTGATTGATGCCTACTTTGCCAACTACCACGTAGTCTATCCATTTGTTCACGAAGCAACATTCCGAGCCCAATACCATGAAGTCGTCCCGCGGCCCTCGAAGAAGTCATGGAACATGCTTTCTCATGCGATCATAGCACTTGGGGCGTGGTCGTTGAATAACGATCAAATCGGACTGGAAGACTACCTATACCGCCGGGCTTTGACCTTGGGTCAGGAAGAGTCGGTGTTTGAAGCTGCCAGTCTGACCTCTGTGCAAGCACTCATACTCCTAAGCAACCTCAGTCAAAAGCGCAACAGCCCAAATACGGGGTGGAATTTGTTGGGCCTCGGTGTTCGCACAGCGCTTAGTTTAGCCCTCCACAGAGAACTTCCTCACTGGAACATCACCCTGATCGAGCGCGAGACGAGACGTAGAGTATGGTGGGGTCTCTACATCTTCGACAGTGGAGCTTCGACGACATTTGGTCGCGCCATCATGTTGCCTGATCAAGAGACTATGGATGTTCATCCTGTGCTGAACATCCACGACGAGGTATGGTCATCCAGCGAAGTTTGTTTAGCCGTTGCGAAACTGACCCATGCTAGTCACTTACGCCACAAACTACAACGCTGCCCACTGAGGTTGATGAACCGACTATGTACTCCTCTCTGAGAGTGCAGAGTAGTTTTCACCTACAGACGAACCATATCTCGAACAAACTATTAGCCGAACCCGGGCTCTCTGCGGAGGCTGCTCTCGCTTTGAACGCTTCCATGGATGCGTGGGCGCACACAGTTCCGACATATTTCCAGCTTTCGCACGCGCCCAGATCGACAGCTCCATGGTATTCATTCGCCCGCTCTCGGCTATGGTGGAGGTTCTGGAATCTCAAGATCATCATCTTCCGACAGATATTGTTGCGCCGAGCCATCTCCGAGCGAGGCCAGATTCCAGACTTAGCCATGCAGTCAAGCCAAGAGGACTGTAAGCGAATCTGTCTTGAAGCTGCACATTCTACAGTGGTTTCGATACATCAATATGCAACACAAGACTTGAACAGACTTGAGGGCTGGTACGCAACGTGAGTACCTTAGTTGGACCCTCCGTATGAACATTTAAGCTAATGGGATTACAGGTACTTCCTTTTCCACGCGGCACTAGTAATAACTCTTTGTATCATCAGCTTCCCACGCGCTGAGGAGACTGCAATCTGGTACGACGATGTTCGCTTGGCCCGAACCACCTTCCGTGAACGGCTTGTTGGGGATTCGCTGTCAGCACGCTGCGTGGCCATCCTCGACCAAGTGGTATCTGACGGCGAGCTGGACTCCGGTACACTACAGGATCTGGAGCTGGACAAAGATGCTTTGAGTACATTTCCATGGTCCGTTGAGTCCAATGAGTTATTCAACTCTTTCGATTGGGACTTCACTACGTCCGGGTTCTGACCTCAGGCGCGATCTTAATGGCACGATTCCTCAATTCTCGATGATGACATCCGGCTTCACCATCATGGATCGTATCAGTTCGCCGTTTGGAATGTCATTCTCCTCTGCTCGTGCGATTGCAGCTGACATCGACGTCTCGATGCCAGCAGCAAGGTGACGTTGTGCTAACCTTTCACGAACTGTGTCCACAGGCGCGTCGACAAACCATCTACAGAGTGTCAGTACCAACCCGCCAGGCGATAAATATGACCATGACCAACCTTTCATCACACATCTCTGCAATCTGATCCCATGGGTCTTGCTTCAAAAGTGTGTAATTGCCTTCGACAATAACAAGTCGAGTACGAGAAGAGATCTTGATAGCGTCTTGCACGGGGTCCTTGACAGCATGGTCAAAGCCGGGTGCAGGAATACAGATGTCGGCTTCGCCATCCTTGGTGACGGGGGCTTCTTTGAGTGTCTTGACAAGTGTCACACACGCCTCCGCATCAAATGTAAACGGTGCCCCACGTCTTTTAAACGCTACTTCGGCATCATCGAAAGTCGATAGGATCTCCCGAGTGAAGTGGAAGCCGTCCTAGTGGTCGTCAGAGATGCGGCATCGCGGGTTGCAGTTGGCTCTTACCATCGGTACAACAGCAACATCTTTGACGCCTCGTGCAGCGAGCTCGGAGACGAGCGCATCAGACACTGTTGACTTTCCCGCGCCTGGCACGCCCGCAAGAGCAACAAGCATGCGATGACCGGGATTGGTCGCTTGGCGAGACAGAAGGTTTTCCGTGCGCTTGGCTACATCGAGTATGGCTGCACGCAAGGCGTCCACCTTCGATTCGGCTGGCATGATCGGCTATCCTGGAATAGAAGATACAAAATTCCTATTGAGATGCAAAAGTGTCTGAGATGTTCGCATGAAAGGGCTGGCATAAGGTGAGCAGTGTTGCAGTACTACATGCGACGAACTATGATCTAAAGATCACGTTGGCGTTGTGGAGCTCGGACGACAGCTGTCCGAGCATAAGTCATGTTGGAGCCCCAGTTCCCACAACTGAATCAGGCAACTTTACCATGCGGGGATCCCGCATGGCACTTACGACTACCGGCGTAGACGCATGGAGAATCATGGAGTCGGACGACAGTGCTCCGAAGGTGTCGAATTCCAGCTGCGATCGTGAAGTTCTCACGCGATCGGCAAAGGTATATAAGCACGCGACACTACCACCACTAGGCTGCCTACTCATAGCTGATTCCAACCATCGAAGCCGGCGTTGGCATATCCACAAAGAAGATCACCAACATGTCTTCAATTCAGGATGTTGGCGCCGCTGGAGCTGCGCCAAAGATTGGTGTCTACAAGGAGCTGAGACAAAACCCATATCTCCTTGGGCTATCCGCTGTAAGTTGGTATCAAGCCCAACTCGCCTCAGTTTCAACTAATATGCATAGTTCGCCTCGTTGGGCGGTTTCCTCTTCGGTTATGATCAAGGTGTCGTCTCTGGAGTGCTGACCATGGAGTCTTTCGCGGCATCTTTCCCGAGAATCTCTACAGACAGCTCCTTTAAGGGCTGGTTCGTCTCGACATTGCTACTCGCCGCTTGGTTCGGTTCTCTCGTCAACGGACCAGTAGCCGATCGCTTCGGTCGCAAAGGGTCTATCATCATAGCTGTCGTCATTTTCACGATCGGCTCTGCGCTTCAAGCTGGCGCGATCAATATCCCGATGGCTTTTGCAGGTACGAAACTTCCAGTGTGACATGATTGCAATCTATACTGACAATACGCACAGGCCGCGCAATCGCTGGTTTCGCTGTTGGCATGTTGACGATGATCGTGCCAATGTACATGAGTGAGGTCTCGACTGCCGGCATCAGAGGCACTCTAGTCGTTCTCCAACAGCTTTCCATCACACTCGGTATCCTTGTCTCCTACTGGCTCGAGTTCGGTACTCAGTACATTGGAGGCATACGTTGCGCGCCCGACATCCCGTATACTGGTGGCACTGCGGCAGAACCTGCCTTCGACCCACGGAACGACGTTGGCCCGAACGGCTGCACCGGTCAGAGCGATGCTGCGTGGCGCGTTCCTTTTGCGCTCCAGATCTTCCCCGGTCTCGTTCTCGGTATTGGAATGCTGTTCTTCCCCGAATCACCTCGCTACTACTGCATGCGCGATAATGAGGAGGCTGGTGTGCGAGCGCTCGCTCGAGTTCGTCGCACCACTCCAGACGATGAGTCCTTGCAAAAGGAGTATCTTTCCATCAAAGCCGAAGTCATGTTCGAGGAACAGTACAATCGCGAGAAGTTCCCTGGCAAGTCTGGAATCTCGCTGTACCTTTCCGGCTACTCGACTCTCTTTTCGACCTGGCCATCTTTCAAGCGTACCGCTATCGGTTGCTGTGTCATGTTCTTCCAACAGTTCATCGGATGTAATGCGATCATCTACTATGCGCCAACGATCTTTGGTCAGCTGGGCCTTAGTGGGAAGACGACTGGTCTGCTCGCAACTGGTGTATATGGAATAGGTATATGATCATCAGATTCAGCATCAGATGCAACGAGACTTGATGACTAACTTTATCTTCTAGTCAACACACTGTCTACTCTTCCTGCGCTATTCCTCATCGACAAGATCGGCCGCCGACCTCTCCTCCTCTGTGGTGCCGCTGGTACTTGCATCTCCCTCTTGATTGTCGGCGGTGTCATCGGCGGTTACGGATCTACTCTCAAAGACCACCCCGCAGCTGGCTGGACGGGCATCGCTTTCATCTACATCTACGATGTCAACTTCTCGTACTCTTGGGCACCAATCGGCTGGGTACTTCCATCGGAGATCTACAACATTGGTAATCGCTCAAAAGCCATGTCTCTGACCACCTCATCAACATGGATGTGCAACTTCATCATCGGTCTCGTCACACCCGATATGCTGGAAACCATTGGCTTCGGTACATATATCTTCTTTGCTGCTTTCGCTTTGATAGCATTTGTGTTCACGTGGTTCTTGATTCCCGAAACTAGGGGCAAGAGCTTGGAAGAGATGGACACTGTGTTCGGTGACAGCACTGCGCACGAGGAGAAGACTAGGTTGTACAACATTGCGCAGAGTTTGGGACTGGAAGAGGCTGAGGCTGCGGCATTCGATGAGAAGCCTATGAAGGCGCTGCAGACTGAGGTGACGAACGTGTAAGAATCGTCTACCCAGATGGCGGCAGTACATCAGATATCCGTTCACTATAACAGATGCTGTAGGCAATCATGACAAATCTTCCTATTCAAGGCAAAAGACAGAAGCTAAACACCGTGAAGCGTACGTTGCCACTAGGTCTCCTTGTTTGCTCAATATTATCCTGACGTAGGCTGCAGGCCTGATAGCTGGTCTTGAGAATCCTGCATTGATTCGTCTTCATCTTCATCATAACCATAATCACTTCCCTCATACTCGTCATCCTCAAAGTCACCCTCAAAGTCATCCTCAGAGTCATCCTCAGAGTCAGTAATCCACCCCGTCATCCGTACCTTCCTCCGTTCATTACAAATCTGAGCTCGGCATTCAGGACAAAGATTGGAGTTGGGTGAAGTGCCGTTCATCCATTCTTTGATGCAAGCGAAGTGAAAGTAATGGCCACAAGCGCTCATTTTGGCACCTAATAAGCCGTGGGTCTCAAGACACACAACGCAGAGCTGATCTTGAGGGATGTCTAGATCCCATGCTCCATGTTTCAATGGCTCTATGGGAGCTCCGTAGGCCTCTAGATAAGCCTTTCCGTAGAGGTTGCGTAGGGTTTTCGTGTCAAGATTGTATTCATCTTCGGAGTCATCTCCAGCGTTTTCTCCGTTGTCGGTTTGCAGGTTGTTTGCATTTTCTGCTGATGACGCTCCAGCCGATGCAGCTACTGGCCCGTTCAGCTTTGCGCACCAAAACGCGTGTATCTCCTCGCTGTTGTAGGAGTCGGTGCCAATAGTTTGCGCCTGAGCCATATTTCGTGGAATGCCTCCGAACTTGCCCTTTCTAATCCTGTCTGCTGACAGCGAAGAAGCCGCTTCGGGTATCTCTTTCCATGTTTGGAACTGCAGGCGTCCGTCTCTCCACATCCCTCTTAGCAGAGCTTTCATATCCACAGTCTGCGATTTGGACTTGATCATGGCTCTGGCAAACTGATCCATCACTCCTTGGTACAAATAGTCTGCAATCGGCTTATCCATGGTAAGGGCAAAAGCCTCGGCCCACAAATCATCCCAGATATCCCTAAACTTGATCTTCCTCAATGCGACTCTTGTATGGTAAGGAAGCACCGTGGTCTCACTTCCGTAAAGTGATGGAGTTGCTTCAACTATGTTCTTGAAGCGGGCGCGTGCCTGTAAAAAGCCGCCAAGGTAGGTCACGTATGATGGATAGAAACATGGGTTCCTGTCCCAGATTGCGGCCACGTTGAGTGCGATGTCCATTACGATCTCGACCAGGCTTGCTATCGATGCTTCGTCGCAACGGGGCCACATGGTAAAAAGACAGAGCGCGGGTTGGATGGCTTTCATGGTTATGAAGTGGTCCCCCTCTTGGTAGTCTTTACTACTGTTGTATTTTGGCTGAGGCGTGAGAAGCTGTTGAAGCGCCGTTCTCGCTCCGGCGTAACAAGCAACTCCATCCGGTAGGCGGATCAGTGCGCACTCGACAAGCCACTTGATACTGCGAGTTACTGTCGTATATCCTTCGCCCTTGTCCCATAGTACTTCTCCTGACATCAAGTCCGTCTGATGGGTGTACTCATCCACAACGTGCGAATACAATCCTCGGTAGAAGATACCAGGCAGGGCTTGTCTTACGGATTGCCTAGTTTGAAACTGCGGTGCCTCCCGGTCCACGAGTTCCGGTATTGTGGCGCACACATCGTCGTATCGTTGAGGGGTGGGCGTGTACACAAGGCAGTACTCATCGGCTTCGCGTTGACTGAGTATACCTGCGAAGAACCGGATGATGAGCTGGGATCCATAGGGTGCGTCTAGGAACCTCTCGACGGCGTTAGACAGTTCGGGAATATAACGTGGTTCAGGCTCGCGATCGTCGAGTTCGCAATCTCTGTCGACTTCGTGCATCGGCGCGGTCTTGACGGGATCGGATATGGATTTTCGACGTCTGAGTGCGGCTAGGAAGGAGGGCAGGAGCAAAGACTGTTTTTACCGCCAAAAGCTTGGACGTAGCAAACACTCATCCGACTAACAATGGCAGTGAAAGCGTTTCGATCCTCTGCTTATCACGTAACACCAAGGTAACAAAGAAGTGCATGGCGAACCCCCACAGGAGGTATATGTTTGTACACTAAATGCTAGCAATACGACGCCGCCACCGAAGAAAGTAAGAGCGCACCGATGCGACTAACGAGTACAAGGCTACTTGTGATACACGAGCAAGGAAAACCAAAAAAGCGAGCGCTATGTCAGAGCAATCAAGAGGGGTATTAGAGACAGTAGCGAAGATATAAACCAGCCACCACCAGGGCTCCTATAAGGATACATATTTCGCGCAGCGAGCGAGCGAACGATGCAGGCCGGAGGAAAACAGAGATGTAAAATGGGTGATGACAAGCAAAGGTATAAAGAAGCGAACAAGAAAGTAGAACCCCAGCCCAAAAAACCAAAGTTCTCCCAAGATTTCGTTCCACATAATGCGTCCCACAATCCCCAGAACGCCGGTTGAAGATAGAGGAAACAAGCCCCTAGGGTATACTGAAAAAGCAAATAATGTGACTCACAATGAGCGAGCGTCTAGAATCTCGACCCCGCCCTCAAACTGCCGTTTGCGCTTGTGCTGCGTGCGGTGCTAGCACCACTTCCAGCTCGCTTCATGCGCTTCTCCATAAGCCCGTTGAGCAGACGATCTAGTTCGCCACTCAGGCCTTGCATGGTCTTTGTCTCCTCGGAGAGATAGTCCTTCATCAGTGGATGATCACGACCAACAGGTACAACACCCGTAGTGTCGTTGATAACGACGAGCATATCACGAATTTCGCTACCATCATCGAGGTAAGCGCGGAGCGAGGCGTCAGACCATGCAGGAAGCATTGTGCTTTCCGAGGATACGGGCGGCGAAGGTTCGCGATCCTTGGTAGGGATCGGTGCTGGTCGTGAAGGTGGAGGCCCGGCCGGTTCAGATGCATGATGCGTGGGTGAGGAAGTGTTGTCAGACCTGAAAGTCGAAATCGTGTTGTTCTCTGGAATGGTTTTCATAGGGCTGTCGTCAGGCGTAGGCGTCGAAATGGGGGAGCTGGTCTCTTGGCTTGAGCTATCGGTAGATAGGCCTGGAGTATGGTGGGATTCAGACTCTCTTTCTCTTTCAGCAACACTCTCTTTCTGTGAAGGCTGTGCGTCCGCTGCAGAGACGTGTACTGGAGACTCAGAAAGGCGCCCAGCAGACTCGGACTTCTCAGCCTCGCCTGGTTTATCCTGAGCATCAGGATCCGCGAAAGGATCGCTGCTTTCATCTGAATCGAAATCATCCAACTGCACGCGCTGCTTCGCCTTGGTAACCTTCTCGCGCTTGACCTCTCCTTCTTGTGGTGACTTCATCATACTACTGAATGGGTTTCTTGAACCTGTAGGCGCGGATGTTGAGTCTGGCGACATGGTCTGTTCTTCTACAGAAGGCCTGTTTGCCTGATCCTGTTCGGGCGGAACTAAACGCATGGTCGATGTAGAATGTTGTGCGGCCGACTGATTGTCAAGTCCATCCGACATTGCATCTGGCTCGGCGCTCAACTCAGTCGGACTCTCAGTCTTCAAAATACCCTTTGTCTTTTGCGGCGAATCGTCTCGGTTACGTTGACTTCGGTGCACCTTGGGCTTGCTCAACTGTCTCAGCGGTGCTGGAGCTGTTGCCTGTTCAGCTGACGGTCGTTCTGCAAGTTCATCCGATGGTTTCGATTGCGGCGAGCTGCGGTCCATTTCTTCCGGCTTCTCGATGTCGCTGTCCACAGAGTCTTGTGCGCCCTTGCCTTTACGATCCTTGCGCTTGAAAAGCCCACTGAGCATGCCAGACTTCTTCTCTTTCTTCTTCTTGTCGTCCTTGACCTTGTCCGCGAACCCATTCTTCTCCAAACTTTCGAGGCTAGGGCCGCGTTCGCGGGAGCCTGTAGTCGATGTACTGGAGTCGTCGCGAAGCAGGTTGGGAGTGAGGGTGATTTTGCGTGTCTCGGTGTTTTCGTCTTTGAAGAAAGAGTCTGTGTTGCGAAGCGTGCCATTCCGAGAGACTTTGGGATCCAAAGGTCGATCGACCGCGTCTTCGCTACCTCTTTCACGGTCTTCGCTTCGTTTGGCAGATTCCTCGCTTGAGCCTCGTGCTTCACCATCAGTCTGGCCATCCTTCTTCGCGCCGTTAACTTTGAGAGGTTGCACTTCGAGGTTCTCTTCCTGTGTAGAATCGCCATCTTGTGTTGCTGCCTGTTGCTGTTGCATTTGCTTTGGCTCCGGGCCACCGAAAAGCTCACCTTCGCCCTCGTCAGACGAGTAGTCGTAGTCCGAGGCTTCAACGTAGGTTGGAGGAGCGAATTGTACGGTCTTAGCATTCCTTCGTCGCATAGCCTTCTTGAGCGGGTTCTTGGATTTCTCGGCAGTATCACCAAGCATCGTTGCGGAGAGGTCTATATTTCTGTGCTTGTTGAGGCGAGCCAGACGTTCTGTCGGTGTCTCGATGTGTTCGGCGGGCAGGTAACCTGTAAATTGAGTCAGCAAGAGCTTCAGGTTGGTGACGGATGCCTACCAATGCTATTGTCCTTGACTACTCGTACTAGCCACCAGTAGCTGTTACTGTCGTCAAGTAACACCATCGTGTCACCTTTGGTTGCATTTGCCTGACCCTCGACGGTCGCGACAAACGTGTGCAGGGCGTAAACAAATTCGAAATCGATGTCCTCTGTTTCTCGTAAGCATTCGCCTCCCCATCCTGAGTCGATAAATCTGGAATCATCAGAGAAAGAGACGTCGTTGGATGCATCATCGTTGTCTTGGTCCATGTCCTCATTCCAGGAGTCGGCATCGCTGTCGGTGGTCCAAGAGCCCTCCTCATCTTCGGAGTGACCATCGTCGGGGGAAGGGGTGCTGCTCGTCCCTCGAGGTGGACCTGGGCCGGGTTCTAAGAACGGATCGTCCGGCGTGTCCAGAAGTGCGCGGTTGATCGGTTTCAACATGCTTTTGACCTGCTCCTCGTCCAGTTCGGAGATTAGTGATGCATGTGAGTCTTCTCTCATCTCAATACGGCGTTCGACGGCCTTGAGTTGTCTCGTCCTCGGGCTCATACCGACCTCGACCCGTATGGTATCGCTGTCGTCCGGTGCGTTGGTGGCCCTTGTCCAGGAATACTCACCACGATGATGCTCCGCTGACTGATTTTCCGTGGGTATAGGGAATCGAAAAGGAATGGGAATCGATGTAGGTCGACCCCTTGACATATGAGAAATGTCGGACGCTGGGACGCTGAGTGGTCTTCGAGCGTTGGCGACAGAAATAGGAAAATGAATGGGCGTGTTCGTAAACGGGGAGGAAGAAGCGACCGTTGAGAGGAACGGCGAAGACTGCGGAGTCGTAGACTCTTGTCTTGCCGCCCAGGTCGAGGGGAAACAAGGTAAAGAATACCCACCATCGTCTATCGAGGGCGAACTCGAAATCTTGTCCATCATGTCGTCGTCCATGTCCTCCTCCACGTCGGCGTCCTGCATGTCGCCATCATCACCGTCGTTGGACGTTCCACCATTCAGCCTGACAGCCTGCTCGTCTTGCTCTGAGCCCTTGTTTCCATTGATGACAGTGCGGTCGTCGTCTGAGCCGGGATCGTCTCGTAGCGTGTTGCCAGCATCGCTCCATGCATCGTGCAGACGCGCCTCCTCTGAGGTGCGCTCCTGCTCTACATGCCGTATCGCAGCCTGCTGATGAGGCGCTGCTGGGCCAATACCGAGCGGCGCAGGATGTTGGGGCTGCTGGGAGTGGTCTTGGGCGGTGGGCGATGATTTGTCCTGCAGGTCGATGGTGTCTACGCACTTTAGTTAGCCTGCGCACCTTCAATTGCGCGCTCTTCACTATATTCGTACCTGCTCTGATGATGTGCGGTCGCGTCATCCTAGCTCATTCCTCTCTGCGCGTGCAACGTTGGGGGATCTTCGTTCGGAGGAATGGCTAGGTGAGATGAGGCGCAATCGGTGGCTGGGTCGACTTGCGCAGGGTCACCGTAGCGCGACTCCAGTTGCCGTGGAAATACAACAATACAAAGCGCAAAGAATCGCGGACGTGGGTCTATCAGGGCGTTACAGGTGTCGCATGCGTTATTGGGGCGTGTTTCGAGGAAGGAGCGGCTGAGGGTCGGGGGAGCGTGAAGCGGAGTGAGATCCGTTGGGGGACATGCGAATCACTGACGCGGCGGCGAGGGCGAGACGGCGGCACAGCGAGACAGCAAGAGGGCGAGGGGATGGCGATGAAAGCGTCGCTGCTGGCAGTGAGGGGCACGTCGTGGGCGGTGCAGTGGTGAAAGTAACGTCGTATGGCACGAGAGTGAACTGTTTCGGGGTCGCGCCTTCCCGAAGTTGTGCCCTGTTCAGGTCAACTTGAAACACCTCACTTCTAGTTCCTGCGCTAGCCTGTTCCTGGCCATCCCATTGCAAAAAGGAGATGCGGCTCGGTCCTTTTATATCACCGCTCTAATGACCGCATCTGCAGCCAACTCCTGTCTGATTGCCTGTCTTGTCCTGAACGCATGATGCGTTCGCGGAGTCGTTTCCATATGGGCGACGTTATGTGGGGTTCCCGGCTGCAACAACAAGCCGCCAAACACTAACTTGGAACAATGTCAAACGTCATTGACTTTGGCAGCTTGCGACAGCAACACTACGCCATGTCGCAGAAACTGTCTCAAGTTCATGGGTTCTAGAAACATGTTCTAATAGCACAAGACAAGGTTCTTCCTATCTTCCTGAGGGCGTCAAACGGCTTAGTACTCCTGTGTATATATGAGAGGCTTGGCGACGTCCTCTGTAGCTCTACACCATGTTGACTAGACGTTCGTTACACAAATGTCACACATAAAAGGCAGAAGCTGTTCAACGTAGATAACGAGCAGAAAAGATACTAATGTTGTAACTTGTCTGGGTAAAACACTACTGTTTACTGTCCCAAAACAACCATGTTACTTAAAGACCGATAACCATATCAGGTCGTCCAGCACTATGTCGAACATATACTCTCCACGTGTACCAAAATGGCTATTGACTGTCGAAAGGAAGACCCCCTGCGTTTTGCATTGACTACAAGACGTCCGAGCAACTTGCTCCAGGGTTGAATCGAAACAGTTCAACACACGTAAGAGCTGTTTGTCGGAGGGTTTTCTGGGAGTTTGTCGAAATACGAAGAGTTCTTCCAGCCGCAGACGCGCATTTTAACAAACTCTTCGATCTCTTTATCGGAAATCTCTTGGTTGGCCGCAATTGGATGCAGCGTCCATGCCATGACCATCATGTCCTCGATATCCAACAACCCTACGAAAGTTCTCACAGACCTATAGTCGTTTCCGAGCTCAAAATCTCGTTGATCGTTCTGGTAATCTGCCAGTGCTGGTCCAACCACAAGGTATTTGCCACCCTTCGACTCCCTGACTATCAGCTTATACGCATCCTCTGAAGTAGGGTGGTCATCCTCGGTTAGATACCAGTCACCCACTTTCGTATCTACAGGCGCACACACAGTAGCTGTTGAGCTTATTTGTATCCGAATAAAGCGTCCATGTCGCTCGCGCCCTATGTAGTATGAGTTCGGCCCAGACTGCCTTCCATCACCGATAGATTCATACATCAGATCACCATCGCTGATCTGTACACCACTCCAACTCGTTGATACATTGGCAATCTGGGAAGTACGGTTGCTCTGTATTCGAAAGTACGCTTGATGGGTGACACTCGAACGTAACGCAATGGCATTGCGTAAAGATTCTAGTTCCAAAGTAACATCGAAGAGCTTGAATAGTAGAGAACAATTATATGTCGAGAGTTCGTGATCGACATCCCAAAAGCTGAGAACGTGCTTAGCAACCTCGAAGTTATCCTTGATGTAATCCGGAGTCGGCTCCTGTCCCTCTGGCCACCTTACAAGGGACAGAATACCATAAAGATTATCTCGAGCGTCCACGCAATGGAAATCGCGAAGCACCAGTAACATTTCATCGAGACCTTGCTTTTGCGCTGATACACCAAGCCGTAAACAGCTTCTCTGTGGTACGGTATAATACAATCCGTACCATAACGACCGCCATGAACGATTCGAGAGTATGTAGGCGGGGATGCATGTCTCTAAAGTCCGTCTCAGGAATGCTCTGATCATGCCAAAGTGACCTTCGAGGTATTCACGGTTGACCCAGTATTCTACAAGGGAGTCTAGTGCTCGGAAAGACTCGCCCGGTTGTAAATCTGCCCCGCAACAGTATGACACTCTAATGGCTAGATGTAACTCCTGTAAGACCCATACGCGTGTGAAGTAAGGCCTCCGTATAAATGTGAGGAATGCTTCGCTCGTTCGTATTCGTTCCGAGGCAGGCATAGTAAAGAGACATCGTAACCTCCGCCACGCACGTCCACGCCCTTCCATGAACCGATACCGGGACAGAGAGTATGGTTCAATCATATCATGGACCTGAAGCGATTGGCCCCAGCTGTAAACAGTCTCGAGAAAAGGGCGTTTCCTTCCATCAACGGCCATCAAATATTCGCTATCGTCTGCATGTGGCCCAACGCAGGCGAAAACATGCTTCGCTCCGGAGTAAATTTTGCCCATGATGCCGACTTGGTGGTTTCTCTCCTGTATACTCGTCTGCGCAATACAGATGGCGTCAACCCAGTAATGACGACTAGCTTTCGTCGCAAAAGCTTGCTGAAGCACGTATTCGCAGTTTCGCCTCACAACCAAAGGCTTGCCGTTGACAGTGATCTCGGTCGTGTCGGCTGGGTCGCCCCAGGTATAAGATATCGCGTAATAGGGCGGTGCATCGTCGATTGGCCATGAGGATATGTCGCATTCGACGTGCTGGCCAAAACCGCCGCGCAGGATGTGTAGTAGGCGGAAGTGTGTGGTAGAGTCGGGCAGTGGGTCGTGCTCGAAAGCGGAGGATGGGGTTCCGCTGGTCATTCTCGCGCGTAGTTGGGAAATTGAGGAGTTCAGGGGATGCCCAGGTGGTGCGCGACATGCGCGACTTTGATGCACGAAATAGTGCTTGATGAAGATGTTCTGTATTCTCCGTTCTGGTCTATGGGGAAGATGGGAATGAACAGGCAACGGTCGGAAGGCTGAAGTGCTGCCTGTCCACCAACTCAACCAGGCTGAACTGATCCTCAGCCGCAGTCAGCCATGCGGAGGCTGTGCGGCAGCGTCGCGCGTCTCGCATCCTCAACTTCCAACATCGTTTTTACCTTGTACACGTCTTCCTTCGCGAACTACCTAGGTAGGCAATACAATGAGCTTTTGTTCTGATCGACATATCCGCCACGGCCTCTGGCTTCGACTGCGCTGAATTGTCCGAGGCAGCTTCGACACCCAGGTACCTAGGTAAGGTAGGAACAGCGTGCAGATCACAGGGTCGTCGCCGTCCAGAGTGACTCGAGGATTTAGGAATTTCCTTCGCACAAGAAAAGACGCTTGCGACAGATGTAACGGCCAATGCCATGATGTCTGCGTTCATCGATGGAGAAGAGTTGCTAGACGCTGAGAGGTTGTAGACCCGCCGAGGAAGGCTCTCGCGATGGGAGTCTCGACCTTACACTTGCAGGGCTGGCGCAACAACTACCAGATGCCGACGAGCTCCATTCTGTCGTTGCAGACGTGGGCGATGCTGCCATCGTGAGAGGTCAACCGCACGCATCAAATCTAAGGCGTGCAGAAGGCAATGACGGTGCGCAGCTCAAGTTCGTGTGGTGGTAACAAAACAAGCGGATCTCCCGGAGATTTGTTCGCACGGAATGTCTTCGGCTTATGGGTTCCGTATTACGTAGCGGTGGCATCTTCGCACTAGCTTCTGCCGAAAACCTCTTTGAGATCCGTCCCGTACTGTGAAAGAACGTCCATCTTTCTCTACGTGCTTCACGTACTTTATGCGTTCGATTCAAACGTCGTCATAGCCAAGGTTATCCAATGCCCCTTCCAGCCCTACCCGTACGAAATGGGCGCCGCCTGTGGATCTCTCCGGGCCGATGCACACGAGCTTGTCCTCTGACGGCTCTAGCGTGCCCCTTCGCGGTCAGCTCTCATCGGCCCGTGAGCCTCATCTAGCTTTCAAGCCTTCCAGAAGACCACTTTTGTTAATTTTAGAACACGACCATCGTCTTTTGTTCGTTGCGCTTGGGTCTAAATGGACAGGACCGTTGAAACGTCTCGTGGATACCCTTGTAGAGACGATGTCTATGCGCTATAATTAAGCAGCGCAAGCGCAGGTATGTACCTTTCCATCCTGCCGTCTGTTTCTCCCTCCTTAACACTCACGACTTCGTTTTATCAAAACACCATCTTTCACCATGGTGAGCCAAATGAAGAAGCTCCTGGCCGTCGCCACCACCGTGTCGGCATCAGTTCTTGAACTGCCCGTCGTCATAGACAACAGCTATGCCAGCGTCAAATTCGAAATCGGAACACCTCCAAAGGAACACAGGTTGATGTTCGATACCGGATCGTCAACGCTTTTCGTCGTCAACACCGACTGCACCGAGGAATCTTGCCCAGATGGTAGGGTCACATCCTACGTTCGGGAGAAATACAACGCATCTGCCTCGTCCACATCCGTCGACCTCAATATCCCCGCGTCGATTCCATACCTCGGCGGTGACGTCGCTGGCGAAACTATCCAGGACGTTTTCAGCACTCTAGACGGTAGCGTAGAATGGAACCAGACTTTCCTGTCTGCCAACCAGAGCAGCTGGCGTTTCATCACTGCTGATGGGTTCCTCGGCCTGGGTTTCTCCTCAATCGCGGAAAAGAACACGTCGACCCTGGTCGAAACATTGCTGTGGGACGGAAAACTGGACGCACCACGCTTCGGTCTTTTCTATGGAACAAATATGAAGGATGCAGGCAATGGTACGCAAGACGGTGTGCTGACCGTTGGCGGCAGTCACGAAGACAAATACGTGGATGGTGAGATGGCCTACGCACCCTTGAGGAAAGAGGACCCATACCAGCTCTGGCGTACGGCACTAAGAAGCGTCAACGTACTCGTCGCGGAGAACCCGTCGGATCCAAACGCCACTGTCGACATACGCAATGGCCACCTTCCTACCACTACCTTATCGGTCGGTGGCCAGCCAGACGCCAATGTGACATGGCCAATGTCACAAGGTCGAGCCGTTTTCGATACTGGATCTGGACGCCTTTCCGTCCCAAGTGACATCATCGACGCCATGTACTTCAACCTCGGCTGGAATTACACTAAGCTATTCAACCACGGCCAAGAGATCATGGAGTGTAAGCACCTGAACGCTTCGTGGGCCGTTACCTTGACACTTGGCGAGGGCACCCCAGAGGACGATGTCTCATTCACCATTCGGGGCGACGAGTTCTTCGTACCCGGTCACCAATGCATGCCGCCGTTTGACAGTAGCGAAAATGAAGGATTTGCATTGGTCGGCTCTTCGTTCCTGCGAAGGCATTACTCTGTCTATGACTTTGGCGCTGATAAGGTCGAGGACTATCAGCCGAAGATCGGTTTCGGAAGGTTGAAGAAGGAGTATGATTTCTTTTACCAGTGAGGAGGACGGGACATGCGACTTTTTTCCATTCTTTGTAAATATACGTAGTCTGTTATAAGATTAGCTCAGATACGCTCGTGCTACAACGTATATCAAGTTGCGCCAGCTTTCCTGTCTACTTCGCGTATCGCCAAATGGGGCCGCCCAGTGCCTCTCGCCACTCGCATGTGCAATGTGAGGACTTTCGAATCGGGTTTGATCTTTTCAATCTTTTGCATCCTGGCGTCGCCCATTGTATCGAAGTACCAGAGCTCTTCAAGGTTGTCGCGGTAATGCTTGTGAAACTTCTTCTGTATGTTTGTCCACTGGTCTCCAACTACTACCGTAGCCGACCAATGTCCGTTTCTGAAAAAGAAGACGAATGCAAATGCGGGATACGCCTCCTTCTTGAACTCCATGTAGCCTATGATCGCGCCTGTATGCGTTGCGTGCAGCCATTTCGCAGTAGGATCCCATATGCCGCGAGGTTCGACTCGACTGACATGCACGCCTGCAGGCTTTTCTACACGCATGACCTTTTCCATGATCGTCGAAGCTTGTGGACCTGTCAATGACTTGACTGCAGTGAACTCAGTGTAAGTCACTTCAGTCTTGACCCTGGGGCACTCTTGAGGCAGCGCGCGGACGAACAGGTCGGGCCCTACTCTTCTGAGGTAAATTCCAACAGGACTGCCAACCGCACCTAGCGAGTGTTTTACTGGAAGTATAGCAAGTCCAGTATCGTGGTCCCAAGCGAGACCTAGTTTGAGCCTGATGCCACGGTTTGTCATGTAAAAGTCTCGCGGCTTAACAGCCGGTTCGGGGGTGATTGATCGCATCTGCCGAAAGCAGCTTGGAGAAGGAGCAAGGAGACCTGACAGCTTGTGATACGAGAAGGCATCATTCCAAAGGAAGAGCGAATCATCGGCGGTCTCGCTCAGTATCTGTTCTTGCAACCGGATGAACGCTTTTGACCCTTCTCCGTAGAGCATTGCCATGTTTATGTCGAAGATGCCCATGAGACTATAGGCAATGTCTTCTTCCCTCGTCGTCTTGCGCGTAGACGCCCACGAAAACCGCTGAGCAACAGGCACTTCGCTTAGCTCCATCCGATGTCTGAGGATATCGTCCGGAATACCTGTGATCTCCGTAATCTGAGCCGCTAGGCTCGCCTTGGTGCCTCTAAACTCCCATTTTTGATCAAAGAACACGACGTTCTTCGGTGCGATGAGCTCTTGGAGTGTCCAACCACGAAGGAACCATTTCGAAGAATTGAAAGAGAAAGCACTGTGATCGATGTCGTGCAGATAGGCGAAACACACCGAAGCTTCTTTGTAATATCTGAACATGGAGTTGATCGCCTCGCTGAGTTCTGCACTGCTGGATTTGTTTATGCAGCACGTATCGCACCATGCGTACGGTAGCTTGTATCGCGACGAAGCAGCCATCTTACAGGTCTCCACGATTTTCTGGTACCCTGGTTTCGACAGTGTTGATTTCGGACGGTCTTGCGGCGGCACCATCATCTCCTCGTAAGTCACCTCGTCCTTGGTCAGACCCCACACGTGTGATAGGATGGCATATCGCTGATCTGGATCTGCATGATCACGAACATGGAGGGCTAGCGTCGTAGTGTCGATAAAGATCATGATGGAGGAGACCTCGGGAGTGTATGTGGGGTGAAGTACGCTCAGAAAACTCAAACTATTGATGCATGTTCAAGCATCTTCGGGGGCGGGAGGCGATGTCCTCGAATATTGACCCCGCTGCAAGAGGTGCGGCTGAGTCCATATGTGTCCTCTAGCGTCTCGCGATATGCATCATGCCGTCCATTGTGTGTCAGCTTATGTCAGCGGTACAGATCAATGATCAAATTCAATTCTTACTCCGTGTCGTGTACATGTCAACGGTCGCAGGAGTGGTGCATGCCTACAGGGTGCGTCAGAGAGCTACCCCAGGTGACATGGATACCACCTGGGCAACACCACTAAGCTCTATTCAGCTAGCTTGTGTACTAGTACCAACCAGGCTACAGAACTCTGATGTGGTAGTCACGTTGCAGTTGAGAATATATACCCAGTCCGAAAACTCTGAACATTCAGGCGAACAGCAAAGCTACGATAGAAGGAGAGAACAGTCCAGATAGCTAGGTACGAGCGCTTCGATGCACGCAATCTAACCACTACTCGCCACTTTACCCTCCTTAACTTCCCAACCCTGCTTCTTCCCGCCTTTGACGTTCAACTTATTTCTCTGCTTCTCCCTCTCATCCATGTCAATATTGATGTTGAAGTGCTGGCCTCTGATCTTCTCGTAGAACCTACCCGCAGTAATACCATTCATGGGTTCAAGCCACTTGCCAGTGACTTCAGTCTCGAAGGAATCGGAGTTGATAATGAGAGGTTCGTGGGCGCGAAGAACGAAGACGATCGAGAAGCGGTACTTTTTGTCGTCGGTCGAGGGGGTGTTTGGCGAAGGCTCCGGAGACCCGTAAGCTACCACTCGATGACCGCCAGCCGGGTATCTACCATTGGATAGTCTTTCGAGTTGCCGTCCAGCGAGCATGGTAGCACCTTTTCTCCCAGAACTCTCAACTACTTTCTCAACCTCGAACCAATTGGCTCCATCCCAAACTTCCAAGCCAGGCACATCGCCAACCACTACGCTTAGTAGGCCCAGATCAGCATGCGGTTCGGCCACAATTTTCGCCTCCCACCCTTCATATCTGAACAATCGCAGCATCGTCGCAGTCTTCTCCTTATCAGAAGCTTGCAATACACCGCAGGGTCCAACAAACTGTCTCAGCCCTTCATCTTCGCCATCTGGTAGCCCAAGGGATGTTGAGATTCTACCCAACGTGTTCGAGCAATGCTGTCCAATGAGATCCCAATACCTCTTTGCAGGCCCTCTCAAGACTTCTGGACAGTACTCCAGAGTTCGCAAAGTGATGAATTCCTTTTCGCCGGGGATCTTGGACCAGCCTTCTTCAGACTTGAGCTTGTGCTTCCATCGCTGCTTTTCCTTATCGGGCTGGTTGAAGAAAGCTTGGCTCGCTGCAAAGAGCTGTTCGTATGCGGCCTGCAGAGGGTGAGGCCCAGGCGCTGGGGCTTGATGCTCGTGATTTTTCGCTTCAAATTGGGATGGTGATGATTCAGGGAAAGTGACGGTTGTCCAGCCGAGAGCTGACAGGGTCTGTTGATGTTCTGGTAGGACTAAGGGTAGTGGCGCGGGCTTTAGTGGCAGGCGCGTCTCTTGCAAGATCTCCCGCGACGGTTGCGCATCGGACTTTTTGTTGGTCGTCCCTTTTTTTGACCGAAATTTGGAGATGATGTTTGAGATGGAGAAGTGATGTTCTGATGGCCTTGAGGGTAGTGTTGCGGCCATCTCTTCGAAGAACCAGGATGTGAACACACGAGACGCGAAAGAGAAATTCTAGGGGAGTGAGTACTTGTAGAAGAATGAGAAAAGGGTAGCGATTATGACTGCGGGTATGGCACGGAAATATCGAAGGCACGATGTGGAATGGCTAGATGACGTTTCCCCAACCACACGAGCTAAGCCACAATTACACAGCCCCACCTGCGACCATAAGCTCACGGACTATTGCGAACAAGGCGTTCCGGTGAACACAAAATCCGCAGAACCAGATTCGACAGGAATTGTAGAGAAGATGTAGCTTTCCGCAGATAGAATAGCTCATCACATGTCTATAGGCTTGGTCTGTTCTTGTTCTTCTCCCAGAGCTCCCTCTCCCTCTGTACAAACCAGTCGTGCAGAATGGGCTTGATTTTCACAACGCCTTCGCCTGTCTCGCATCCAAACTCCATTTCTGGCTTCCATGTGCCTCCCTCAGCACTGATCTTCATGCTAGTCATATTCTCCAACCGACACATTGCGAGGCCTACTTGCCCAATGCCCGCGATGAATTTGCCTGTCGCACGACCTTTCTTGGTTTTGCCATTTTCATCTAGCTGTTTGATGTCGGTGCCATGGTCTGGAAGGGCTGCAGATGCGGCAGGTTTGTCAATGTGAATGGGCAAGACGCGCTTCCGCACGATGCCGGTGTGTTTCGTGCGGATGGTAAGTTCCTGGCCAACGTAACAACCTTTCTTGAAGTCTATACCATGCCAGAGATCGATATTACATTCCATAGGTAACGCGCTTTCTCTTGGTATCTCCTGCGGTCCTTCGGGGATGCCGTTCCTGTAGCGTTGAAGGTGGTATTCCTGGATGTCCACTGGCTCTACACCCTCCACTATCGTCGTCGCGTCGGAATTTACGAGGTAACGATGCATGCCTGATGCACGCGGATCGCTCATCGCAGCGATGACACCGTTGGTGTTGGCATGCTCAACCTCAGGGCCCCAAGCCGCCCACACGCGCATTTGGTCCGGTTCTACCTCTTCGATCTGTACCTTACTCCTCAGCTTGTGTCTTTTCAGATGCTTTCTCAGAGACTCCATCTCGCTTTCATCCACCTCAATATAGCATGCCCAATGCTCCTTGCCCTCTACTAATTTTGGCCACACCCAGACAAAGACATCCCACAACACCCGGCCGCGCGCATCGAGAAAGGCGGCGTAGAAGGGCGACTGACGGCTCGTGTCGACGTTGTTCGTTATCAGCCCCTGTAGGAACTTGACGGTATCGGGCCCAGAAAGGGAGATGAGGCGGCGATGCGGGAGCGGTGCAAAGCCTGAGCTTGCAGCCTGCGAAGAAGAGCTCGTTATCGAGTATTGGCGCCTTTCGAATCGTCCGCAAGCATTGTCGTTACGCAGTGGTGAGATGATAACTCGATCGCGACAGTACGGAAGTGATATCGGTCGCGTGGGGATTTTGCCGTTGGAAGATGACGCTGTGCTGAAGGTTCGGTAGGTATCGACGACAGGTCTGCGCAGAGAGCGCACGTTCGTCCGGCAAGCGTCGCATATGTACTTAGGCGTCCGTAGCGGTGCGCTCAGTGAAGAGGTCGCCATGGCAGTTGTGAAGGTGTTTAGTGAGGTGCGTGAGGGCTTGATCAGAGCTCAAGATGCCTCGGCAATTACGGAGTTACGGCTAGTGCGAGAGGTGACAAATTGATGTCATCGGATATGCTAGATCTGGGCCTTCAGGCCAAATGTACTACAAAAACGCTGGGAACGCCTAATCTATCAAACAACATGTTAGGGATAACGCTAACATCATAAAAAGTGTTGCTGGCCATCCAACGCCGTTGTTTGACGCGCCAAATCAACACCTAGTCGTTCTTTCGACCAGTTAATCTGGACCGCTCGCTGTCCTTCGCTTTTGAATTCGATGGCCCTGACTCGTCTGAATCGTCCGAGTCGTCCGAATCATCTTCCTCATCCTCACTTTCTTCCTCGTCGCCACTTTCTTCACTGCTCCACTTGTCGTCCTCGCCTACCGCGAAGATAGTGTCGCCATCGAGACTCTCCCTGGGAGGTACGATAGGCTTCTGTGCTTGTGGTGCGGGCAAAGGCGATACATCGCGCGCAATGTTGTTGTTCGACCTCTGGGCTGGGTCGTATGAAGGGGGTTGGTCTGCTCCCCTCTCTTCTTCATCAAGAGAGTCCCTCATCGAGGCAATTTCGAAGCCTTCATCATCTTGTGCAATCTAAAAGCCGTTAGTAAAACTGTGGGTGCTAGATTTGCGAAAACGTACCTCATCACTCATGGCAAACCTTCGGTTGTTGGCCGTTGGTCTCCACATATACGCGACAAAACAGACGTCGGCCAGGTAGACGAGGTTTAGCCAGCCATCGAGCACGAACCATCGTGTTTGCCAGTGAGTTGGCGCAAAATCAGGTGTCGACGCTCCAGCAAAAGTGAAGCTGTTGATGAAGAAGAAACCAAAGATGACGACGATGCTCGTCAAGATGCACCACCATAATCTCTTGTACATGGTAGCCTTGACGTGCTGCTTGCGCTCCATCAAGTCCTTCATCGTGAGGTTTAGCGAGTTCAGAGTCCAGATGTAGAAAGCCGTGAGGGTAGCCGACAGAGGAAGGATGACCAGCAAGACCAGAGGTCCAGCGTCATCGGGACGAACAGTAAGCGAAGCTACAGCGTAGATTACGCCGAAGATGAAGTGAGCTACAGCAAGCCAGCGAACGACAGTCATGGTCTTGCCAAGAGAAGGCTTGACAACGCCGTATCCCATGCATACGATCAACAGGAGGAAGAACGAGAAGGAGTTGCGGAAAGCGTTCAGTACAGCGACGACGATCATGAGAGCTTTGGTGCCGACGTTGTTACCGTGGCGGTTCTGGTAGTCGTAGTAGCCCCAGGTCATCAGCATCTCAACGACTAGGAAGACTAGGATGGCTGTGATGTAGTTCTGGACGGCAAGAATGTCGTGGCGATTCTGGAAGTATAGGAAGCCCCAGAATGCCAGCACAACAAAGTATACAATTGTAATGCCGCCGTAAAATGGGAGTTTCGCAATCTGGGCCGCCTGGAGCTCGCCATAGGCATTCCGGAATGTCACAATAGCCTCGAATTCCAGTTCCTTGTCTGCCGCATTCGCAGCCACACAATAGTAGCCCGTCTTGATTGGGACCTTTGTTTCTGCGGTGGAGACTGGGTATTTGATCGGTTTCGGGTCGTCGAGATTGATGGCATCGGTTCGAATAGGCATCTGAGAGGCGTCTTCGACGTCTTCTGCAAGTACCCATTTGCCCTTATCTTTTTCGTCGCAGAGTTTCAGATTTATCGATTCGTCGTCGCAAATGTAATGGCGGTTTTCCTGGGGAAAGTCAGTTTGGTTATGCGAACAACATCGGGACCCACGTACATCATTCACGGGCAAGTCGGAAGGCGCGCCCAGAAGTAAAGTGTCTTTCCATTCCCAGATCACCAGGCTGACGGTGCGGTCCTTGATGCCCTCGTTCTTCTTGGGATCTTTTATGAATTTGACAAGTATGAAGGGATCGACCTTGCCTCCCCACGATTTCTTGCTATACATGCCGCTGGACTCGTATGAGCATGCTGCCTCTGGCTAACCCAAGATGGATATCTTCCTACATACCTGCACTTTTGAGTCTCCTTGTCGGAGAGCGTAACGTCCATCGCTGCTACTGCTGTTATCGTAGTGAACAGCAGTAGAGCGATGTTGCGCAGCCGTGCCTTCATCTTGCCGGATGTGAGGCCAGCTGGCGGAGCTGACGGCTGGAGGTGTGTGGCGCTTCAGGCGGAGGTATGCGATTCGATTCGAACTGGCGACAGAGTCTTCCCGTCAGTTCCTGGTCATAGGCGGGTCATGGGTGGGAGTTGGTGTTTAGTTGACGATGTTTGGCTTGCGCGTCAACGTTCCCGATCGTCACCTACGGCCGCCTTCCCGGTAGCTGTTAGCGCGCATTCCCAGAATGTGGCGCAGCCGCCGGGCGTCAAAGGGCAACCACGACCAGAACCGCCGACGAGTCAGCCCTACCAAACACATTCACCAGTATCAGCCCAACACACGCACATCATGCCAGGCAAACACATTGCTGGTGCCTCTGACGAGCCTTGCAGACGATGCAAAGACCCTTCAGTTCTTGTTGTGCGCTCCGAGCCGCTTTGCCAGTCAGTTTGCGCCACCTGGAGGGGAAGAAGATTTCGCTAAATTTACTATAGTGACTGCTTCGCCCGCTACGTGCATACAAAGTGCATCAAGCGCTTGGAATCGTTTCGCGTTAATTTTGGAGCAGAGCAGCAACGTAAGATCCTAGTACCCCTGTCCTTTGGGGTCTCTTCTACCACTCTCCTCCACGTACTGGACCTGCATCTCAAGACGCAAAAGAGCAAGACTGGTCGTACCGGATTTGAAATTAGTGCAATATATATCGAGGATCCAGATCAGAAAGTACAAGCTCCGCAGCTACTCGATAAGGCTCGCGAGCAATATCCGGACCATCAGTACGCCTCACTGCCGCTGCACGATGTATTTCGCCTGGTCCCAGAAGATGCCTCGATACGCTCCTTGGTGCCGCAGGACGACCAAAAGGCAGACTTGAGTCCCGAAGAGCAGTTCGTTCACATGATCAATTCTCTCACCTCGGCTACGGCTCGTGCGGACGTGCTCTCTACCCTGAGAACACGGCTGATCGTAGAGCACGCGAAGTTGGCCGGGTGCGAAAGTATTCTCTGGGGAGATAGCACGACCAGGCTCGCTCAAAAGACTCTTGCCGAAACTGCCAAAGGCCGAGGGTTTTCTCTGCCATGGCAAGTCTCAGACGGAATGTCGCCCTTTGGTCTCAACTTCCACTACCCACTTCGAGATGTCTTGAAGAAAGAGCTAGTGTCATATACTAAAATGGCGGAACCCGGACTATCAGAACTAGTACACGAAACATCAACAGGCGCTACCCAAGCGTCGACAAGCTCCAAGAATACTACCATAGACGACCTCATGACGCAGTACTTCGAATCCGTCGAAGAAAACTTCCCAAGCATCGTTGCAAATGTGGTACGTACGACAAGCAAGCTCGAAGCTCGCCCCGATGCTCTCTCAGATCCGCAATGCAGCCTGTGCAGCATGCCTGTATCTGGCGGCCGCTTTGGCATACACGGCTGGGGTGGCGATCAGCAGGATGGCGATGACTTCGAATCCACAAATAACAGAAGGGATATTTGCTATGGCTGCACAAGGTCACTGCCCAAAGCCACGGTGAACGCCACGGGATCATGAACGCATTGCTGCAATGTGCGCTTCTCAGACTTCAGTGTTTAGGAATGCCGTTGAGTACACAAATCCAGGCGACTGCGCGAAAGTATGCAGTCTTTCCAGTTCTCGGAACTCTAGCACCGGTGCCAGCGACGGTGTCCTCATAGGAGCGGCCCATAACGCGCGGTACTCCCACATCGAGCTCCTTGTCGGGTCGTTACCAAAGAAGTATTCGCGCCGCTGCGAAGATCCAACTCGCCATACAGCACACGCGCTCGAGCAGCGTCACTTTACGCTGCTTGTGTGCAAATCCACATTGATATTGGTGGTGTGGGCGTGGAAAGACGTGATGCAGTAGTTATTTGCATTCTGCTCGGATGCGGTCGGAAAGTTCATGTTCAAAGGATACGATAGTCGCGAATAGATGTAATATCCACTTCGCCCTCGCAGTCTGCGTTCATGATCCAATTTTGTGCAGGTGGAAGGACTGAAGTGGGGTCTTCAGTGAACCAGCAGTTTGCCACCAATGTGTAGCTTGCGGATTCATCCTGTCTTAAAATAATTGGGGTCGGCGCACCAATGGGAACTACGACTTGGTCCCCAATGGCGACAGATTCAGGGGCCAGCGCTTGATATCCGTTGTCTATGTTGATAATGCGACTGAAACCGTAGGACGGTGGTCTCTCTGAGATTCGCTTTACTGTTCCAAACGGTATGGCTTCAAGGGTAATGGAACGGCCATCCTCATTCACTACAACACTTGGTTTGTGCCGGAATGACATTCCGTTTGTGAACTCTGATGTGCACGCTGTGAACGGTTCCACGTCTAACCATCCGTCTCCGTCGATCGTAGGAAGATATAGAGGAGGAGTGCATCTCCAATCAGGTACCCATGACGGCATAGTTCGTGGCACCTCATTATGGGTTTGTTGAAAAGCGCCAGCACATGATAGAAGGTTGTAAGCTGAAGTAGAGGCGAGTGCTGCTTGTGCAAATTCGAGATAGACTTGTTCGGTAGTCGTCGTGTATGTGGGCATGTAGTAGATCGTTGGCTCCTTGGCCGTCGACAATTTCGGACGGGTGTCCGTGATTACGACATCACAAGACCCGCCTAAGAGTGCGAAAAGGCGGTCCCGATCATCGCTGCATTGCCTGTCGTTGAAACCATACATCATCGTGAGTATGTGAAACCTTGAATCATCGATCCCGCGCGACTCAGGCTTGTCATCCGATGCCGTGTGGTCGTCCTGCCAAAATGAATACCAATCATCGTGACGGTACCACATATCCTGTCTGTTATAGTGAACACTAGTCATCCTTGCATTCAGGTATTCTTGGATGACCTGATTTGGGTAAGTTAGAGTCACAGATATCTCGTCTGACCTCACGAGCGATATTGACTTACCCATCTTCGCGAGAACCAGCTACTTGTTGCTGGATGCCTGCCTGGCTCCACGGTACCCAGAAAGACGTGCACGCGTTTTGAATAGCCATATATCTTAGCCATTCTCTTGACTTGGCTGTCTCGTTCAGCTGTGTTATCTTGGTTGATGCATATGCTGTCGACCCAGTATCGTTGGTGGCCATCATTCTCGGGCACCGAAGCGAGTCGCGAAGATGACGTCGCGAAGATTGGAGGTCACCTTGAAATGACTTGTACCGTTGTCACAAAGAACGTCGTGGTTGCGGATGGGTTCACCCCAAACATACGAGATGGCTTCATAACCATCTCCCTCTTCACTCAAGAGACAGTGCTCGATGTCGCATTCGATTGGATTGCTGACCCCGTTACCGGCCATGAATTTAACGACTCGAATCTCTTCATTGATATTGCTGAGAGGACGGTATGTGTATGGAGTGCGCAACGCGAATTCGATTTGCGTTTGGGTGTGGCCTTGGATTGTTCTGTCGTTCAAGCCGTTACTGGCGGCCATGACTGCTCTTGTACTGGAAGCCTGCTTCGTATGCTGTCAAATTTTTGTAGCGGAAATAGAGGTGAAAGAACTGCGTGCTACCCCAGGCAGCTCTGGAAGACAGGGTGACCCGGCACCCCGTGTGAACTGTGCCACATGACGGGTATGCTGCGATCGGCGCTTGAAAGAACAGGCGCAGCAGTCGCATCCTTCGTACAGGTAATTATGAACGTCATCGTTTTGGTATTCGCGCATCCAACATGCCGAGCCTTAGGCGGTACATGGTCAATCAATCAGGCGGTCACTGATTGGAGCGGTAACACGTCGTTGGTTGGGCCCCGGGCCGACGAAAGTGTGTTGACACAGCACGGGTCAAATCGGCAGCAAGAACTGTAAGTGCCAGCTGTTATGATGTTACGCGGTATCCTTTTCGACGTGAGTTTGCCCAGGTGTGAGTATAGGATGTTGAGGAAGCGACATCCGTGACCTAAATCGCCCAGCGCTAACCCTTGCTTCTGTTAATGATCGGCAACTGCAGGGCTGAAAAGGAAGGAGCACCCAATAACATTAAAGCCCTAAAGCCTATTTTGCAGCCAGACCTGTCCCGGAGTAATTGATTCATTCATTGAAACCGCTAGTCTAAGGCGAACCGTGGCCTCTGATCTAACAGTCTCGTCTAGTAAGAACACTAGCGTCTAAGCGTCTAATCCATCCCTCTCAACCATCCGTCTAACGACATCAATAACCTCACTCTGCCTATCACTAACCCCCATCCCTGGTTCCTTCACCATGCTGTCCAGCACGCCATCCAGCATGCCCCTCAGCCGACTCACCAATACACCAATCCTTGCCCAACCCCTCAGCCTAATCCACTCATCAACCACCAAGCCCCTGCCCAGCGTATCAACCTTGATCTCTCCAGCAAACAACAGCAGACTGTATGCGTTGAATGGCGTGATATCTCTGATGAAGACTTTACTTGTAGCCATCTTGTTGAAGTACGCAATAAAAGAAGCGTTGTGCGGGAAGGTCTGGCTGGAGAAGAGGGTAGACGACGGGTGAACGAAGACGCGTCCGTTTTCTTGGTTGAAGTACTTAATTTCGCGGGCTGAGGGATCGAGTTCTACGGCTCCAGCTATGCCTGCTGCGAACTTCTTGTCGGGGAGCTGGATGCGTGCGATTTGCGGGTTGAAAGATCCGGCGATCAAAGCGCGTAAGAGCGCATCATTCGCGTTGTGTTTGTTGTAGTACGAGTGTGTGGAAGGGTTGGCGGAGGAGTAGTGTGTGGGAATGAAAGAAATCTCCTTGAGAGACGACAGGTACTGGGTGCGATTGGACGCTATGTCGAACATGGTTTGGGGGTTCAGTCGGTTGTCTTGACACCAGAAGCGGAGGTCTCGTGTTGAAGTGCCTTTGCTGCGCAATGCAGACCATTGTTCGTATGCTCGCAGGTCTACAAGCAGATCTCCCTGGTTATTAGAAAACGAAGCGCGGAGACGGTCGAACTCATTTCGAGTTTCCTGGTCTCGCTCTCGTGGTGATATGAACGGGCTGCGAGCTGTGAGAACAGAAGCGATGGTCAGCACAGCTTCAAGGCAGCCAAACGTCGCGCCATATACGAGAAGCTTGCCCAGTCGGAGATCTGCTGGGATCATAGACATGTGTCGACCAAGTGCAGTGAGCTCGTTGTCTGTGATGGCACCCATCTGCGAGAGCAATTGGATAGCACCCTCTACCGCTGTACTCTCTGGCGGTGTGAGCGCTGAAGCAAGGAAGCCTGTAACGTCCTGCACCCCCATTGCCTTGATGGACAGACACATCTGCTCAAGTGGCACACGGCGAATCTCCGGATCCGGTCGCTCCATCATCTTGGCTTCAGCGTTGCGTGTGTATAGCTTGTAGCAGTCGCCTGCTCGGACACGCCCCGCTCGACCTCGTCGCTGTTTACATGCTGCCCTTGAGGCCCAGGTCTCGGCAAGGCGAACCATGTTGTTTTGCGGGTCGTAGCTTGTCTCCTTGACCCGACCCGTGTCGATGACAGCGACGATATCCTCGATAGTGATCGACGTTTCTGCGACGTTGGTACACGCGATGACCTTACGCTTGCCGTGAGGAGCGGGAGGGAACACACGCTTTTGCTCAACTGGCATGAGCGATGCATGCAGAGGCAATGCATGGAGGTTTGCGAACTGGCTGAGCGCTTGGAGCGTGCGATCAATCTCCATAGTACCAGGTAGGAAGATAAGTATACCTCCATCCTTTGTCCCGAGCTGGCGGTCAATGTGACGAACAGTCTCCGCGATGAGGTCGTAATTGATGCCGAATCCGATACTCCGGAGATTTGCTGAGAACGATTTGTCCTCTGAAGCATCTTCGTCGCCCATACCATATCCCTTGAACCCGGTGAAATGTACGACATCGTCGACATAGTAGTCCGTCACGGGATGAGTGCGACCCTCAATCTCGACACGGCCTACGGGTCCAACCTCTTTGAAGTAGGCTTCAAAAACAGCAGCATCGAGAGTGGCGCTCATCAAGATGACCTTGAGATCTTGTCGCTTTCGTAAAATCTGGCGCAAAAGAACGAGCAAAAAGTCTGTGTCCAAACTACGCTCGTGAACCTCGTCAACGACAACGTGGCTGACATCGGCTAGCGCGGCAACAACATCGTCGGCATTGCCACCCGACGTTTGAAGACGTCTTAAAAGTACACCAGTCGTTACAAACGTGATCTTAGTAACTCCTGGCTTCTGTTTGGATTCTCCGCGGATAGTGTACCCAATCTCGTCGCCGACCTGGGAGCATCGCTCATCGGCCACACGATCAGCAAGACCAAGCGCGGAAATCCTGCGTGGCTGGGTACAGATGATGTTCGCAACAGCACCAAGCTGTCGCTGTATCAGATCATCGAGGACGAACTGCACCGATTGAGTCGATTTTCCCGATCCAGTCTCACCTGAGATGATCGTGACCTTACAGTCGTTGACAGTGCGGACGATTTCATCCCTCAACCTCCACGCAGGTAGTGACTGCCGAGCGTTCATCATCTTTTGCTGCACTGGAGATCCTTGCTTAGTTTGCCAGTCTGACAATATTTTTTGGCTAGGAGGCGTGGCGGGTGTCCAGTCGATAGGCCTTCTAGGTCGCCCCTTCGCCCTTCGTTTTTGACTTTGCTGTTCTGAAGAGTGATCTGCTGCAGCAAGGCCAGACGATACATCGGTCAGTCTTCCTGGGTTCTGGAAGATATCACCAGCGTTCGTTTGGATCCAGTCTACGACATCGTATACCATGGGCATGCCAATGAAGTTGGCTTCAGCGTGGAGAAGCGCTTGGCGAATGATGCTCAAACGAATATATGCTGGGATAGCCGCCTCGAACGTGATGATAGGAACGACGGCAGGGTAAGGACCGAAAGGCTTTCTAACCTGCAGTATGAGTCGCTTTCCTTGTTGCTTGACGTCTAGCTCGATGCGACAGGATTCAGGAGACGGGCGCGAAAACAGACGGTCGTATATTGCCTCGAGTGATGACATCTCCACCTCCCACGGATCGTCCTCTGGAGACGTCTCAGGCTCACCATTGCTTAGCGAGAGATCTTCGAGATCTTGTACTAGGCTACTCTCTTCCTCGTCTGGTCGGAGTAGACGAGCTTGTAGCAAAGCTGCGGCTTTTCTCTCATCACTGCCTTGACTATCGTATGCTTCTTCGCAAAGGTCCATAGAGTATCCAGCTGCAGCAAGGCGCTTCACGGCACCCTCACGCTTGAGGTTAGAGCTAGCCATACTGACGCCAGCAACGTAGCCTTCTGGTAGTGACCACGATGGTAGATCGTCTTCAGGTACATGAATCAGAAGCCATTCAATAATCTCCTCGCGATCTTTGCATATATCGGCGGCCTCCTCGACGTGGCTTCTCCGAAAGCCAAGGTTCGCGATCTCATCGACTAGTCGGTTCTTTGTAAACGGATGCATTTCGATGCCGTTCGGGTTCCAAAGTGCATCCCGGCGGATGAGACGCTCGGCTTCTTTGCGTGTTCTCTTCCCAAGCTCGATCTTGGGCACTCTCTCCCATCCCTTGAGCAAGTTTCGGCTAGGGGCTGGGCCGTTGGAATTTGGCATGGCGGCACCTGGCTGTTGGTTGTGGGCTTTCTGCGCCTCTTCCTGCTGCTTCTGTTTCTTCTCACGCGCCTTTGCTGCTGCCTCTCTCGCCTTCTCCCTTTCAGCAAAACCGAAGAAGGGGTCCGCCTCATACATCCACCCTTTGCCTTCTTGTTCATCCCTCTTCTTGAGGTCCATGAATTGTCCCTTCCAAAGGTCTTTATACGTGGGCGGAAGCATGGTGTGGAGGTTCTTCCCGCTGGCGACTCGGAAGAGAGTATATGCGGCGGCAAAGTTGCGCGCTTCGACGGCAGTAGGCTGATGCGCTTGTTCTTCAAGCTCCGACGGGATCTTGATGGGAGGTAGGGTGGTGGTCTGTCGTGTCTTCTGGTTCATCTTGGAGAGTACCACAGCATAGGCAAAATGCTGGTCGCCATCTTTCCGCTGCTGTAATTAGCAATGACCTGCTACTCCGGAGCGACTACTTACGATGCGATAGTCAGGCTTGCTCCACTGCTGTTTTTGGAAGTGTTCCGACAGAAGGTTCACCGGAAGCTTTCCTGTCCATGATGCGCCAGCGATGAGCGTCCTTGTATCTGGCTTCTTGGGACCGTCCTCAGCAGCTCCAGCTGCGGGTTTGCCTTTGCCCTTACTCTCGCTCTGGGCAGCGTCTCCGCCAGAACTCTCGCCCTTCTTCTTCTTGGGTTTGCCGTCACCGAAAACAATGAACGATGTGTCTTCCTCAGGAGGCACAGTTTTCTTGGCGGGCTTGCCGCGGGGTGGGTGAGCGTTCTTGGGCATCGTGCGCGATGTGGATAGTGTAGTTGAATATACCAGAGTCCATATAAGTATACTCAGGCAGAAAGAGTGGATGTATGATAACGTGGTTTGTTCGTGGGCGGTGAAAAGGGCGCAGTCGCTAATGAAGGGGCTCAACCACCGGGATCAATATTGCACCACCCTTCAGCGAGTCCAAAGAGGAAAGAAGAATCTGAGACAGTAGCCATCGCGAGTTCCTGGCGCTTTCACTCGAACGCGATGCGCAATCCGAAATTCCGATGGTTACAGGGATGCCTCGGTACGCTTGGACCCACTCCGAGCCTCATCGTCATCGTTGCTTCACGAAACTCTCACGAAGCATTCACAAGTATCGATGCGCCCGTTGGCCCCAAGCTGGATAGCAACCTGGTTATCTCGCGTCTCTATCATACAAACCTCGAATAAGCATACAAGATCTTTTCGCAAACCGAAACGCGACAACGAATCCACAATGACAGACCGCCCAAACAAGACGGATACCCACGATGCCATCACGAACAAAGAGATAGCAGGAACGGAGCCGCCAAACCAAGCTCAGCCAGCAATTGACCCGGCCTCTTCAAAGCGCCCCAACGCATGTACGTCCCATTGCACGCTTCCTACAATCTCAACGCGCAACCTTAACTCACGGTGCAGTCACAGAACTCATGACGCAGTCGAAGAAACCAAAACAACCCATCATTCCCGCCGCAGACGGTCCAGTTACAACACAGAAGGCTTCCAAGACAGCTAAGCGTTGGGATGGACGGAACGGACTAGGCGTCTATATCGAGACCCCCGAGACGAACCCCGAGAACAAGATACTGGAGTACGACGAGGACTTTGTCGTAATAACCGACAAGTACCCTAAGGCGAGGTATGTATACATGGTATTAGATAGCTGGAGAGAACTATTAGGCTGACAACAAACAAGCGTACATCTTCTACTCATTCCACGGAAACAAATCTACTACGATCAACACCCACTCCAAGCCCTCTCCACAGACCCAGCCTTCCTCGCCGAAGTACGACAACGCGTCGTCCGTCTCAAAGAACTCGCCGCATACGAACTCCAACGTCAATATGGCGAGTTCAGCGCTTCAGATAAACCCCACAACGAGGCCCTCGAGGCAATGATGAGCTCTCCCGACCCACCACCTCCACCCGAGGAGCGCGCAGCACTGCTCCCGCCCGGCCGCGACTGGTCTAAAGATATCGTAGTAGGCGTACATACCCACCCTTCGATGAACCATCTACACATACATATCTTCAGTCGGGACATGCATTCAGACTGGATGAAGCACAAGAAACACTACTTGAGCTTCAACAGTAGTTTCCTGGTTCAATTAGATGAGTTCCCTCTAGAAGAAGATAGTAAGAGGTTTCATCCTGGAGATTGGCCTAGCTGGGACATGAAGTGTTGGCGATGTGGGAAGAACTTTAAGAATAAATTTGCGGCACTGAAACAACATCTCAACGAAGAGTTTGAGGAGTGGAAGAGGGAATAAGGTCTCTAAATTGAACATGTTTTGACCCAGAAGTCTACATTGCATCACGAGTATGCGAACCTTCGTTGCTGACACCAATGTAGACTGCAGAGTGTTCTTAAATGGGGTGGCAACTTGATTCAAGTCACATATACTTGCTAACGTCTGAGATTCTGCCAAACACCCTTCCGTCTCCGAGATGAAATCCAGCAGCTACATCTGCCAACTTGATCACATGAACCTCCCTAATCCCCCTTAGCGAACAACCAGGGTCTTGACGACATTAGTGTCGATATCATGCAAGCTCGCTGGGAACTTGCAAGACTCGCCGAAAATACAGCTCTTCGTGCCCTTGGCGTAGTGAATCTTGTTGGGCGGTGCTGGGCAGCGGTGGCCATAGATACACCTAATATCCTGGCAAACACTGCCGTTGCTGCAAGGTGCCATGCGGGCGACAAGACGGAGGGTAGCCAACTCGTCGCTGGTAGGTTTGTACGCATGGAGGTGGGTGCATTTTGTGTCGTAGGGACACTCGGCTCGGAGGAAATGAACGTTACACAACTTGATCTTCTTCATGCGGTCCACCTCAGTCTTGTCGTAGTCCTTACACGGCGGATCAACGCGTTGGCCGGCGCGGTTACGTGCGATGATTTCCTCGCGGTTCGCGGGCTTGTACACGGGGATGTCGGTAACGGGTGGCGGCGGAGCTGCGGCCTTAGCGGCCCAATTCAAGAGTGGCGCTGGCGGATCTGGCTTGAGTGCTGGGAACGTACTGTCCGAAGCCAGTGTTGATGTGGAAGGCGTCCTAGGTAAGGTCATCATTGTCGCTCGGTTTGTCAAAGGACTATCCATGATCGGGGACTTCGATGGGGCTGGGAACCGGCTTGGGAGACCTGTCGAAGCTACAGACGCCTTAGAACTATCGTTTGAGTTGATTCTTCCCGGAACAAATGCTGGCGGAAGACCGTTGGCGTGGGTACTGGCGGCGTATGTGGGTCCAGATCCCCAAACCACAAGCTTAGTCTCCCTGAAGAGACCTGGGAACTTTTTCGTTTGGTACGGCAGGCCAACGAGTTCCTACACAGAGGTGAAGTTAGCATATATACCACATGACTGACTCGCGCGAGCCATCCATGGATGGACTGCACAACTCCACGTACCTTCTCAAATGGAACGCCCTCAAGGAGAACCACCTTGTTTGTCACCTGAAGGCGATCGGAGCACTGCTCAAGCGTTCGCGCGTAGCCATTATCGTGGGAGCAGCCGAATAGGATCCGACGGCAATGATAATCCTGGGAGTATAACTTGAACAATTCTACAGCTTACAGTCAGTATATGCCAAAGGGATGACAGGCAATGTACTCACCAATGATCTTCTCGTCGGCGCGATCTTTTCCCGCACCGACGTCGATAAAATCGAACAGTGTCTTTCCCCGCGTGAATCCACGCACGAAGTCCTCGAACTCGATAATGTCTTCATAGATTCCCCTGCGCACAAGCACGTCGCCGAGCCCCCGAACGTTCGCATAGATGCGGCAGACGACACGATAACCGAAGGGGATATCCTGACACTCGTTCTCGATATACTCGTGGATATTTGCGAACAGTTGGACAGCAGCCCGGCGGCCACCTTGCTCTCCTTCGCGGAGGAAGTCGTCACCAAACTGGTATGTAGTCAGCCGGCTGCACTCAACACGCAGTACGTGAAGCTCACAATCATGCCGTCGCCGTCAATCAGTACCATGACAAATGGATTCTCAGCCTGTCACATCCAAGTCAGCTCCAAAGCGATGTGTGGCTGGACGGGATTACCATATTCCGCTGCAGATTCCGGTGCGACCTCTCATACTGTTGCTTCTCATTTTGCCATGCAAGGATCCAGTTGCGATCGCGGTCGCGTTCGGTGACCAATACCTGGTACTGCAGCGTACGAAATCAGTACATGCCTCACACGTGTTTCGCACCACCTCATACAAGGGAAAACCTGAACAGGTCTGCGGCCTACATTGACATAGAAACCTGCAAAGTAGGTGCCTCAACGTCGATGTAGGCTCTAGACCTGTTCAGTTTTTCCCTAGGTCGACGTGGCACAATCAGAGCTTACCTGTTGGTACATATAATCATACCGACCTTTCATCTCCTATTGCGCGTCAGTCATGTTGAGCGATCACCTCATACAAGAAAAAAACTCAACAGGCCTGCAGCCTACATCAACATGGAAACATGCAAAGTAGGTGACCTAACGTCGATGTAGACTGCAGACCTGTTCAGATTTTTCCTAGGTTGAGGTGCGATGGTGACAGTGACAGCGCACGTACGGTCATGAACTTGGCCTTTTCATCCTCGTACAGCTGAAATTGGTCGAAGCGTCTGGTAAAGTCTGCTAAATCCGCGTCGGAGGGGCCCGGTGAAGCCAGGCCAAGGCCATTGAGCGAAGGCGACATGTCGCAAAGGGCGCAGGCGATCGGCGAACAGGTTTGTGACTGAAATGATAGATAATCGAATGGCTGCGATTTACGTGTATGAGAGAGGGCGGAGAGAAAGCAGGTGGAGGAGGGTCGAGCGCTCTTTCTGCGGTTAGTACAGATTTTTCAAGCCCGAATAGGAAACCGCAAGTGAAGGTGAGTTATTGTGGTGACATTAAATATCACTAGGCAGTGAAGACGGCCAGTCTGGCTTTTGACGGTATGCAGCCATGCGCATTGCCGGCGGGCAGCCACTTCAAGGCGGTGTATTTGCAATTATAGCAAACTACAGAACCATAGGTGCCGCTGGGGTCGTAATAGAACGAGCGACATTTGCGGCGCGGATGCCTGGTGCAACGCGATATGGCGCGTACCAGGGAACAGTCTATACTTGGAAGGGGCCACCTCATAGAATCAAAAGCGACAGCTCGTCTTATCGCGAAGATGATAGAAAACAAAATGGTCTAGAAGTCTACATTGTGCTTAGATTTTGTGAAGTCTCGTTCTCATACTGATGTAGGCTGCAGTGTGCCTGTTCAACATCGTCGTTGTAGAAGAGGAGGTGGAGTGACGGCGTCGCATTGCCGCGGCTCTAGTTCCGTCCTCCGACGCCAAGAGGCAGCTGCGCCCGGACGTCACTTCCCAGAAGCCACGTTCGAATTACCCCATCAGTTCCCACACGCCGTCCCTCCTCCTCTCATCCCTCTCCCCGTCTTGTGTCGTCTTCGTCATGGTCAATTGGAAGTTTTCATCTCTGCTCCTGCTCTCTCTCCGAGCTCTCGGCACCTATGCTGAGCCCGCGGTAAGCTCCAAACTTTCTGACGCAGCATGACATCAGATAGCTAACGGTCGCGTCTCCAGGCTGAGAAGGTGCAACAAGCAGTAGACGAGCCGCAAACGCCCAACCTCAATGTCGCCGTTTCCGTCTCTTTCCCCCAGTCTGAGATCTTCGGCGTCAAGCTCGTCAACGGCCAGGCCACCCAGGCGCGTCTGTCCGTGGTCAACAATGAGCCAACCCCCGTCGGCGTCACCATTGTCGGTGGCTCGTTGATCCAGGAGATCAAGGGAGAATCTCAGATCCTTCGCAACCTCACTCGCCAGCGCTACTCCATCCAGATCCCCGCTGGCGCCAACGAGACGATTCCCTACAGCTTCACGACGGAGATGCACCCCCAGAATCTCCGCCTCCAGCTCGTGACTGTGCTAAAGGACAGCAAGAACAACCTCATCACCGTCCCGGTCTACAACGAGACTGTCAGCATTGTTGAGGCGCCCACTAGCTTCTTCGACCCCCAGATGTACGTAGCAATCCACCACCCAGCCTGGACACATGTACTTACTTTTCCCTAGCATCTTCCTGTACCTCGTCCTCCTCGGCGCGTTCGGTGGAACCGTGTACTTCATCTACAACACCTGGATCTCCACCTTCTTCCCGCAGAAGAAGGGCCGCGGCAAGGGTGGCGAGCGTGCTAAGGCGTCTTCGGGCCAGAGCAAGAAGGTCGACCCCGCCGACCAAGTTTCCGTCGTTGGTGCTGATGGCCCTGCTGTCACTTCCGGCGCAAAGGCCTACGATGAGAGCTGGATCCCAGCCTCGCACCTTCAGCGCCCCGAAGCCAAGCGCGTCCGCAGCGGCCGAGCTTAGATCCCCTGAACTCGACTTTGAATTCTTTGGGACAATTGGATAATACGAACGGCATGTCAGCATGCGTGCCGTGTGGATATGCTTGCATGTTCGGATACCTGGGCGCAGTTGTGCGCTGGAAGCTACGTTAATGCTGCGGATGCAGAAGGCTTGGATAATGACTTGGATGTACTATATTGCGACGTCTAAAAGTTGGCCGACCTTGTACGATAGGAAAAGTAATGTCATTGCTCTGACTACGACTTGCCAGACATCTGCCTGAACGTGCTGTCGTGGATGCAGCCTTGGAACACCGTTACACCGCAACAATGACGAGACTGGGCTCACATGTCGGGCTGATTTCTCAATATCCGCGGAGTCTGGCTCCTCACATGCATTGCTTTGCAGTTACACCCGCAGTATACATGTGTACTACGCATATATATTCGCGCTAGTGCAAGCCGCAAAAGAAACATTGTAGAGCAGAGCAGGTATTACACCGTTCGCTGAGGTTACCTGTGATCCATCAGCTGCCCCGCATCGCGATCTCCACGCCAGTGTCGTACATGCCATCTAAACTTACTCCGCTCAAAACAACATCTCTCGTATCCAGACACACGGGAGATCCTCCGACGTCGGTGATCTACCTCGCATCGTATCCTTCATCTCAGGCTAAAAGATGTCCAAACATTCGGTGGAAACATGCTAGAAGCTCTATGGCCGTCAAACCAGACGCCGTTGCTTCGCCCTAGCCAGTGTTCTACAGGACAACGGCGGAGGCCCACCCCGCACTTTAGGCTCCGTGCATGACGTGTCGCAGCCTCCCATCTCCAAACAAGCACACACACGAGCACCATACAAAGTTCAAACATGCACCCATTGCCATCACACGCCTCGGCACCTTGGCTGCTTCTCGAATTGTGTAGGTGTGTACGCTGCAAGTACAATGCGCAATGCGATGCGCCTCTCGGCCCTTTTTTGCTTTTCCGGGCGTTTGGGGGGTGGAGTGGAGGGTCGGCTCGCGCAAACTGGGGGAAAAGACAAATTGCTCAAAGCACCGTAGTCGCACACGGAAAACCCACCCGGGGTAACGGGAGCTAGATGAGCTGGACGCAACCCACGATCGCGTGCATGTCGTTTAGGCTGCGTTGATCGTATTCGTCTCCTTTGGAACGAGAATTATCCGCCGATTGGGTCCGGATCCGCAGGTGCAAGACGTGATGCTCACGATGCCGTGGGGTGATCATGGCTCGAAACGGGAAGGGCTTCACATGTCACGGCGCGGGCGGGTTTGGGGGGCACGCGCGCTAGAGGCTTGCGTGGATGGGCGAGTTGCTTGTGACTCCGAGGGTAGAGAGTTAGTGTGGGTCTAGTTGGGTGAGTCAATTTGGGTTCGTTGATGGATATAAGATGAGTGGTTGCTGCTCCTGCTACGCTTTTGCTTATAACAGACATTCCATCAGCTGGGAGGAGACATCCAACGTCAGGTTACTACACATCGTACCATATCGACGGCATCAAACAACAAGCCCTGCTCTTATTACCACCGAACGATCATCACGTTTCACCCTCGAGCATACCACATCAGACCAACAATACAGCTCGCATACACTATCACAATGCCGCCAGTCAGCCAATTCCCACCTGCGCGCGTCTTCCTCAAGAACGCAACCTCATCATCTCCATCATCCATCAACATCTCGACATCACGACGAGCCAGCCTGACATCGCCACTAAGCCCCAGATACGCAACTTCGTCAGCTTCGAATGCGTCGCAGTCCATGGCACAGATGCTGTCGCAAAGACCAGGGGCTAGGGAGATGGATGGCGGTGCGAGACGAGTGACAAACTGATACATCGAGCTATTATTCATTTTCAGCGAATAACGCTCGCCCAACATACGACTTCAAGGACGTCACAGTCAACAGCAGGTCGCTTGCTTTTGTCTAGCAGATAGACCTTCATGCGACCTGAACGCCGAGACGCGAAGACCTGCGCCACCATATCGCGCCGTCAAGAGTGACGACGCAGAGCGTAGAGAACCGCTTGGGTGTATTGCAAGACCAGTATCATTATGCAACAACTGGCAGCAAGCGCGGGACGCATGTGCTCACTCACGAATATATCGTGAGATGTTTGGCACAGGGAACTACAGCAGTTGCCAACGGCGTTTGGGTGTGGTTACATTATATTTAGATTCACGATACCAAAGAATTCCCTTCAATTCAAAAGTTTGCTCACTGTATCATACCTTCTCTCGGGGTTTAAACAACATGTTCCCTTCTGTACACTGCGAAATTCAGCACGGGTTCAAAGTCACAATGTCAACACCTCCAACTTGAAGCTGCTCCTGCGATCAAGCCAACGCGAACCAAATCGCTCACGTAGCACAAAGCTCGGTGCGTCTCATAATGAACACGATGGACTCATGGTAATTCAGATCTATAACGACTGTGTGTATTGAAGAAACTACATATGTCATCGCCGTCCCTTTAAACTCATGCCTTGTCGTCGCAGTAGAAGACGCACGGCCCAAGCTCTCAGCCAGAGATCTTCTTGCCAAATGAGCTCCGCGCCACCAAACTCCTGAACCTCTTGCCAAACACATACGCCGGAATAGTAAGCGCACAGATTCCCAGGTTGATGACCGTGATTCCGTCGAACACCGCGCGTGGTCCGATGTTGGCCATGATGCCGTTCGCGTAGGTTGTCGCAATGAAGGTAAACACCGCCTTTGTGAAGTTGATGGTAACGAAAGCCTGGTTCGCATCTTTGGGGTGGCAGTCAATTACGTAGGTCAGACTGGCTGTCGACGCGAACGGTACGGAGAGGGAGTGAATGGACATGAAGACCAATGGCCAAACAAGGGGGTAGCCAGCTGAAGTACTCATACCAAAGCCGAGGAAGCCAATCGTCGCGAAAATGACGGCAGGTACCATGAGAGTCAAGCGGAATTCAGGTTCGAAGACACCCTTATTGCGGCGGGCCATGAATTTTGCGAGAGCATCGGCTGTCCAGCCGGAGAGGGGCGAGCCGATAAGTGCGACAACGAGGAGAGGTAAATTGGTAAGACCGACTTGTGCCGGGTTCAGCGAGTACGGTGGCGCGGAGAAGATATTGACTGAGAGGACGGAGATGGTGAGCAGCCAAGTCTGGAAGGGAAGATGAAAGTCAACGCATGTCTCACAGAAAGCTAATGGGCTTTACTCACAAAGTAAGACCCGTACACGATGGTGCTGAACAGTACTGCGGGGAATGCGATGAGAGGCACAGGCTTCCAAGCGTTCTTCCAGAATGACTCCTGTGATAAGCGGCCACGGAAGAGCGCCAGCTGGCTGCGGTATGGCTCCCTCTCCTCTTCGAGCTCGAAAACGGAGGAAACGGACTTGTGCTTCTCATTGACGGCAAGCTTGTCCGTAGTAGGTCGGGCGCCATAGTAGGTGGTTTCGACGACGAAAAAGTACATGCCGAGGAGAATTGGGATGAAGATCAGTGCGGAGATACCAAACGTTGCCTCGAAAGAGATGTTCTGGATGATAGCACCAGCGATTGTCTGACTAAGACTGGGTCAGTACGCAGATGCGATGAACTAGGTCGAGAGGAATTTACCCGAGAAGCACACCAGAGGCTAACATACAACCCCAGACTGCGATCCTAGTACCTCTTTGGTGGACAAAGTACATGTCGGATACTGTGGAGGTGACGAGTGTCTCGAGAGGTGCTGATGCAATACCCTGAACGACTCGCATGACAGCGAGAGAGACGAAAGACTGCTTTAAGTCAACGAAAAACCTTTTAACTCATATTGCAATACGCACTCTAGTGAAGAATCCCCACACGTTCGTTGCAAGAAGGATCACGGTGGAAATGATGAAGAAGGGTCGCTTGCCCCAGATGTTCGCTCCAGCAGCCGTGAAGAACGTGGTGAAACCAATCCAAAAGGCGAGGAAGCCGATGACCAAACTCGATACCATATCGATGCTAACGTTGTACTTCATGGCGATGAGTGGAAGTGCGGGTGTCACCATGGGTCCAAGACTGGCGGAGACTCAGCTTGTGGAAACAATGGAGTCTCTTCGATGCTTACGCTGTTGTAACACCTGAACTGAAAGCGAGCAGAATCATGATGCATTCCTTCCTCTTCGGTGACCTGCCGCGTGTGAGACGATACCTCGTAACGCAGTTGTCGTAACTCACCAGTTGAGCGGATCGTTGGGACTATCCGAGGGCTGTGGCTGCAGGATAACATCGCCATCACGCTTGACGTCGCTAAAGTCAACCTTTGAATCTACTGAACAGATATTAGTGACACCACGCTAATGCTCTGATGACTGTATCCTACGGGCAGGTTCAGAATCGTTAATAGTAGATGTTCCCGGGGGAGCTGCCATATGGCGGTCTTCTAGAATTCCGAAACCCATCTTGGTGGTACCTAGGCCTGCTGACTTAAAAGAGAAAGAACGGTAACGAGAATGGAAAGAATGTAATTGACTGCCGGCAGTCTTATCCAACGCGCTGCGTTGAGATAGAGTAATTAAGATGTATAATGAATGAAGCAGCAGCAGTAGGACAGCGAGGCCAGCTCTGAACAATGAGTGCCTTGGGCCAACCTCTCTTATGACAGCATTGCGATAGGGCTCGAGGCATCAAGGGTAGCCTGATACTAACGAAACTACGCTGAAGCGTTTGAGACAAAGCGATATACCAACCATGTTCGTCGATCGACGCCTTGCATGGGCTTGACTGCCGAAGCCTGACCAGGGCTAGCCGAACGCGACATCCAACGCGACGTGTTTCAGTATGTCGGGACTTCCCAGAGGTATATAGGCCCAACCAAAAGCAAAGTCCGCGGCGGTAGAAAACTCCAGTGTCCGAGTCACACGGGAGCCATGTCTGACTGGCAGTATATCTATCGATGCAATCGTTGGTAGTTGGTTGTGAACGCGTCTCAGCCATATCCAGTTGCTTCGAGAACTTTGACATCTACCAAGACGCTATCACAAGCATATCCACGCGGTGATCTGATGACATGGTGCGCCACGGTGCTGTCTTGTTGAGACCGTTTTATGTTATCGGGAGGTGGAGGCAGACAAGTCGATCCGATGGTGCGTGTGGTGCCTGACCCTGGAACAGATGATACAATCGTTGGCGTGTTGCGCGTTGGGTGCGAATGCGCAAATCTTCTGTAAGCATTGCGACGACACTCAGTAATCCAAGCTGCCCTCTGTGACTGTTATCAGCATAGCATACGCATTCATGCGTGAATGTACAGCGCTCTTCACGTTTCGCTTCAACTGCCGAAGACAAGACGCGTGATGATCGCGTGTCCAATGCGCGACATGGTATGCATGAAAGTCGCGTCGATCATGCAGGTCAGGAAGCTTGACAGATGTGCGATGGGTGTTGTACGATGTCGATGTTGATGGAAGGCCGACTGCGACGGACTCGGCAACCCGTGGAGCTGATCGCCCTTAACCATTTAGGGCATGGTGCCCGACGTCATCGCCATCGTGGGGCAGCGACATGTACCCCGCGACGGGTCATGGCGTAGATGCTATTGGAAGAAATTACTACTTCCTCCACTACAATTGCCATTTAGCCGCAGTACAGCCGTTATTGGGACTACATATCTCGAAGAGAGTGAGCTGTTCAAGATCTTCCAGGAACTCTCGTGCCATCAACTTGCGAAATCTCCATCAACATGTCCATCGGCGTAGCTATTATCGGAAGCGGCATCTTCGCCAAGGAAGAACACCTGCCTGCCATTCAAGACACTCCGTCATTGAGCCTAAAAGCAGTTTACTCGCGATCACAGAAATCGGCAAAAGCTCTGTCCGAGAAGCTGTCCGATGTCGAACTCTACAGCGACGACCAGGATGGCAAGAAGTTCGAAGACCTACTGAAGAGGGACGATGTAAAAGGCGTAGTCATTGCGTACGTATACTGCTAGCTAGAGTACAGAAAATGAGTTGCTAACATATCGCAACTCAGACTACCGATCCTTGCCCAACCTGACTACATCAAGAAAGCCCTCGCAGCTGGGAAACACGTCTTTGCTGAGAAGCCGATCGCAAAGGACCTAGCCACCGCACGCGAACTACTCGCATGGACACAAGACTCCTCCAACACCTCTGCAGTCTACACTGTAGCCGAAAACTTCCGCTTCATCGACTCCTACGTCTGGGGCTCTGAGCAGGTTGCTTCTCTGGGCCGCGTTCTTACCTTCCGTGTACGTGTTGCTGCCATGGTATCGGCAGGCAGCAAGTACTACGAGACGGAATGGCGCAAGAAGCCGGATCACCAGGGCGGTTTCGTGCTTGACGGTGGCGTGCACTTCGTAGCAGCGACACGTCTCCTGCTACAAGGTGGCGGCGCAAAGATCAAGAAGGTCAGCGCGTTCACGGCGCAGCTTCAGGAGCACCTCCCGCCTGTCGACACACTCAACGCCACTATGCAGCTGGACAACGACGCCTCTGGTACTCTGTCCATCTCCTTTGGTACCACCGACACCGGCTCTGAGTACCTTGTTGCGTGCGAGAAGGGCTCAGTACACGTCGCTCGCGGTAAGGTCACCATCACCAGGGATGGCAAAGACCCAGAGACGAAGGAGTTCCCGGATGAGGGCAACGGCGTGAACCAGGAGATCAAGGCTTGGGCAAAGAGTCTAGAGCAAGGAAAGAGAAACGAGATGCAGAGCCCTGAGGAGGCATTGAAGGATTTGGAGATCTTGGAGAGCTGTTTGAAGAGTGGCGAGCAGGGCGGCAAGCCGATTGATGTCAAGCAGTAGAGTATGTAGCGTTAGCAGTGTGCATATTTCGCAAAGAAATCCCAAAGTAAAGCTTCTCTGCAATTATCTTAAGTCCCTCACAAGTTGCTGTCTCTACAAGGCAAGTTATTCTTAGCTATCTTACACCTCTCTTTCTTTCTCTAGCTTTCGCGCAACGCAAATGTATGTAGATAATGCTAGATACCTTGTGTATAGGTAAAACATACAGGTCGAGTAAAAATTAGAACATAGTAAAAACAATGTTGCAAAAAAGAGCAAAAAAGCATCTTCTATCCGAAGATAGAAGACGACGTCTAACCGTTGCCGGTTTTTCGTTTCTGGACATTGTTGTCTGTTGTATCCTTCAAGGGTCCACATGTTCCTAAAGGCAGACTGGGGAATCGAACAAGGCGCCTTAGGTGAGTTGGGTCTGGAACGATTAACCATTCTGAAGCCGTTAATATTGTGGTTGCGGGCTCCTGTCTTTGGTCGTTCCTCTCGAACTTCAGCTAAGGCGGCTTGTTGATGGAAGATTGGGGATTTGAGTGCTATATATTGGGGGAGATGGTGTGGAGTGTGGGGTGAGACCAAACGTGAGGTGAAGGCGGAACTGGAGGCGAGTGCCTGGGTGCCTGGTGAGAGCGCTGCGTGCGCGGGCGTGCGCGTTTGCATTTTGGGTGTTTGTTGTGTGATGGCGGAGGGTCGGGGCGCCGGCGGGAAGCGAGAGTGATGGTGGTGAGAATGATGACGAGCCCGGAGGAGGCGTCCGCAGTGCTTGATGGCCGTTTTCCAGAGCGAAGGTCCATCGCTACTGAGAGGCGTCGAGCAGAGGTTGGAGGCTACGCCGGGTGTTCAAAAAGGCAATGGTAATGCGTAGCTACTGCGGAAGTACCAAACGTCAGCTATGCGCCCATTGACATGGAGGACCTCGCTTGTAGCGACACTTCGAGCTGTGATGTACTTCCATACTCGAGCCACAACTTGAAGACGACGGATTTGCATAATGAAGGAGCAGAATTAGATGACCAAGCGCATATGTACAATGATAATGGGGGTCAAGAGAAGAAGCGGAACGATGAGTGAGACAAGTATTCGGTGAAATGATGATAACACAGAGGAAGATCACCTGTGGGGCAATGGGAAAGAAAGATCATAGAATTTACCGAGAAAGAGAAATGAAATGTATCTTACACAACGCATTTCAGATGTCAGGTCTACGACATGCACTACTAGAAAGACATCCTCTCACTTATCGGTTTGTTTCTGCTGCTGCATTTCCTTCATCTTCCGCTGCGTCTCCAACTCAAACGCTTGCTTCTTCAATACATCAATCTTGTCGTCAATTACCGCGATCTGGGCCTCGACCCGGAGAAGCTTTTCCTGCATCATGTTCTCGTAGTCGTCGTCGGTCAAGACTTGCATAGGACTCCACTTGCTCTTTGCAATCTTTTGCATAAAGTTCTCCTTGGGCTTGGCTTCACCTCTCGCTCGTTCCTGGATTTCGCTGGAGTTTTTGGCGTCGAGGTAATTGTACCCATGTTGTCCTGCCCAGCCGAACAGAGTGAACATGATGGTACCAGGGATGACATTGCGAGGGCCGCGAAAGAGGAGGCCGAGGTTAAATCCAGTCAGTCCACCAGCAAGGGCTGACGCGCGAACCTTGTCAGACGTGGTTGGGTTAAGGTCGGTGCGAGGGTAGACGGGTGCCCCACGAGTGAGGTTCCACCAGTTGAGTAAGCCAGCATGATTGAGGACTGACGTGCGGATGCCCCAGAACGTGCTGCCAATGGCGAACCATTGCGCTCCTGAAACGATGGAGAAGAGAACTGGAGTTTGCGTGCGGATAGTACCGTAGAAGGCACCAATCACAGTACCAGGGACGGCTGGAACAGGTTAGGCAAGATATATGAGGTGAGAAAAGGCTGACAAGACGACGATTATGCAGAAGTGAATTCGAAGCGCACGACTACAATGAAGCGAAACTATGTGGAATGGTGAAAGATTATGGGCGTACCTGAGGCTCCGCCAATGTAGAGGGCTTGCCGGGCAACCTCCAGGGGCTGCGTGACCTGTTCGGGGTCATGTTTGGCTTTCATCGCTCTTTCATGGGGGCTGAAGGTGGTGGACCAGATTCGGGTAATGACAATGCAAGGTTCGCCGCCGTTGGAAAAGCAAAGGCGCTGACTAAGCGAGGCCCAACGAACGCACAGCCTGAGCTTAAGATTTCCGTTCGGGAAAGTCTCAAGAACTCACCCCACACACGCTTCAACCACAGACCCCGCAACCACCTGCAACCCAACTCGAGAGCAAGAAACCGCTCTCCAAACCCGAATCAGACAGCGCGCGGAACCTACTCGCGCACAGTCTGCCAAACCGCAATCATGGGTACGTAGACGTGGTGCGCACGCAAATTGCAGGCGTCACTCGAGCCGGCTTTTTTGCCCCGCTCTGTACCGCGCCCAAAACAAGAAGCCATGGCTGACGATGTGTTGTAGCGCCCAAGAAGAAGCAACAAACCATGGGCCTGGGAGAATTCCTGAATGACCAATGTACGCCCCGCCTACCTGCCCCCGAGCGCGCAGAAGACTGACATGTAGCAGCGCTAGGATCATGGGCCGACGAAATGGAGGACGCGCCAATGCCTGGTGAGTTACACGCATTCTACTTAGGGAGTGCCTTGATATACTAACGTCTGCAGGAGCCGGTAATACACCCCACCAACTGTCGCAGCGCGAACATACACACGACGGAAGACTGACACATTTTTAGGTGCCGGTAGAAGCTCTGGCTATGGCGGCGACAGACCTACCTTTGGCTCTGGTGGCGGCGGCTTCGCTTCTGACCGCGCTGGCAGCTTTGGTGAGGAGAGCATACTTAGACGCATTCGCATATACTAACAACTTCCCAGCCGACCGTGGATTCGCAACTCGCGAGGCGCTGCCCATGCCCTCCAAGCCCCCGTACACCGCCCACCTGGGCAACCTCTCCTTCGATGCCACCGAGGGCGACGTGACCGACTTCTTCGCCGACTGCGAGGTGACCAACGTGCGCATCGTCGAGGACAAACTGGACCGAAAGCCCAAGGGTTTCGGCTACGTCGAATTTGGCAGCGTTGATGGACTGAAGAAGGCGCTTGACCTGTCTGGCACATCTTTCCAGGGCAGGAATATCCGTGTCAGCGTTGCTGAACCCCGTACGTCATGTGTCTACAGGATGCACTTAAACAATTACTGACAAGTCACAGCCAAGGACCGCGAAGAAGCCCGTGTCATCACAGACTGGACCCGAAAGGGACCCCTCCCTGATCTACCCGGCCAGCGCAGCAGCTCCGGACGCGGCGGCTTCGGCTCGGGCCGTGACCGCGCTTTCGACGCAGGATCTGACGCCGGCAGCGAGCGAGGTGAGCGTCGCCGCCCACCTCCATTCGAGAGCGACGGAAAGCCACGCGACTTTGGCAACTGGGAGCGCCGAGGTCCCCTTTCTCCAGCCGCTGCACCTTCTCCCAGCGAAGGCGGCCGCACTCGAGGTGGCTTCGAAGGAGGTCCCCGCGAGGGCCGCCGACAGTCCCCCGCCTGGGGCGAGGGTCAAGGCACTGAGGGCTCTCGTGGGCCCCGCCGTGAGTTCCAGGAGCGACCGCAATTTGAGAGGCAGCCTACTGCGGCAGACAATGACAACCAGTGGCGATCCAAGATGCGCCCCGATGCGCCTATCAAGTCGCCTACATCCACACCCGACGCTAGCACGCCATCATCACCGGCACCGCAGGCCGCTGCACCCGCAGGCCGCCCTCGCTTGAACCTGGCCAAGCGAACAGTCTCCGAGGCTCAACCAGCTCAAGACGCGTCCACTCCTTCGGACAAGCCCAACCCATTCGGTGCCGCCCGCCCCATCGACACTGCTGCTCGTGAGAAAGAGATTGAGGAGAAGAGGCAACTTGCTTTGCGCCAGAAGAAGGAAGCTGATGACAAGGCGCGCGAGGAGAAGAAGGCCAAGGATGCCGCGGAGAAGCCAGCACCCAAGGACTCAGCACAGCCAACGCCGACAAAGAAGGAGGAGAATGGTAGCGAGGAGAAGCCCAAGTCCAACTTCGAGATCCTCCAACGGGTGGAAGAGGGTAACTCTGCTGGCCAGGATGAGGACGCCGAGGGAGAGATTGTACACGACAAGGACGTCAAGCCGCAAGAAGTCACTCGCGACCCACCGAAGGCTGAACAAGGCTCATGGAGGCGGAAGTCCAGCACAGCTGCGGCACCTGAAGGCACTACTACCGAGGCCATGGACGATGATGGCTGGAGCACTGTCACCAAGGCCACCAAGAACGTTAAGAACAACCGCCGAGGAGGCGGAGGTGCCCCGGCCCGCGCCATCGCGTCTTAGGTGGGCGTATCAATTTTGAGACTAGCCCCGATGCTGTATCTGGGATGAACGCAACGCATACTCGACGGCGTGGTGGCGTCCTTTGTGTTTCTGGGCTTTGCTGTTTATCACAGCTGTTTTTGTTCGGCGGTTTTCCCATATTGTTGCATCACTGCACAATCATCGTCCTTTCGACAGCCCTGTTCATCCGAGCGCGATTTGCAAGGCGTCCACGGCTGGACTTGGGACGTTTTACGAGCTTCTTTCTGCATGCCCCTTACGATGCCGTTCCTTGGCGCTGCTCGTTTCCAAAAGTATTGGTCGCCCTCCTAGACCTTCCACACCCGGTAAATATAGGATATGCCATATTTTCGATCATCTCCTCTCGCCATCAGTGTGTCTGTTGTTGTGGCCCAGCCAAGCTCTCTCTTTGATGGATCTGTATTAGGGAACTAGAGGATGGTATGCACTGGCATGTATTTAGCTGCAACAAGAATCTCGAAAGTATCTACACTCCAATGCTTGACGCACGTTTGCGATAATGCGGTTAATGACTGTGATGTGTATGTGAAGTTTGTATGAGGGTCTGACAGGGGTGGGTCGTTGTGAAGGGTTCAAGCATGCAGACCATGGTTCGATTTGGGACTATGAAATCTGTTCTTTGGTCGTCATCTTTCCCTGTCATCACTACAATTTTCGAGATTGGGAAACAAAACAAAACATCACCCACGTCATGCCTGGCACTATTGTCATTGAGAAGATTCAGGGCCATGGTGTTTCAGAAGAGATGCTCGCTCAAGCGGCTGAGCTCTTTTCCTCTGACTATGGAATCTGGGGTCCTCTTGCTGAAGAGAAAATGGGCACATTTGGTAACTTCTGCAAGGCGGGTATGTCCATGTTTTCCCCCTTTAATGAATGCAATGCTAATGCCCTTGTAGGACGCCCCGTGAAGATGTCCAAAACCCGGCTTCGTGAGCAGTCCCTTGCTCCGGGAACTGACAGCGTTCTGGTGCGCGCTACGGTCAACGGCAAACTTGTAGGACACGCCTTTGCAACTTTCTGGGACTATGAGGGTCGCAAAATCGGCTGGATCACCCAACTATGTGTTAGTCGCGATTTCAGGCGCAACGGGCTGGCAACAAAGGTTTGTCTTCACACGAAGTTTTGACCTCGGCCAGCATTCACTGAACCTCACAGATCTTATTACATTTGCGCGAAAACGAGCACGACAGCAGTTTCGGAGTTCTCTCTTCTCATCCTGCTACTATTCGCGCCACTCTTCGAGCCTTCGGAGATGGAATCGAAAAGCTGAATTTGAGCGGGATCAAGGATCTTGTACCCGCCGTTATGAAGTCCTCGCCAGTTCCTTATGTCAAGATGGCTAAACCTACGGGCTCCTTGTTTGATCAGGGTGATCAGACAGGTGCTGTTTGCTGCGCTGACACTGCATTCTGGGTTGATCACGCTGAGCCCCTGGCTGCGCTGGATGTCATCAAGGAGGACGGTATAAAGTGGCCGTTTGGAGACTTGCCTGACGGCTGCGAGTTCTTGGCTTTCGTCAGTAGGTAGTCTGTTCTATGATGCTGCAGTCTACACTGACACATGATACCGAAGACCTGATGGACGCCAGGGTGATGTAGGCTGCTGGGCTGTTGATGCAGTGGCATGTTGCTTCGATTGCACCCGTTGTAGCAGCCTAGGAGAAAGAATCCGCTAAAAATTTCTGGTCCTTTCCCTTGCATGTGGTGCAGCGATGCTAACGTCTAGTCGATCGCCGTTGACGTGCCGCGAACAGGGTTCACGACGCAGGATCCCGGTACGTGCGCCACAATACGTCAGATGTGCTCGGCCTGTGTCCAACTTCGATATCTTGCTTTGGCGGCGATCGCCTACGCTATCACTTTCCTTTTCGTGTTTTGCGATGCATATAGCGTTTCATTCCAATTAATTGAGCTAGGAAATCGACACGTCCATGGGTGTTGCCCCCATTCGTCATTATACAAACCAAGCGGAAGCGTACCATAGACACGACGCGCGTTGTTAGGGGTTTGGCACATATCATTCTTGGGCTCAAACAGAAAGGACATCTTCACATAATGGCGTCGAAGCCATCATCGCCGGGACCCAATGCGACACCTGCAACGCCAGCCAAGCAGGCACGATCCAGGAAGGCTGCTACTCCAAGCCAGACTGAACAGGGAAGAGCAGGGTCCGCAGGCGGAGTCGTGTTACCAAAAGAGCCCACTGCAAAGGCTTCAGCATCTTCAGCAAAGAAGGCTGCAGCAACAACAGCCACAGATGACGTTACTGCACCGGCAGCGAAGACACCGAAAAAGAAACCCAGGAAGCTGAATAAGGAGCCCATATCAACATCTACAGAGGCAGCAAAGCCTACGGTCACAAGTAAAACAACGGCAGATGTACCATCGCCCTCTGAACTCGAAGCGCTCAAGTCTCGTGTCAGAGGCTTGGAAGCCAAAGTAGAAGAGCTCTACAAAGCCGGTGCCATTCCCGACTCACGACCTGGCCGGTCCCCTCGCCGACGAGGAAAAGGGCGAAAAGCCTCATCTACAGCGCAGGTTCCCACGCTTAGTACTACAGCCAATGAAAGCGATTCTCGGGTCCAGGAAATCGCTGACGACGAAGAGGAGGAAGCAGACGAAGAACTCGTGCGTCTAGAGGGCGAGTTGGAAGTGGCACGGCAAGATCTAGAACACTTCAATCCTCGTAGCCAAGGAGCAAAAAGCCGCGGAACAGAATACATCGAGGAGATCGACAGGGACGTACCTGGAGCAAGAGCAGGTACAGAGAGACAAGTCACCCTATCAGGAAGCTACCGCATCCCCATCCCCGCCAACGTCAACCTGGAAGACGTCAAAACGATCAAATCAGGCGTCTCCGCTGCACAAAACGTAGCACGTTCTTTCCTCGAGCAACGACGCGCCGCCGCCGCCGTGCGCGCTTCCGAGAACAACGCCTCTTCACCACAACAGCAGTCTAGCAGCAGAACTACCAAAGTCCCCGCTTCTAAATCTTCCTCTGCAACCACGCCGAAGCCAAAGAGAAGCATGAGCTCGACGATGGAGGTTGCCGTTGATAATAGCGATGGGAAGCAGAGTTGGAGTGAATGGATTGGTGGATATAGTATGGCTATTACCAGGGCCGTTAGCAAGATTGAACACGAGGCTGCTGTTGAGGCGCAGAGGGGTGGTGGAAGTGCAGGTGCGAGTAGGCCTTCGGCAGGTGGAAGGAGGACGAGTGCGCCTACGTCTAAGAAAGCGGCGGGGAAGAGACCAGCTGCGAAGGCTACGTTGAGTGGAGAGCAGGTTCATGGATTGATGAGTTAGATGGTGGGGAAGAGATCTTGTACGATATAGAGTTTTGCCCATTAAGTGCGAGTGTTTGGGGTAGCATTGAAAAAGCATAAGTGTAGTCGGAAGCAATACCGCAAGCATGAAGATCTCGTTCGATACGAGCACGGTAACACTATGATACGGTACCTATTACCCTGGTTCCTCACAGCTTTACCAATCCTCCTATTCACTTCTGAGCCTCTCCCACCGCTTCTGCCGCTGCATGTCCTACATGTTCGTGCTCATTCTCATTCGGAGCGGGTGCAGCACCCTGATCACCATCATCCACATGCTCTCGTTGCGCATCCTCGGCCGGAGGAGCCCCTTTCCTCGGTGCTTGTATTGGTGGATCCTCTGCAGCTGCAGGATCAGCTGGAGGAAGATCTGTCGCTGGCGCAGCAGCAGCTTCTTCAGGCACCGGGTCTAAGGACACCTCTCTTTTTGCCTCGCCACCTGCGGCAGCAGATCTATGGGAAGTCGAGGAATGACTGCTGTGGCTCTTTGTGCTACTCCTTGATGAAGACGAAGAGGATGATCTAGAAGAGTGAGACCTGCCTGACTTCACGCTCTCTGCCCTTTCTTTCGTGACAGGCTTGCTTGCTTCGGGTGCGACTGCGACTGTGACGGTAACATTGCGTGGAAGCTCAGAACTGCTACTGCTATTTTGCGTGTTCTTCCTTGCTCCATACTCGGTGCCGGCATCCAGCCCGTGGAGAGCCATCCCAAACACTCCGCCCATTCTTCTTTGGGGCTTTTGGCTCTTCCAGCTAGCAGTTGTAATCGGTTTACCCTTCCCACCTGCGAGCCAGAAGAGCGTAGACGGAACACGCTGATGATCTCGTAGAGCGGAAGGTGAGCCGGCGCCGCCTCTAAAGCTGACTGTTGGAGGGAGTGTGACTGGTTGTATGGTGTGGCTCGCGGAGACGGCGGGAGTATCGGTAGAAGGGCCTGTGATGCGAGCAAAGATGGAGGCGAGACCGAACAACGGTAGATAAGAGAAGATCGAGCGTGGCTGCGGGTATGTAGCGGCAAAGCTTGCTGTGCGCGAGGATGAATTGGTAACGTCTCCGCCGCCAGATGTGGATCTGCCCGTTCGAGGAGTCTCTTGACTTCCATCGAGTCTCTTGATACCTTTCGGAAGGCGAGATGTACCATGTGCCCTCCTCAAAGCGCGTGCAACTTCGGCAATATTAGGGGTTCTCGCTGGTGGTAAGTGGTCATCGCTACCTGAGTCAGTGTTGAAACCATGACCAGGCCTGTGACAAGTAAGTAGCAGTTGCTTCACCGTCAGGCCATAGCTACGAGTATGGATGTTTTCTTCTCCTCCACTACCACCTCGCAATCTTGGCATTTCATCGTAAACAGGACCCTCTTGAAAATCCGGTAACTGGTCGTTTGGTCTAAGATAATCTTCTGACTCTCTACGTCTCGTGCGACGGCGACTATCAGCTGACCGTCTTGAAGCCCGCGATTGTCGCCCTGATTGCTCTGGGGAGCGTCTAGGATATACACTACTATGGTACAATTGTGCATCGATGTTGGCTTGCTGCTCAGGGCGCGGTCGTTCAACAACAACATGACCACCTGTTTCTAGATAGCCCTCAACGACGAGATTACTACGCGACGGCTGCGACGCCTGACGCTGCTCTGCGCTATTAGTGAAGGCGGCTGAAAATTTCTGGCCATAGAAGACTGTCTCGGAGAAGTCTGTAGTCGGATCCGAAGTTTTCTTGCGACGGGCAGCACGGGCGAAATCGATTAGCGGACTTGGAGCTCCGGCACGTATGGCATCCAAGTGCTGGGATACTTCGCTTTCGCGAACGTAAGGGTAGTCCTTTGAGTTGCGTAAGTAACGATGATAATGTAGTTTGGGACTGATTGGCCTCACTTCGTTGTGCTCGAGAGCGCTTTTCGATCGTTGGTGACTATCTTCACTCCTGGTAGTACCTCTCTGCTGCAGCGCCGGGTTAATAGCACCGGGTCGCGGCACAGGCAGTGCTGCTCTCCGCGGTGGGTTGCCTATCCTTTTCGCCGCGATTTCTGGAGGCACGATACGCGGACATTCTTCGGATGAAGGACTGTGCTGTGGACGAGAGCTTTGAACAGCTGGTTCCTCCTTGACCTTTAGACCCGGCTTCCGTCTGAAAGCTGACTTCATGTGGGAAAGTGCGCTTTGGGACCGACATTCACCGCATGGTTCGCTAGAGGGCGACTTCGGTGGTCGCATGCCGCAGAAATCGCAGCGCTGACGTTCCACACTGGGGAAGGAATGGTATTCACTCGCATCATATGGACAGGGTTGGCTGGTTTCAGACAGCGATGGTACCTGTAGTCGAATGACTGGAGGGGGTTGAGGAACCTGCTGATTAGCGCCAGCAACGCCTCGTTGTATTATGGCCTCTTCTCCGAGTTCCGTGCATGATCGTAGAGTGGAGCTGATATGCGGGCTTGATCTTCGTATGGGAAGGGCTGCCAGGATTGTATTGAAGCTGGAAGAAATACGTCGCTTGAGGGTCCTTGGTCGCTCGGGTGGAACTATCGGCGAGTCAGGTTCAGAAATGGGCTTCCCTGGGTTCGGCATTTTCGGTATATTGAGGCTATGGTTATGGGAGATTTGGATAGCGAAGCGCAGATTAAGAGCAAGCGAAGGTGTGATTTGAGAGCTTTCGTCACTTCTAAATGCTCGAACGTCAGAGATCGGTGGACTGTGAAAGTCTCAATCTGGATCGTATGTTGGGCGCCTTATGAATGGTAGAGCATTTGTTAATATTGACAGCAGCCATGACGTGGTGGAGTGAGGAACGTCTGCGAACGATCTATTGGTGAACACAGTGGCAAACGTGAACAGGAGGACAACGCCGGAATAACAGCAACCGTGGCCTATACAAAATGCATAGTCTCATATCTGCTGAGATCGTGGCCGTGAAATGCTCCAGCTTTGTACGCGAGGTTGTCATTGCTTCCGGCTGCGGCCAACGGCATACTGCCTACCCACAGTCTTTGACAACGCTCCCGGTCTTAGTACCTAGAGAGGCGTCCCTCTTCAGGCCAGTCGTACATGTCCCGTAGGTGGTTTCGATCAGATGCGCGTTCTTGCCTCCAGCCGTCGTCATCGTCGCTGTTGAAGTAGTCACAGTTGTAGTTGCGTGACGGGCCTGGGGAACAACCAGCGCACCTACCACGACGGTCGCCAACTTGATCTGTAAGAACTTCGCAGAGAATGCAGAGTACGTGAATTCGATTGCAGATTGTGAGTAGTGTTCCTGGGACGTACAGCGCATTGCTTACCCCGCATTCGAGACAAAATCTTGTGTGGGCCGAAATACCACTACGACACCATTTGCCTTTTCTCATATCGTCGGCAAAGGCTTTCCAGCGGTGAAAGCGAATGCAGCCTTTGCAAGTATATAGTTGTTTAGTCTTGGCCCAGGTAGTTCCTTCGGCGGCCAGAAACTCGGCATGCGTCGGTGTGGGTATGATTGATCTGAAATGGCGACTTGTGAAAGCCAAGTTGGCTTTGTTGTTCAGTTCAAGAAGACTGATTATTTCCAGATGAAGCTCGACGGGCAGGCGAAGGAGGGGCGGAGAAGACATGGCGTGCACACGCTGTGCGCGTCGAACGGGCTTTCGAAATCGCTTCGTCTAACACCAGCGCGTCAGTTGGTGTTATGTGAAGATCGGCGTCCAGCTTACGATTGATGCCTTCCAAGTGGTTGCGGATCTCTTCCCCGGCGCCCTTTGCTGCCTGTTGTGTGAAGTGTGCAGGACGCGAAGGATGAAAGCAAGTCGCAGTCTCTGCTTTTTGTCGAGAGGACGTGCAATGCACTCCTAGGTCATGAGAATTGCAAGAGTGAGCAGGCTGTGAGCACAATATACGCCTCTTGTGTAATGCCAAAGTCACACGGACCTCCAAGCCCGCGCATCCCTAGGTTCCTCAGGCACGACCAATGGTGGAGCCCATTGTCCGCGGCATTGTTGCCGTGTTCCGCCAGTTGCCTCCCTTGGTATGTTACACGACTTCAGGGTCCGGAAATTGCGATGGGGTGTTCTTTGCCCGTTTTTTTAGCCACACCGTATATGTGGCACATTATCGCCTCAGCATGGGCCTACTAGAATTCGGACTAGAGGGTCTCAATGGCTACAATAGATTCCCGGTGCGCCTCCCGATACTACTGCGACTATTCTTTCTTCAAATCGTTGAGAATCATGTAGCGCGACAGGGAAATCCAGCCCCAACGAAACCAGCGCATCTGGCTCTCGTGTGCCGTGGTCATGGCTTTCTGGGCAGTCCTGTAACCGACCGGTGAGCTGACGAACAGGAGTGGAGTCGGAAAGCCTCCGAGCTCTTTCTTGCGGAGAATTGCGCCAATAATTGTAGCTGGTGCGTCCAACAAGCTAAGATATTTACGGAATATGGAGGTGGTGGTGAGGGTGTACAGCTTGACAGGGCACTCCCACCCGCTGTGTCGGTGCATGAGCGCCTTCAAGAATGTATGCGCTCCGTCGTGGAGCGACTTGTGATTGGGATGGCCGGAGACGCCGTGTGCGTCAAAGGTGATTATAGTGTCGACGGTCGCCTGCGGTGCCTCCTTGGAAGAGATTGAGGTCATGTTCGGGGCGAAGGCGGTGGTGAGTAGGTTGGAGATTAGACGAGGGTGCCATGTTACTGTCATGGAATCTGGGAAGTTCCTGGTCCATAGTCAGTATGTTGCAGTCGGACGTGCATGGAAATGCGTACTTGTCTTCCACCACGAGAATGTCGTCCTTGCTTCCGATTCCCAGCTGCAGTCCACTCTTGACCAGCTCCTTCTTGCGGATTTCGCCAAGACCGTCGGCATCGCCTGTTGCACGAATGAGATGAGTGATTGCCTCTGAGAGCACTGGGGAGCTGTGAGGGCCATACCGCTACTGAGGCACAATATCTTGACGTGATTTCCGCGTTCCGGACGCGTCAATGCCAGTAAAGTCGGCGCAAAGAACATGGCCTCATCGTCAGGATGCGCGATCAGCAGTAGGATGCGTTTGTTTTGTAATGTGGGGAAAGACGCGCCGAGGGTGCTGGTGTACATCCAGAAAACAAAGATGAGGACAGGCACCGATGCCCACACAGTCCAATTCATGGTCAGCAAGCGCATACAAGTAGTATGTTCGATTTGGTGTTCGCTACTGTATTGCTGCTATGTACTTGCGTCAGGAGAGGTAGCGCGTGCGCATGAAGCCATCGAGGTTCTGGAACGAGCTTTGACCCACGTCATCTTCGAGATTCCTTAGAGCCGCACGCGACGTGTCTCGACCCTAACACCACACTCACCAAATGCACATCACCATGTCTTCCGGCAACAGGAAAGAGCGACGCGCCAAGGGGTCCAAGACAAGCGCAAATGGCAAGGGAAGCGGCTTCCAGCCCACCAACGAGATCGATGAAGATGGCGTCGAAATGATCCTCAAGCATCCCGACTTCTCCAAGCCAACGGGCAAGACACTTTTCGACTTGGCCGAAGAGAGGCAGCGAGAGCTAGACAAGATAAACGGCAGAACGCGAGTTGTCAAAGTACCAGTAGCATCTACACCCGCATTGCCCGACGATGTTCCTCCGATCGGCCCCCTCGGCGACTCCATCCTCTACTCCATCTCCATGGCAGTCCTCCACCTCACCCTCGACGTCCTCGTATACAGCCAATACCGGGAGGATATACTTTGGAATGAGATCTTGTGGCGCGCTTTTACAGCGTGGCCCATATTCATCCTAGCAGTCTACCTCACCCACGTCGACTTTTCGTACCGATTCCCCATACTCAGAGACGCTACGTTCTTTGGAGGCTCTGTCGTGGCGGGGTGCTATCTGATATACTCGGGCAACAAGCACGGCTACTTCTACGTCATGAAGTCAGCTCCTCCAGTTGGTACGCTCTGGATCTGGAGCGTTGTGGAAATGAGTCTGCCTTTTGCAGTCACAAGCGTGGCCGTTGTACTTGGATACATCTGGTGGAACGGGTTCGACTTTTTCTAGAGTAGTAGCAAGTATACTCTCCGGTTCAAGTCGCAAACAACGTTACTTGAGAACGAGGTCTTCAGCACGCATGCCTCTGGCGGACAATATAGGCAATCCCAATTCCATTGTCGGCACCCGGCTTTCTCGAGAACTGGGCCTCCTCTGCTTGAGGCAGCGAACTAGAGATACATTCATTTGCGGCCCCCACGTGAGAGTCTTGGAATTGCTCGGCCGCATAGCAAGCACAGTACGTCTTGCGTCATACAGTACGAGCCGTATCCGCTATCGCTTACGACTGGGTGTTTATACACGCATACCAGTGGCCAACAAAGCGGGATATTCAGAATACGTCAATGCTCTCCGACCAACTCAAGGTTCGAGTTATGACAGCGAATCATCAATATACCCATGTGCGTTCTCACGTAAGGCAGCTGAATACTGTTCAGCCGCAAATTGTCCACGTCACAAACCCCGCTTCTGTTTGACCTTGAGAGCTCAAAACTCAAGCTTGCCCTAACTACGCCATCACGAAAGACTACGAAAGTATAGTTCTCTGTGTCCTTCGAATCTTTATTGCCTCCCGAATGTCATCCGATCTTGGTCGCGGTGAACAGTGGTTTACCGGCGACCGGTCAACCCCACCGCCAGCTCGTATCCCGCAATTATCATCGGGGCTCCTTAGCATTGATCCTCCTCGTGCCAAAAGATCTTCTATCCCAATCACGCCTACCGTTGATCTCCAGCACATTCAACAATGGCGTCAAGCTTGTCGTGCAACACACGGCGCTTGCTGCAACGACGACTACTCCGACGCCTTGGCAAAGAGCATCGATCAGCTCATGCTGGTCGACGTGATTAGTGGCTCGCTTACCATTCTACCCACTTCGTCGCCAATCAAGTATGTCGCCCTTTCGTATGTGTGGGGCAATGCGCCGATGTTCAAGACGACGACGAACAACATCGAAACTTTGCTGCAGCGAGGAGCTTTGTACGAGCCATCGAACAATGTAGTGCTTCCTGACACAATTCGGGATGCCATTCATCTAGTCAAAGCTCTAGGCGAGAAGTACCTGTGGGTGGATTGTCTGTCCGTTGTTCAACATGCCGGTTCAGAGAAGATGGACATTACGTTGCGGGCTATGGCCCGTATCTACGCAAGCGCTGAGTTCACGATCGTTGCAGCGGGTGGCGAGGATGCAGGACACGGTCTGAGGGGTATTGGGGGTCCCTCGACGAACCGGACTCCTAATCCCAGTTCGTTTTCCCGCCGATGGAATGCGTATCCAAGAGATTCGAAATGGGCAACTAGGGGCTGGACGTTTCAAGAATCGCTGTTCTCGCGCCGTCTCCTTGTTTTCAGAAATACTGTGTCGTGGGTATGTGGACGCTGTGAATGGCGAGAGGGCGTTGACAAGATCACGTCCACGCAAGACAGCCACGATCGCGAAAGCAGCACGTCTTTGAGGATGGAAGACACTATATGGCCAGCAGAACGCCCACATCTCGGCGTCCCAATGGGCATGATGTCCTTGATTCCCAAGATACCGACCCTCGGTCGATGGGGAATGCTTGTGGAAAACTTCTCTTCGCGGGATCTCAAGTACGAGAAAGACGCTCGAGCAGCATTCGCGGGTGCTACTGATATCATGGACGCTACTTTCCCAAACGGTCTACTCCACGGCATACCGAAGTTCTTCTTCGATATCGCATTGCTTTGGCGACCTCGGAATTCCGCACGTAGACGTGAGGGCGAACCCAGTTGGTCGTGGACAGGCTGGAAGAACGGAACCATAAACTGCCTGTCTGCTTGGTATCCCTTTTATCCCAGGATCTTTCGTGATACCGGCCTTGACTTAGATTGGGTCGCTATTGCGACCTTGAAACCGGTGGCAGAGTATCGGTTGGCAAACGCGGTAGATGGAAGTAGTTCGCAGTTCAATGGTTTCTACCGATATCAAGCCCTTCGGGAAAACCCTGACGAGACACTTCCCACGGGATGGAGCCGAAATTACGACCCAAAAGGCGACTACTTCACGAACACTGCCTATCCGCAAAGTACTAGATATCCGTTCCCACTTCCTACCGTGGACCCAACCGAGCGAAGGCCACATGTTCCAATTTCTACTGTTCTTCGCTGCCGAGCTCCATGCATACACCTGACTTTTGGGCGTGCGATGGCTGGCGACAACAGACACCGTATGCTGCGCAACGATGAGCAGATGATCGGCAATATTACCATAACGTGCGAGACCTTGGATCATGAACCCGAAGATGGTAATGATTGTGAGCTTGTCGCTATCTCAGAAGCCGAAACCTCGCAACAAATGGGAGTAGAAAAGTATGGATGGCCTGACTTTGATTTCGAGGAGTACCAGAAGTATTTCAAAGGAGTATCTTTAAGGAGTGATAATCGGACAGCATCGTTCTACAATGTCATGTGGATTAAATGGGTTGGGAATGTCGCCGAAAGACGGGGATTAGGTGTTGTACTGAAAGATTCTTGGGATGCATTACAACCCGAGATCAAAGAGTTCAATTTGGGTTAACCCACATCATGATATCAAACAGGTACTATCTATTTGAGCTACTTCTCAATACTATCCAATGCTCCACAGTCCTTCCCGTTCATAACCCATTCCTTCCTCAGTCCTTCCACCAAAGTGCGAAGGACCAATGAAAAAGCCATCAAAAATTATGCCAGAGACCGCCCACAAAGAGCCATCAGACAAGACCAGTCCCGCAATGGTGCCATGCAGTTGATCTAAGCCGGTCTATGCGAATGTGTGTGCTCGCCGACCCCAGCTGATATGTATGAAGAACACAAATGGAAGCGATGCGAGCTTATATAGACAATGGGTTCAGAAGACAGACAGGTTTAGTGGGAAGGCAGCAAGAGTCAGGTCATATCACGTGAATGAGGATGCCTAATACGAGAGTAACAATGGCGACACTGATTCGATAGCGTGTCTTGAGTTGTAGGGCCGTTCAATAGTGTAGGCAGAAGCTGACATGCATGGGCACGTGATGGTAGCAGCCTACACGACAGGCTTTGTATTTCTCTTCATTGGTTGCGGTATGCTGCAGCGTCCCTTTTTGGGCAACTGTGACATCTACGCGTTCAAGACCTGCACATATCTCACGCTACTGTCCCTCCGCCAGCCTCAACGCTTCCATCCTACTCGTACTTTGTGGATCCAGATATGGCCGCTCCCCCAAGCTGACCACTCTATACCCCTTCCGTGGTCCTTGACCATCGGTATCGTACGTCGCTGTATGAAGTACGCTTCTGTTATCCCAGATCGCCACGTCATTTGGGTTCTGCCATCTATGTCTGATCTGCAGATCGTGGTTCTCAGTGATGAGCTGTAGGAACCAGGCTTTAGTACGCTCTGATTCCTCCGAACTCAACTCATTGATACGCTGGACGTGGTGACCAACGCTGTAGAGAGACTTCCATCCTGTGACGGGGTTCGTGCGGATGCAGGGGTGGATAGCGGTTAGAGAGTCGCCAGTGTTCTCCGGTGCACCTCGCGCAGCGGTGTAAACGGGGAAGTTGTTTTCTTTAGCCGCGCGGTTGAAGTCTGGTTGCGCGTACGTTGCGGTGAGAGATTCGAAGAACTTCTGATACGGTTTCGAAAGGCGGTCATAAAGGTCGTACCCTGATGCCCATAGAGTATCTAGAGTAATTTTAGCCTAGTCAACGGGAGTATGACTACTTCTCGCACTCACCTCCACCTGACTTTGGTAGTTGCGTCATTCTCAGGATTGCATAGTCGCTTGGTACCGGCTCGAAAGTGATATCACTGTGCCAGCCATGCTTACCAGTCTGTGAGCGCTCCTTGAAGAGTTGCTTCGCCAGATCTGAGCTGATGACACTGATCTCATTGTCGTTGCCTCCAAGACGGTTTCCCGCATTTCTAACGGGATGGATATGCAGCTTGGATGTTTCTGGTTTGCCAGAAAGCTCGCCGAGGCGCTGGGCCAGCTCTTTTTGAAGTCCATCATCCAAATCATCCTGCTTGCGGAAGTAGACAACACCGCGCTGAGAAACTTTCCGAATTGTTATTGTGGAGTCACTGGGAAAGCATTGCGTGTTGCTTACTTGTGATTGCCAGGTCGCGGATCAAATCGTCCGAGTTTGGCGCGCGCAACCATTCCTTCAGGTTCACATCTAAAAATTCGCGGCCGATGACGGGTGTAACGTCGAAAGACTCGAAGGCATCCAGAACGCCTTTGGTCTTTAGAGGCTCGCGAGGATATCCAGGCTGCGTCGTGATACCCTTGTCCTCAATGGTAGTGGTGGTTAAGGTGTTCGTAGCCATGATCAACGATGCTGATTTGCACTGCTACAGGGTATTTCGCATTCCGACAGAGCGATTTCACACTTATCTCTTACTCGCGTTCGCCACATCTACTATCCCTGAGCGCATTTGCATCAAAAGATTGATGAACAGTAGCTCGTTGGCTTGTGCATTGGCATCGTAGCATCATCGCATGGATACTATGGTGCAATCATTCTCGGCACACTTATGATAGTGGCGGTAGTCGCTTCCTGCAACCACAATCTTCCATGATGCGCAATATCGACGAGGTGTTGCGGGGTTGAGGCTACGACATGTGGGGGTGGAATGGCGTGCTGCTTGGCAGAGTCCCATTCACAGCTCGCAATGACATCGATCCGGAAATAACGCGTCGTGACCTTTCCGCGCATGCAACGGCGGATGTAGTGTTAGTATGGCAGAGAGATGCTTCGTCGTTCTTGCTTTCCTACCTGTAGGGTGGAGTGAGCACACTAGTCCTCGATTAGTTTGGACCGAACGCGACGCGACCGCGACTTCCCAGCCCCTTGCTCTTTCGAGCTGCATCATCCACCATAACATCGCTGGCATGTGCACAGGAACCTTCAACCGTCTCAATAAAGACATCGCTACACCTAGAAGGTACTCAGATTGCCAAGTGCAAAGTTCGCGTAGGCTATTCCTGCAGTGTCTGACAACATCTTCGCCATTTTCGCAACA